AAATGCATGCAGAGAAACACAATTATTAAATTGTACATTTTATGGCATTTACATGAAATTTGCATGTCGATTACATACAGAATACTATAAAATGGTAATACCAGAATTTACCACAATATTTTACAATGTGTAATGAATTTGTTTTTTAAATGTTCGCTTGGACACAGTCTCAATCTGCATTCTATTCAACTAGAATGAAATTTTTGTTGTTTTTTTTTTTATAAAACATGATTTACATGACGTGTCCTATATTTTACATGATTTTTTTATTGAAAAGGAAGAATACTTGAAAAATTTCTCATGGTTCTCTTTACGATTAAGTCAAGAAGGTAATCAGATCTTTTATAAGAAATAGGAATTTTTTTAAATGCAAAGGCTAAGTTACAGAACACTCTGCTTTATATATATTTCTATTGTACAGCTAACTAAGTAATCATTGTATTGAAGTAGACTGCCTGCACAAACTTTGTGTGTCAGCTAGACAAATTGTTAAACACCTTCCTAAGTGATAATATAACTCAGTACCTCCATTTTCTTTACAACATGCAGTGGTGTAGCTAAAGGGGGCCTGGGAAGGAGCACGTGCCCCCTAAAATTTGCCTGTGCCCTCCAAGTCCCCTCATTTCAATTTTAGATAAGAGTATTCATATGCATCATTCGAAATTGAAAAAGAAGCACATGGCATTAATGTAGCTCTAACGAATTTACAAAATTTTACTGTAAAGGGAAGCATTCTATTAGCTGTGCAGACTAATTTGCGTTGTATTTACCCTTTCTGGGTTGTTGGCCGAGAAGTGAAGATTTTAATTCCTTAAAAATGAAAAAACAAAACATTAATAGTAGAATAATTCAAGTCTCTAGTAATATTGTGATGCATGTCATGAACCACATTACACCATATCATAGAACTTGTATGAGATCGTAGACAAGTATAGTCGTAGACTCAAACTTGTAGACACAAGAATACAAATATAGCAATGACTAAGAGTAAGGCTCGTGAAAATACTGCAATTCTGGGAGCATTATAATAAGAACACATTTCATTAAAATCAATAATCATTCTACGCAACGTTATAACACGAAGAATGTACAAATCCGCCAAGGTTTAACTGGGAAGTTAAAAAATTGAAACTATTCATGTTGTGATAAATATTTCAAAAATTCCCAGTGTAGAAGCAATTTTTAGGGCCATTTCGCAAGCGATTGACGTCGTACAAATTTTCTGCCCCCCTCCCCTACTCGCAAAATCCTGACGACGTCACTACCAAAATGTAGTCAAATGCCTAAATGCAGGAAAACTAAAATATCCAATTGTGTTGTTTACAGCTGCCATCCTCGATATTCATTTACACGTACAAGTAAAACTGTAACATTACGTAGCTATGTTTGATCTTCAACAATTTTAGTTGTATAAAAACTCAAATTAAAGAACCAATTTATATTGATATTAATAATTTTATGACCCTTAGATGCAGTCAAGAGAAAAAATTAATAACTTCTACCTGCGAGAAATACTTACAGATGTTAGAAAGAAACTTGTTGATGTTTTTATTCATGAGTGGAACACTCATTGCAAAAAACGCCACGGAAAATGGAATAATTCAAACAGTGGTCAGAAGTTGTTCAATGATGAAATTTCAAAAAAGAGACCTCCTAACCAAGATATTCTGTCAAATTTTCAAAATGGTGACCCTAGCAAGTGGGATTGTACGACGCTATTCGCAGCAATATTGTATTCAAACTCAATTGTAACAAAAATTGATCCAAAAGTTAGAGATGCTGTGGACAAACTTCGTATTGTAAGAAACGAAATCGCTCATAATGATGATGGTAAATTATCAGATGCTGAATTTGACAAAATGGTGCGTGATATTGAAAAGTCGTTTAAAGACTTGAAACTTTTACTCCCTGATATTTCAATTTCACTCACTGAAATTAGTGAAATAAAAAGTAAACGAAACAGATTTAATTCTTTTCAAGTACTTCCTTTCAAACCAAATCACAATGTCGTTAAACGTACAGAATTACTTAATCAAATCACAGCAGATCTCAACAACTTGCGCAGTACTAACAAAAATGAACTAACATATTACTATATTTCTGGTAATCCTGGCAGTGGTAAATCTCAATTAGCTAGACAAGTTTGTGAAGAAATGTATAACTCGTTTGACTGGGAAAATAAAACAACATTTGTGATGACACTCGAAGGAAAAGATATCGACTCTCTTTTGAAAACTTTTGCTGAACTTTATCAACGATTAAGCAATGATAAAACTGTCATTGAAAATATTCTGAAAGAAGCAAAAAGCAGCGAAGACAAAATGAAAGATTTTCAATTATTGCTGACACAACAACTGAAATCTTGGCAAACATGGTGGATTGTTGTAGATAACGTGGTTGAACTTCATAAAATTTATCCATTATTACCTCAAGTTGGTGATCATAATTGGAAAAATGGTCAAATTATAGTAACTGTCCAAAATACAGATGCTATACCATCAGATGGAAATCTAAGTAAACACATTTCAGTTAGTCATGGTATGAACAATGAAGAATGTCGGCAACTTCTATCTGTCCCTTCTGATATTCACAATAAAGATGAAAAATTTTTAAAGGATTTATCAGACAAATTAGATCGTCAACCGTTGTTCCTGGCAAATGCTGCTTCCTACGTTCGTGAAGTAAGAAGTATAGATCCGACATTCACGTGGGAGAAATATTTTGACAAGTTGAATAAAGGAGAGCGACAGAACATGGATGCAATTGTTCAAAAAAAAAACACATCTTACTTAGGAATGAAAACTGTTATGATAGCAGTTCAAAAAAATGCCGAAGAATCCATCTTGTTAGAACATGTTTTTAAGCTTTTCTCAATAGTATCTTTTGATCCCTTACCACAAGATGTTATAATACCATTTATTAAAAGCATTGATCCACAAAAATCTAAAGAAGATGTCTGTCTTCAATTAAAGCATTGTTCTTTATTCCTTCAAACGGAAAACAACGACATCCGCCTGCACAGCGTTGTACACGAAGCCATCAAAAATTATTCATGGGAGACCTTTGACTGTAAACAAAACGAAAATGATTCTAAAGAGTCGGCAGCTGATCTTGCCTGTCAAGTTGCTTGGGCACTAAATAATTTTGAAGACAAAGAAGATGAAATCAAAATAATTCCACATCTAATTAAATTCATAACAAATTCATCATTTCAACATTTCCTAAATAAGTTGATCGATGTAAAATCATCAAAACAAAAACTTGATGAAAGAAATTGGAAGATTGCCAAATATTTTGTGGATGTTTTGGAAAGATTTTTCAACTATAAACTTGCAACTAAAGTACTTTATGAAATGACAGAAATTCAAACTAAAGTATTAGGTGTTGATCATATTGATGCTTCATATTCGTACAACGAGCTGGGTTCATTGCTATTGAAGAATGGAGAATATGAAAATGCTAAAGATTTTCTCGAGCGAGCAGTGGGAATTCAAGCAACAACACTTGGACCCGTCCATGTTGATATTGCGACAACGTACAACAATCTGGGTGAAGTTTACAGGAAAATAGGAGAGTACGAAAAAGCAAAAGATTTTTATCAACGAGCGATAGAAATTGAAACGAAAGCATTTGGACCAGATCATGTTAATATTGCGACAACGTACAGCAATCTGGGTTTAGTTTACGATAATATGGGAGAGTGCGAAAAAGCAAAATATTTTTATGAACGAGCGATGAAAATTGAAACGAAAGCGTTTGGACCTGACCATGTTAATATTGCGACAACGTACAACAATCTGGGTTTAGTTTACAGGAAAATGGGAGTGTACGAAAAAGCAAAAGATTTTTATGAACAAGCGATAGAAATTGAAACGAAAGCATTTGGACCTGACCATGTTAACATTGCGAGATTGTACAACAATCTGGGTTCGGTTTCCTATAATATGGGAGAATACGAAAAAGCAAAAGATATTTATGAACGAGCGATGGAAATTCAAACAAAAGCATTTGGACCTGACCATGTTAATATTGCGACAACATACATCAATCTGGGTTTAGTTTACGATAATATGGGACAGCACGAAAAAGCAAAAGATTTTTGTAAACGAGCGATGGAAATTCAAACAAAAGCATTTGGACCTGACCATGTTAATATTGCGACAATGTACAACAATCTGGGTGAAGTTTACAGGAAAATGGGAGAGTACGAAAAAGCAAAAGGGCTTCATGAACGAGCGATAGAAATTCAAACGAAAGCATTTGGACCTGGCCATGTTAATATTGCGATAACGTACAACAATCTGGGTTCGGTTTACTATAATATGGGAGAGTACGAAAAAGCAAAAGATTTTTATGAACGAGCGATAGAACTTCAAAGAAAAGCATTTGGACCTGACCATGTTAATATTGCGACAATGTACAACAATCTAGGTTCGGTTTACTATAATATGGGAAAACACAAAAAAGCAAAAGATTTTTATAAACAAGCGATAGAAATTCTAAGAAAAGCATTTGGACCAGACCATGTTAATATAACGAAAACGTACCACAATCTGAGTTTGTATTACGATGATATAAGGAGAACGAAAAAGCAAAAGATTTTTATGAACGAGCGATAGAAATTCAATGAAAAGCTTTGGACCTGAACATGTACTGCAATAATATACAACAATCTTCATTTGGTTATAAACAAACTATAGATATTGAAACTGAAGCATTTGGACTTCTATTTATCTTTTATTTGCTAGGAGCTAAAATACTCCTGTCTTTGAGAAAACGTACAAGGAGATAGAAGAAGAGGAAATGAATTTGTAGCTCATTTTCAATGAAGAAGAAAGTCAATTTCTCTTTTCATATTAGGTATGTCTTTTTTATACTAAAGCTGATTAGAATAAGTTGTTTTGTAGATTTCTTTTAACAAAGGTTCAAATAACAACAGTTGTATATTTATAAAAGATATAAATATATTATTGACAATATTCAAACACTTGTATTTTCAAGTTTTCAACTGTCATTTATTTACTGGAACAGTTTTTATTAAGAAACTTGTATGGAACTATCAAAGTATATTTATGAGTTTAGTTTACAATATCTAGCTATTCAGAAGTTATGAAGTTCCTTAAAATGAATGTTGTTGGGTCATTTTCTTGTATAATGAGAGTAAATACTGATCTTACAGCAACCACGATCATGTAACATCCCTTTTTGAAATGCTGAAAAGCCCACAAGATTTGATTTACCATATAAGTATGAATATATTCTTTTCTATATTTATTTCTAATCATTCATATAATTTACAAAATATACTTTTTATTTGTGAGATTTGTAGTTATTGGAAATGGACATGCAGTTGTTGTTATTTGATTTAATCATACTTGATTTGGAAACTAGCACTATAGTTGTCTTTACAATGTTTTTTTTTTACTTTGGAGAAAGTATTTATTTAATGATTGATTCAATAATACTTTTTATAGTTTAAACTATAAAGACAATGTAAAGCAAAAGTTATAAATAACCTGAAGAAGAAAAAACAGGATATCATTGCCATAGCATTGACAGAAGTGAAAATGACACATTTAACTGTCCGACTACCAGGGGCCGCGGAAGTATCTCAAAAGTGGGGGCACTGACCGAAAAGGGCATGTGAGTTTGCAGCTTACTGTTTTAGTATATTACAGATATGCATTGTTTCATGAATCATGATTAAGTTTCAAAGTCTGCAAATTATTGGTAGACATTCTTAGAATGCTATGCGTATTCTCTACTGCTCGGCGTGCGTGCTAACAAATTGAACTAAGATGACTACATGAACAATTTTATTAAGTAATGCGATCTCAGTTGTTTGTGCCGTTATTGGAGGCTTCTGCAAGGTAGTTGCTACTTGTTCACACACGCTGAAGATATTCTGCGCAAAACTTAAACCAAAGTACGAGGAAAACTTCTTTAATCAGCTAGCCATACCTGATGCTGTGTCACGAACGGTGGACTTGCAAGATTCTTTGGCAATGCTAAGTAATGCAGAGTAGAGGGCCTCGTAATTGTGCAAGACAGCCGAGATGGCTTTGGTTCTTACTGTCCATCGAGTTGGACACAGCAAATGCGGATTCTCAACTTGCGTGCCGCTGTCTTGAATGTCTTTGGCAATATGCTGGTATTGCGTCATTCGTGTTGGTGAAGATCGAATAAACACGGCCAACTCTTGCACCTCCTTCAACGTATCGCTGATAATCCAGTTCTCCTTTACACAATCACGCAAAGCCAAGTCAAGACTGTGGTTACCGCAATGATTGTACAGGGCGTGAGGATTCTCAGAAGATATTCGGGCAGCAACCCCACTTCTGCCTCCAGCCATATTTGCTGCTCCATCATATGTTTGCCATCGACAGTCGTCTATCGTCAAACTGCATCGCAACAAAATGTCCTTCAGCGAAGTGGTGATTGTTTCAGCATCGGTTTTCTCTAGCTCGTACATTCCGAGGAAATCTTCGTGGACGGACAAGTCGGTTCTAGATATCCAGCGCAAAATACATGTTAGTTGTTCCTTGTTGCTTATGTCTCTAGACTCGTCTGCAATTAGGCTAATTAATTGTGATTCCTTACGGATGTCTGCCACTATAGATCTCAGGACTTCATTGCCCATCATATTAATCAACTCGTTTATGATGTCGTGACTGAGATATCTTCCGTTGTCAATCCACTCGAACAAATCAGGTACATCCTCTGCTCTTAATTTTAGCAACTGTTGCAAGTTACTCTCAAGTTCAGTTTTACCTTGCAAACTTTGGGCTTGCGTGCCAAATACCTTATACTACTTAGTTGTTTTAGCAACATTCTTCTTAGAGTTTTCTGTGTTTTCTTCAATTCGCTGATCAATATCGCTCCAATATCTCTTCTCGAATCATCAGATAATAAAACTTTCTCAGTCGCCTCTGCGTGAAATTTAGACTGAGAGTGTTTTTTAAGTTTTTCTCGGCACTTCCTCCAGTCGCTGAATTGTCCTAGGAGAAAAGCCTTTTCACCATTATGACTGAAAGTAATAAGGTCTTGACGCATCGCTCTTTTACAGAAGTAACAGGCAATGGTGCCTCTTGTCATGCAGTATGTGACCCATGTATATTTCAAAAATGTAGAAGACGGACAAGTTCGTTCATTCGACGATCCTCCTGTACTGGTTTGCTTTCTAGACGTGTGCTTATTTCTTCTAGGGTAGGATGGTAAGGCTGTCGGCCTTTACAGCACAAACGCTTACAATCGAGTCCTAGCAAACATTCCGTTGACTCAATTTGCATAGGTCCTACCAATTGGGCGGTAGTCGTGTACGTTAGGTTTTGAGGTGTGTGAACTGGTTCGGTCGGCGGCGCGACTACTATCTCTGAAGACGATGTAGAGTCAGAATCGCCGAATTTTGGTTTGGAATGAGAATGAGGAGATAAACACGTTGATGGAGTTTCTGTAGCTGACGGCAGTGTCAAATTAGACCTAGAGTCGATGTTTTGGTCAACAACGTTCTCTGCTGGAGCACTACTAAAAAAACTCGTCAGTTTTCGCATCCTTTTAGCTGTTTCTACAAGCTCTTTTTCCTTTTCTCGTTTTCGCCTAGCAGCTCTAGGCATGATAATTTTGATTAGAAGTGATTTAAACCGCAAAATTTTCAATTATTATGATTATGAATTGCCAACAGTTTTGTAGGACCAATGGCCTGAAAGACAATACGACGGGAGCAATGCGTTGCGGTAGAATTTATAGTCTCATGTGGATCATAAATTGCGACTTCTCATTGGTTAATTAAGTTACTGGGCGGACGTCTGCGAAGACAACCCCAATCGACAAACGCGAGTTTTGATCCATCTGGGTAATCAAGATCAAAAACTAAGCTATAGCTGATTTCGCATGATGCCGACAGACTTTGTTCTACACGCTACTTGTATCTAAGAAAAACTTCTTCAGTCCAATTTTACCTAAAACAAGGGCATTTCTATACCATGAAAAAGGGCACTTTCATTCCAGAAAAAGGACACATTTTTCCCTGTTGCAAAAAGTGGGGGGGAACTTGCCCCCAATGCCCCCGGTTCCGCGGCCTCTGCCGACTACTAGAGTATAGACTACCAGATTTACTAATGTATAAAAAATCCCAGCAGTGGGCACGATACTTGTTAATTGGAGTGGGGGGCACAAATTCATGTATGCATGTCTTTATCTGTTTAAAACAATGGATTTCAAAGGAACTTAATAAGGCAGAACATGAATGTACGAATATGTGCCTCCTACCAAAAATAAAGAGTCTGCTAAGCCATTTATTCCCAGGGCATCTTGAAGAGCTCTGGCATTGTGTGTAACAGTTAATATTTCATTTTGCAAGGAACTTCTTATTTTTTTGCAAAACATTATTTGAACATTAGAGAAATTGTGTACAAATTATAAAAAGTTTATATTAGGAGTATATTTCTAGGGCAACACCCTCCTTTAAAATATGTATCCATGTTCAGGAGTGAATGACATGACCAGACATTTTTGGCTAATGCCTTTACAACTGATAAGAACAGTAAATGAGTCATTTCTACTGGTGTCTTTACTACTGATATGGACAGTAATGAGTCATTTTCATTGCTATGACATTGCTATTTTCTCTAATTATGTGCGTCCTGCCCATATTTACTGTTGTCATCTCATATGTAGTGTAGTGAGTAACGAAAAAGTAATTGAACACCAAAATATTTATTTTTGTATGGTAATTGTAAACATGCTACGCTATTGGTTGTCATGGTTTATGAGAGAGCTTATTGCTGATCTCTTCCGATTGTTTTTATTCTCAGTAAATTATTCATGTATTTATATTAAATACACATTTAAGCTGATTCAGCCAAAGGGAAACTCTCACTGTCTAGGGGTCTAAGTTCTAGATACAGGTTGTCACAAAAAATGTGATCTATCTTCTACGTGCTGATGTGTGTAAATTATTGAATAAATAACTGTAGTTTTAACTATTATGAAAGAAAAGAGTTCTAGCCATGGAAAGACAATTTCATCATGTCACAAATCGTGCTAGTTTAAGTTATTTAAGATTTGATCTTAGTGTAAAGTCTGCATGTTAACGGTCTTTACTAAATCTGAAAGCATTAAAAGTTATCCTTATTTGCAATTTAAATTTGAGTCAATATCAATTTTTTTCTTGGAATTCCTGTAATCTGTGCCGTGGGGTAATAGCATAGGTTAAGGATAGGCCACAGCAAATAAGGATGTACTAGATTTTGGCAATTAGAGCTTACAATTTTAGCTAGGGCAAAGAACTTATATTTTTAGGTAGGGCCAAACCACACCACCCTTAGATAATTTTATTCCAAAGCCATCATCAGATGGCTTTGGAATAAAATATATAATATGGACGACATCTCGTCCAAGTCACATGTTTTTCATGTGCATATTAAAACCGTGTTAGGATTAATATAATAGATAATTTTGGGGGGCTAAAGCCCGCAGGCTCACATGCTTCTCACATCTATCACAGAATAGATACATAAGGTACTTGGGACCAGATAACGGACGTGATGTCAAACAAGTGAATGTTAGCAACTGTTGAGTTTTTTGTATTTGAAAGTTTGCCAAGCTTGATCATATCAGAAACTGACAAACTGCGAGGAAAGTTTTGGGTAACAGTTTCGTCGTTCAGGATCTCTTTTTTTTCTTTAAAGGACTTCTTTCGGAGAGTGATTGTATCTCATGCTCTTGATGAGGCCGTTTGCATGTTTGATGTACCACTGGGTAAGCAGGAAAACTGATATCTTCATCTAAATTTTCTTCAACATTTACTAAATTAACTGGAATCTCACATAAATGACTTTTACGTCAGGGATCTGTTCCATATTTTTGCATGAGTGTCCCTGCTCTCCAGCAAGAATATCACAAGCGTGATTTGATCCGATGCGAGGAAGAAAATGCCTTTCGCAAGCATTTTTGATGTTAGTGATAGTCAGTTCGTTGACTTCATTATCAAACGCCACGAATTCACGAGACCCTATTAAAATAGAATAGAACTTTATTTTAACATGCTTACAACGTCAGCCGCAGCTGTTTTCCAAGAAGAGCGTGAATATAAGAAATATAAAAGATATCACCAGAAAAAAATTACAAAAAATAACTATGTATAAACTAACTACGTACATGTTGTATTAATCCTATTGTTATTGCTACTATAGCTACTGCAAAGTTTTATTTAAAATATTATTATAAAGTTTTTTATAAAAAGGTATGTCAATTGTAGTAACTGAGATTGTGGGAAGCGATTTGGTTTTGGAAAACCTTAAATGAATAACTTTATTTAATTTCATTTGGCAATTCCAAACCTTTGCTCCGTTATATGTGAAACTTTTTTTCATACTGTTTGTTCGTGGTTGAGGCAGGCAAAGTGTATTTTTAATACCACGAAGTTCATAATCTGTTGAATAATTTATAAAATCGAATAAAGACGCAAGCGATGTCGGACATATGTTATTAAGTAATTTAAACATAAGTGTGGCTTTTCTTTTACATCTTTGTACTGCGAGGGGCTCCCAATTTAAAGCGGCTAAGGCAACATGGTGGTCTACATCATTACTCATATTTGTGATGATGCGAGCTGCTCTATTCTGAAGCTTTTGTAATTGTTTGGATTCTCTCTCTCCCCAAACGTCCCAAACCTCGTAACAATAGGAAAAGTGAGGGTAAACAATAGCATAGTAAATAGAAACAAGAGTATCTATACTAACAAAATCTCTTACTTAAAGAAGGGCTGAAATTCCCGAAATAATCCTTTTACAAATCCTTTCATTATTTTGGTGCCAAGACAAATGTTAATCAAAGGTTACACCGAGAGACTTAGATTCATAAACTTGTCTTATTGCTCTGTTTTCTACTTTAATATTCGGTTTCCGATTTGAAATATTTTATAGCATTTGTTTTGAACCTATCAGTATAAACTCTGTTTGTTTGCAATCAATCCTTTCCTTAGGCATTCTAAATCAGAATTCATAGCATCTTCAACTTCCTTTATTGAGCTCCCCTGCTGCAGTCAAATTTGTATCATCAGCAAATAATCTTGGTTTAGTCTCTTTCAGACAACGAGAAGAACATTCATGTATAACAAAAAGAGTAGTGGACCAAGCAAAGAGACCTATTCTGCTATACTTCTGGGCTTTACCAGATACATCAGCAGAGAGTCGTTGTACCACTATTTCATTATTGTTAACCTTATATGAAACTCTAGGATTAACCTTTTTAGCTCGTTTTGCTTTAAGCTCGTTTCGTTTTGCGCAAGTTTTCTCCAAGCGTTGTCCGCCATAACTGTATCAGTACAAAGAGACCACGGTCCGATATTTCTTTGTAAAGACTTCGCGCTCAGTTATTAAGGGCTTATTATTTTTCTGTGTCTCAGGCTTAATTTTCCAACGAGATGCATAAATATACAGTGCTTTAGCTCCGTAGCAAATATCTTTGAACAAATTTATGCAATAAAAAATTCATTGCTTAATGATAGGATGTCAGATACAAAGTTAAACCAAGGCAAACTTTTACAGTTTTACCACAGAATTAAAAAACTTCACGTATTTTTTAAGAACTGGAAGAGAAATTCGACATATTCCGACTTCATTCGTTTTTAACAAACAATCACTGTAAAGACAGGAAACTAATAAATAAGGCAACATAGATGATTCTGACCGTAATGGAGGGTGATCCTGAACAGAATAGTGGAAATGGCGATCCATTATGATCCATTGGAACTTGAAAACCTTTCACATTTGTTCTATAAGAAATAAATGTTAATAAATGTGTTATTTACGTGAGATTAAAAAATCACAGATTAAACAATTATGGATTCCACGTAAAGGCTGTGAAATTATTAAGACAAAACTCTTCACATGCTAGACATGTAACAAAGGACAAGAAACACAAAGTGTAATCTTGTTCCATTTTAGTATCTCTTCCTCTAGACAATTACATCCACTCTAGACAAGTAGTAACCTAAACAACACCCATGCTATTCCCAAACACACACCCCTGCCGAAAAATTGTGGATACACATCCCTCATTTACATTTTTGTGTTAGTTAGTTAGTCACCCAGTTATTCATTTTAGCAGGCATGATTATAAGAAATTGAGGTGTGACGTCATTAAATGTATTTGTCATCACTGTTAGCAAAAAGAATGTGTGGTTTCTTTAAAATAGATTTATCGAGGCAAGTTAAAACTTTGTAACTGCCCAAAATGCTTTATGCTGTACAAAGTTTTAACTTGTCTGGAAAAATCGCTTTTGTGAATTCATACATTCTTATTTTTGCTAACAGTAAAATACAATTAATGACATCACACATGTCAGCTTTAAAAAATTCCTATTGCTTAAAAGGAGCTAACATTCATGTGATCAGCATCCATTATTATTTGACACATATGTATAATGAAACAAAACAAAACAATAATTGAACACAATGTCATATTATAAACACTTTTAAGTATCATTTACCCATGGCTTTGAGTTTGCATCTAATAGTGGATCCTTCAAGAATGGATATGATTCAACAACCATAAGTGCAATCTTTATACGTTCTGTTTTGCTGGGACGGTTTGTAAATCTCAGCACACTTGTGCAGATATCTCTGATGAGCTCGTTAATCAGATTTGGGTGTAAATACTCTGTTTTCAGCTTCAACAACATAATACTAAAACACAAAAATACTTGTTGTGACCTGTCTTCCCCCTCCCAAAAAATGGTTAGAGGCTATTTTAGGGGCAAGATAATGTCAGAAATTTAGAAATACAATTGTGGTTTTGAAATTTGTAAAATGGCTAAAGAAATGTCCATTGAGAGACCAACTCTAAAACAAAAGCTGATCATTCATCAGCTCACCTCTAAAAGGACTTAAACCGTAATAACTTTTGTAAGCCTTCAACTTTAACAACCCACATAAGCATAATATTCTTACTGTATAATAAATGAGCTGCTGTTAATGTATTGTACTTACACGATTTGGAATTTTGTAGTTCCGTAATGAATCCTTAAACAAGTAAAATATTACTAAATTGCAAATTAGATTTTGAGAAGTACTTCAATTTGCAATTATTGAACAAATGACAATAAACTTGCATACTTTTGGGGTACTGGTATTTGCATTAAGAGCATTTGGACACTAAAAATTACAAATGAACTATTAATGAATGTTCACAGCAAGTTTAAGTAGGAATGAGCTTAGGAGAGGCGTGTGAAGGAGCAGGACTTATGGTGGTGCTGTTACTTTTATCACTACAAAAAAATACAAATAAAACCAACAATAGAAATCTCGTAATATTAATAAAGAGGTAAGAAGATTTCAACAAATGTCTGACATTATATGTATAGCAACAAGTTATCAAAGTCTAATCTAAACTAGAGGACCCTCCACCCCCAATACAGAATCATTATGGATCATGACTGTATGTATTATTATATGTAACCATGACTATATGTATTATTATATGTAACCATGACTATATGTATTAATATATGTAACTGTGACTATATGTATTATTATATGTAACCATGACTATATGTATTATTATATGTAACCATGACTATACCTATTATTATATGTAACCATGACTATATGTATTATTATATGGAACCATGACTATATGTATTATTATATGTAACCATGACTATATGTATTATTATATGTAACCATGACTATATGTATTATTATATGTAACCATGACTATATGCATTATTATATGTAACCATGACTATATGTATTATTATATGTAACCATGACTATATGTATTATTATATGTAACCATGACTATATGTATTATTATATGTAACCATGACTATATGTATTATTATATGTAACCATGACTATATGCATTATTATATGTAACCATGACTATATGTATTATTATATGTAACCATGACTATATGTATTATTATATGTAACCATGACTATATGTATTATTATATGTAACCATGACTATATGCATTATTATATGTAACCATGACTATATGTATTATTATATGTAACCATGACTATATGCATTATTATATGGAACCATGACTATATGCATTATTATATGTAACCATGACTATATGTATTATTATATGTAACCATGACTATATGCATTATTATATGTAACCATGACTATATGCATTATTATATGGAACCATGACTATATGTATTATTATATGGAACCATGACTATATGTATTATTATATGGAACCATGACTATATGTATTATTATATGTAACCATGACTATATGTATTATTATATGTAACCATGACTATATGTATTATTATATGGAACCATGACTATATGTATTATTATATGTAACCATGACTATATGTATTATTATATGTAACCATGACTAAATGTATTATTATATGTAACCATGACTATATGCATTATTATATGGAACCATGACTATATGTATTATTATATGGAACCATGACTATATGTATTATTATATGGAACCATGACTATATGTATTATTATATGTAACCATGACTATATGTATTATTATATGTAACCATGACTATATGTATTATTATATGGAACCATGACTATATGTATTATTATATGTAACCATGACTATATGTATTATTATATGTAACCATGACTATATGTATTATTATATGTAACCATGACTATATGTATTATTATATGTAACCATGACTATATGTATTATTACCAAAATGATCAGCAACAGAAGTGCACTGACCTGAATTGGTGTTACAGGTAAGCTGTCACTCTAAAGAAGAAAAATTAAACCAGCATATCATTATGCTGCAAATTTTGATGAATGCACATGGTGCACACAATTTAACAATGATTTGGGTTTGTAAACAACGTAGGTCTCCTGAGCAAAACAAGCTGTTTTCGTCGGTGTCAATGAATAAAAGCGTTATATATATGAGAAATGTCCTAAAATATTTCAAAGATAACTGTTATGTCTAACTTGGGAGAAATTTTCCACATAATGTCAAAATTTTAGCAATGTCTTCTAGGTTTTCATAAAAAGCGTCTTACTAACATATAAATATTTACAACAACTACCTTGAAATTTTTCAATGACTTCGTTATCCACTCCATTCTTTTTCAATAATGTGGACAATTCAGAGGTGGTTAAATCATTAAATGAAGGCATTGCAAGAGGTTCGGTGCAAATGTTACGACTAGACTACAAAAACGACCAGCAAATAAGTGAAATGAAATTGTTACTATATTGGCCATTACGCGATTGCTCGTGCGCATCTGGCTCGTGCGCATCTGGCTCGTGCGCGTCTGGCTCGTGCGCGTCTGGCTCGTGCGCGTCTGGCTCGTGCGCGTCTGGCTCGTGCGCATCTGGCTCGTGCGCATCTGGCTCGTACGTGCGCGCGTCTAGCTCGTGCGCGTCTCGCACCTTCGAAGGTTACCAATCTCATTTGCGCAGAAAGCATGCAAATATATTGAAAATTTCATTGATGAGAATTCTTTCCAAATGGTCTTATCATGAAATAAATATGAGCGAAGACAAGGAAGATCGCGATGGAAAAGTTAATGTGATTACTCAAGATGATGATTATGGTGGTGTAAACATCGATATATGCCACAAAGAGGAGAATATCAGGATGATGAACGCCCGGTTTCTGTTAAAAACTAAAGAAATGCATAAACTGTCTCAAAAAGCAGTAGATACTATCGTCAGAAATACTACTTTCATCGTCCAAAATTCCCTTGAATTAGTGAAATGTCGTTTGTTATCATTGCTTGAAAATGACGACATGCCAGACGTCTGCAAATTGCTGGAAAATGTATTCCTGGAGGAAAATGTCGTGACCAATCCTTTCCTGGGAATGGAAAGCAAATGGCAACAAGATAACTTTTTTAGAGATGTTATGGAAGTGGTTGTAAGTTTTCAGTAAATTAGACCTATATATAGAAATTCATACTTTGTTTATAAAAGCATTTATCTGCCATGTCAAAATTTTTTTAAGTTATTTTAATTGTCATTTTAAATCTGTGTTTTTCCTGAAGGAACCAAAACAAAGTGTTTTCAGAATCACCCATGTTCAGAAAAGAATTGGTGTTGGAAGAAGAACAGTCCCAAAACAAGATGAACTCATCGAAATTCCTCTTCTTAAGAACCGGGAGCAAATGCTGCAAGATCCAGCCATATTAGATCAGGTTACTTAAACATAAATAAACTAGTGACATATACAGCATGCTGTTCTAGATGTAGCAGCTGACTGGCTTTTCTGCCCAAAATTATGTTTGTTCACAAAATTTTTTCACCATTTGGGCACTCAAATGCTTCAATTTTTTAACAAACTTATTTCAAGAATATAAATGGTATATATACTTATTTAAGTCTTGTTGCCATTACCTGTTGCCACAAGAAACAATGTTGTTATACCTGTTTCAAGCATGCAACTAAGGGAAAATCAGTATGATTACCTCCAACAACAAGTTAACCCTCTTCAAGATGATGGGGAATAATGGCATCGAACATTACTTGAAGACAGTTGATATTATTGAGAGGTTTTTAGAGGCAAGGATTAATGTTGACGAAGTTTAACAAATGAAACAAATGTATTTTAGTAAAATAGTGCAAGCCAAAAATAAGCTCATTGATCAAGAATTTAACATTTTTTTAAAAACTGTCAGTTCTCTTTCTGTTTAAACAAAACTATTTGATATTGTGAAAAATAATAAAAACAACCTTACACAATGTCAAATGACCATGATGTGCTTTCTCTCATTATGCTTGTAAACTCTTCTGCCAGTTCTGCAAAGCATTCATAGGTTGTTGGTAGCTCTAGGGCAGGGGCGGATCTAGAGTATGTCAAATCCGTCGCGCGACTGATGTTTGAAATTCAAAAATTACCTATTCATATTAATTAAAAAATCACTAATTATTCTTTATTATCGCATTTACTTCGTGATAAAAATCCAGCTTTATTTATTATTGAAAACTAATGACTAATGCAACGAATATCTCCTTGGTAACCAGATCAGTTGAATTTTAATTGACCTGGAATAACCGACTGATAAGCGGGGTGGCTTGACTGGTTCGACTTATAAAGGAGTCTATGAACGCCAGAAACGCTATTTTATTGGTCAATGGCCAGATCAGTGGACAGTCTGGAATAATCTCGACCGATAATAGGGGTGGCCGGACCTATAAGGGAGTCCAATTGCTATCTTACAATTGGTTCATTTGAATTTTTGTCTTACTGTGATTGGTTTGACCGATTTCGACTGATAGCCAACTGAACTAACATAGTCAAGCTCACTGTCTGAATTGAATGTTTGATCGTTCATAGTAATTTTCTGAAGCATGATAGAAACTAAACTACAATCAGATGGAATTTATGGAAATCTTTTACAAATTCATATGTTGACATGAATGCTGCTTTCCAAACTGGGAATTTTTCAAGAGGGTGAAAAATTTATGGATAAATTGTAAATGCTTGGCAAAGACGATCTCGCGAGCGACATTTCAGTCATTGATGTTCAAAAGCAAGCCAACATTGTTTTGAGTTTTATCAGCAGAAATTTACATCGAAAATCGTAAGTAAAGGACAAGTGAAGTGTATGCATGAATGCAATATATCAAAGTCAATTTATGCGAGTGTGTGATGCGATTTATGTTAATATGGCGTATGGTAAGCAGATTGATGCTTCTAAAATTGTTGTTGCCGAAGGAATTTTAGCTATGATTTCTGTAATGCTTGGGAATCGTGGCCGTTATATGGCAGCGAAATCCTACATTTCTGCAAATATATTTCAATGGACAAAAATCTGTAGCCATAAGGTGCCATACGATTATTTACTTTATCATAAACAAATGTTTGGGGCTTTTCAGTTTATGATCATTGATCATTCAATCATTGGACAGTTATACTACATATTGTTTAAGATTTGAGAAAACTAACATTGATTACATGAGAAGCTGTTTACTATAACCTGTGATTTTGAGTCTTATGATCCATGAAGCTTTTTATTTTGACAATTTGACTGGAATGGTATTAAACCTGAGTATTTCACATACATGAAATGTTGTCCCATGTCACATATTGTCCCCTTTTCTAACTGAACACCTCATGTAGAGATGTAAAGGTGTGTTAATCTACGGCTCATACCAGATTGTTTGCCATAAATTCCAAAGGGCTATTGATGTATGAATAGCATTTTCTATAAAGTAAAAATGTCTTCCAATGTATGCAGATAAACCTTGAAATTTGGCAAAACAGCAAAGTATTTTTCATGATCACTAGGTAATTTTTCTGATGATCAGTATAATTTCTAAACTAAATTATTTCAGATTTACATTTAAACGAGCTTTGATCATATGAAAAGATATTTATCATAAACAGTAAGCATGACACATGAACCAATTTTAACATTCATGTAATTATATAATTAAAGACATGTTGGTTACATTCTGTTTGTATTTGCAAATACAATGCTACTAGTGATTGCTATATAGCACACCTTGCATATACTTACAGAAGATAGTGAAATGCCTAAGAAACATTCATGGCATTAAGCTGTCCTTAACTGCAATTTTCACTTTGATAATTTTCTTAATCTTTGACAGAAAAAATTTTGAGTTTTTCTCAAAAGTGAATTTGCTGGCTCTGATGTGGAGATGGGTAAAGGGTTACAATAAACTTGCATGGTTTGAAGTCTGAGCTTTTCTATATTTATGAACTGTCACTTGTAGTACCAAATTTCTAACTTAACTTATTACATAGAGGTTTGAATGGGGGTCTCTAGGGGGTCTATGCCTGACAACTTGGTAGAAATTTTAAAGACTATATCTGTTTTGAATAGCATTATTGTAAAATAAATTTTACGTTCCTAGACATGCTAATGAGCCATATATTTGGCATGATAATGAGCCTAATTATTTGGCAAAACATTCAAGTATTGTTCACTTCATTTTTTTTTTGAAAAAAACGTAAGCAAAATGTGTTGTTTTTACCGAAAAACGATGCCCACAAAATACATCTTGTATTGCTCTAAAACGCTGAAAATGGCATTTTAGAGGTTCTGAAATTCAAAATTTCTCAGGGGAGAATGCCTCAGACCCCCCCCGGTACGGAGTGCCTCCGACGTTTTATGACTGATGTTTGAAAAATCCTAGATCCGCCCCTGCTCTAGGGTTGGCCCACATGTGTGGGCAATAGGCCGTCGTGAAAAGCCATGAAGGGTTGTAAATGTAATTTCAATTGAATCACATGTCAATACATCACTACCAGTTAAAAAATGCAGAAATCTTTCAAGAGCCTGCATTTCCAATGATTTCACATATCTTTTTAGGAAATCCAAGCTCTGCCATTCAGCATCAGTACTCACACTAGCAATAAAAAGCTTGTTAACCTTTTTGGCTGTTAGGTGTTTTTCTTCATATAACTGTGCAACTTGCTGTGGTATTGCAAAGACGGAGTTTGCATCATTCTGAAGAGTTTTTAAAATTGGCAACCAACAATTTATGATGTATCTGGTCTTTTGAATGAGTTCCTGGTGTGCAAGTTCAAGTATTATGGAGTCAATGTTCTCCTTAGTGGGGGCTTTATAACACTTACTGGATGACAAAAACTCCAATAGGACTTCATCATCAGGATCTAATTCACGATTCTGCACTTTATCTAGAATCTCTCCATCGTTTGCTGGCACGTAACAACGATATGCTTGCAGTAGAGATTCTTTGCTCAGACTTTCTTCACCAAACAAGCAGCAAAGAATGAAGAATTGTGACAGCTGCACAGGAAAGTATTTGGCTTTTTCATATCCAAACACTAAAACTCTGGCAATTGCTTGCCATTCTGGTTTTTGAAGATCGTGTTGAATGCGTGGTGTTTTCTCAGTTCCACCTGCACTAAGTGATATAAAGAATTCATTCATGTCAAAAATTTGTCAGAACATTATGCAGCACACCTGCATCTTCTCCTTTTTCTGGGTAGCCATTTGCATTTATGACTGTGATGTTCAACCTGTGCTTAAGAATTTCTGGATCTTTAAAAACATCAATAATATCATGGCAAATCATTGAGCGGTGCATTTCTTTCAATTTGGGATAATTTTGGAACATGAAATCGTCATCTTCAACAAGGTGAATTTCTTGCATCACTAGATGAAAATCGAGTTCATAACACATAAGGATTTACTATTTAATTTAAAAATATTTACTTTCTGAAGATTTAAATTATATTTATGATGGGTAAAAATACCCCAAATATAAGTAAAGAAGGTGGACAAAAAGTAGACCCTTTATAAAACTTACATGTTTAGTTAGAAACATAAATATTGAAGCAAGAGACAAAAATAAAAAAATCATGTCATACGTTTGTTGCTAAACACATAAACAATTCCATATTTTTAGTAGTTGTAGGTCTCTTAAAAGTCAGGTGAATTATATATGTAATGTTATATTCGGGGGCTAGATTTTGTTGTGGACAAACTGTAATTTCAGTTACCAATTAATATTTTCATGTTTAAGATTAAAATTTGTCTTGTAAACTGATAATCTTCAGGGGATGAAGAAAAAAGTAGCCCCCCAAAACAAAATCATTGTTATATGTTTTTAGCTCATTATTCTTTGAGAAATGTTATAAAAATTATTACTGTTGAAGTATCCAAGAAAAAAAGGAATGCTTACAATAGCAAATTATACCTTTAATAAAGTAAATGGTTTGAACCCGGGAGTATCGTTACATGTTTGTAGATGTAGATCGTCCAGGTTGGTATAGTCCTGAGAAGGACTGTTTTTGTTGTTGTTGACTGACGTTTCGACAACCTTAGCGGTAGTCATCTCCAGAGTCAAATGAGGAGTAAAAGTCAGGTTAGTCAATTTGTGAAATTGACTGGGACTCGGCAAAATGCATTACTTACAGTACTGACTATAGACAAACGGCTTACATTAGAAAGTTGGTATACCAACTTGGAACAAACCCGCCTGAACAGATCACAGCAATTACCTGTACCTTACAAACGACTTATTTACATCACAAACAAACGATCAACTAAAAACATTAAACTTCATACTAATTCACAATGACAATACACATTTCCATACACACAATACAATGACGTAAGAACCAGATAACAAATAAGGCTAACCTGACGTTTACTCCTCATTTGACTCTGAAGATGACTACCGCTAAGATTGTCGAAACGTCAGTCAACAACAACAAAAACAGTCCTTCTCAGGACTATACTAACCTGGACAATCTACATCTACAAACACATAGCTTCAATCATACAATAAACATAAAAATAAAATTTAAGAAAATACTAGGCATACACGTATTGTTAAGGTGATGCTATTCATGTTCAATGGCAAAATATCACTTTCATTCTTACATTCTTTAACCACCCCCTTTAAATTAGCCCACACAAAGTAAATTGCTTCTAAATATAACAGTTAAGCACAGACTTAAATAAATTGTGTACACACATCCTTAAGTAAACATGTATTTTTTATGGCATGCACTTTTTTGTTCATTAAGAAAATTGCAGTGATTCATCAATAAAAATAGTAGCAGCATAATGTTTAATGTAACTAACCTGATGTATCCTGTACACCAACTGCATGAAGATCAGTGGTTGACTGTAAAGAAGCTTGTGCTGTCTCTGGAGGCAATGAAAATGGAGATTGTGCTGTAAAAAAATTGTCACGATTCAGCAATAAGATAAAGCATAGTGGCAATATGTTTAATGTAACTAACCTGATGTATCCTGTACACCAACTGCACGAAGATCAGTGGTTGATTGTAAAGAAGCTTGTGCTGTCTCTGGAGGCAGTGAAAATGGAGATTGTGCTGTATCTTGTGACAAAGCCAATGGCTCTGGATTGGCATCGGTAGAGCTTATTGACATTTGCGCATCACCAAACAAATCAGGTAAATCTTTATTAAAAATAAAAGAGAAACTTCACAAACTATTCCTGTCATGTGTATTTAATTAAATTTCTCCATTAAAGAGAATGACCTACCATCATGACTTTTTCTTGTGCACACATTTTCCTACATTGACAGCATAAATAATTTATATATGATGAGTATAATAACGTCAATTGTTTCATTTTTCGAATCAAGAGCATGAAAATGGTCATCAACATACACCCCTGCAAGTAAAACAGCTGATGCAGCTGTTAAACCATAATTAAACTGAACAAGTTCCATAGATAAGACGACAACAGAAACTTTTTGTGAACTTTTCAAAATTTTATGAATTTTTGTCTTTTCATCATATTCATAAAGAAAGTATAGATAAATCATAGTTTAATGAAAGAGCAATCTTCATAGCTTGACAATTCTTTCAAAACAACGAGAAGTTTTAAGATAATCCGATGGTTTACGGTAATACACGAGTTATTCAGAGCGTTTTCGACAATTTCCGGGATTTTCCGAGAATGTCAGAGTAAGTCCGAGGCTTTCCGTTAACTTCCGATCGTAAAAATTAGATGTAATATCAACTTTTTGCCATTTTTTTTGAACTTTTGACGCCAGTGAGAAGGAATATCTTAAAGTTTTATCTGGCAACACTGAACCTAAAGTTCTCGTCTTATTTTTGGATTCTCGCTATGTATATCAAAATCTCGACCATCGCCTAATATTCTCGACCATCGCCTAATATTCTCGACCATCGCTTAAAATTCTCAACCCGTATAGTTTGTTTTTCTCAAATGCTAGATCATATTTTGAGCATATGGTTGATATTCTCGACTAGCGGTTAAAATTCTCAATACACTTTTGTCACGTTTGGCTTGCCATAATTGTAGAGCAAAAACAACCCCCAAGGAGCCAAAACGGCCCCGTTGTCTGTTTTAGCTGTCATTGCTAGCCAATATAGCAGCAATTTGAAAAGCTAAAACGATCTCATGGTGCTAAATTGGCCCATATATTTCTATTTTGGCACCAATTGTAGAGCCAAAACAACCCCCATGGAGCCAAAACGGCCCCGTTGTCTGTTTTAGCTGTCATTGCTAGCGAATATGGCAGCAATTTGCAAAGCTAAAACGATCTCATGGTGCTAAATTGGCCCACATATTTCTATTTTGGCACCAGTTGTAGAGCAAAACTGCCCCCATGGAGCCAAAACGGCCCCGTTGTCTGTTTTAGCTCTCGTTGCTAGCCAATATGGCAGCAATTTGCAAAGCTAAAACGATCTCATGGAGCTAAATTGGCTCACATATTTCTATTTTGGCACCAATTGTAGAGTAAAAACAACCCCCATGGAGCCAAAACGGCCCCGTTGTCTGCTTTAGCTCTCATTGCTAGCCAATATGGGTAGCAGTTTCAAAGCCAAAACGACCTCATGGGGCCAAAATGGCCCAATTCTTTTTACTGTGAATAGATCAAATAAATATATGTAAACTGTGTACAAGGTTTATCAAACTCAACTAAAATATAATTTGTTGTAAAATTTATAAATCATCCCTTCTTCGTGTATTTTCATTAGTCAGAGCTAAAATATAAAATTTACCCATCTCATTTTATCGTCTCGCTGTTATGAACAGTATTCAATATTTTACAATAAAAACAGCAGGTGATTAAAATCAAGCATTTATTGAACATTCCAATTTCTTTATTATGAAGAAAAAGCGAAGACATCATGTAAAAGGTTGCGTCTTCTTTAATCTTTCTAATTTTGTTAAGATTTCTAAATTGTTTAATCTAATGTCTCTAGATGTTATTTTTGTGGTGAAATTCACACTTCGTATGTTTCATATTGATACATCCATTGAATTTGGTGGGATTTTCCCAATAACACATTGGATAATTAATCATTTTAAAATACTGACCCTTCTTGCATTATCGCCAACAATTAATTTCATTAGTCTTTTCAAATATCATTGGTACAGCAGAGCTAGAAAATCAACAAGATGAATCAAAATTATGACACGTCACAGAATTTCAGTTATGCATATCATTATTTGCAATAATTTTAATGTTATGCAACACGGCTTGTATTAAGAAGAATTTTTTTCCTCTTTCATATAGTCATGTATCTATTTATCTTATTCCTAACACAAATGATGACATAAAAACATTTTGCTAGGTATGACTTTAAAAATTGCGTCTTATTGGAGTAAAAAGATCACTTCTTCACGTGATAGTACACGTGATTTTTTTCTGGTCTATAATTGTTAAACTTGTTGTAAGATGGACTATTTAAAATATTTGTTTGCTCGAAAAGTTCACAAATTGACAAAAATTAGCATGATGAACTGTCAAGTCCAACCGCCATCAAGTTTGAAGTATCTCTGATTATTGAGATGCGACAAAATTAATCAAAATTATAGACTTCGTGATTAATTACTCTGATATTCCCATTTTAAATAAAGGCTGCCCCTAAAATTTTGAGCCCCCTAACTTTTACTTGCTTCTCACGCCGGAGATCATATTACTTGTTTATCTGGATCTAAACTTTACAAAATGACAAAACTTCATTGACCATGTTTAAAGTTGGAATGTTGACGATTTCAGAGAAGCTCTGTTTATCGATTTCCTTAACTTCCTAAATTATAAATCTTTAATTTTTGAGCTATTTTACATGTAAAAGGCTGGCTGCCCCGTCTTCCTTTATTAGTATTTCAGTTAGTTTGCATGTAATTCAGGATGTTCAATAATTGAAATAAATAATAGTAAACTGTGTAAGGTGTATTGGCATAAAGCTTTCAAGTCAAAACGTCTTTGTGTTCACTTCAGTCATAGCTAAAATAAAAAATTTGCATTTCATATTCTATTGGGTATGAACAGAATTGAATATCTTACAATAAAAACAGCAGGTGATTAAAATTGAAATTTTAGTGAACATTCCAATTTCTTTATTATCAAGCAGAAGCGTAGGCATCACGTAGTTGGTTGTGTCGTCTTTAAGGTTTCTTAATTTGTGAAGGTATGTTGATTTTAAACTCTACCTGTAGTTGTTTCTTTTGATGTAATCTGTCACAAATGACTTATATAAATAATTTCAATGCTAAAGGCATGTGTTATACGGACAACACTTGTAAATTTTGATGAAATTTTTAAACCAACGGAAATTTATACTGGACATTTTACCATTGAAAAGTACGGACCATTCTCATTTTTACATAAACTGCACATACCAAAAGTTTATTTTAAATATTATTATAAGGAGAAGATAGAAAATTGACACAACGAGTCAAAATAATGACACGTCAAAAAATGTTAGATAGGCATGTCATTATGTGCAGTAAGTTTTACTTTTTCAAACATGGCTTTTATCATGACTTGTACAACATTTTACTTTTTTCATTAATTTGTTACGTCTTATACAATTTACAAATCTTCTGTTAAACATATTCTGAATCGTCAACCAAAAACACTCAACAAGATCTTAAATATCTTTGATCAATTTAGATTGTATGTCAACGCACAACCATCAATAATTTAGTGAATATAGGACCAGAATATTTACATCAAAAGAGAGTGTAAAGTTTACTATCTATGTCTTTATATTTCGCAAACTTCACGTTAGATAACTATGGAACAATTAATTGCTACAGATTTGCATGATCACTATTTTTGTGTCCTTTCTGTGTCTTTATTGAAAGGCACTTTTGATATGAACAAGATTTGTCGATTTCGATGGGAGTTTTTAAACAATCATAAATAAATCTTAAATAATTTAACGTTGGAAAACACTTAATATTCCAGCATCATTTCTAGCAATACGATGTAATTAATCAAATATTCTGATAGTTCATTTCAAATATTATTCATACAACTTCTCTGAATAATCAACAAAAAGTGTTAAAATAATGACACGTCACAGAATTTCAGTTATGCACATCATAAATGCGGAATGATTTTAATTTTATCTAACATGGCTTTTATCAAAAAGAATTTTTTCCACATTCATTCTATCATCTAGCTATTTATCTTATTCGTAACACAGATGATGACATAAAATCTTGTTAGGAAAGTCTTTAGAAATTGCACCTACAGGGAGTAAAAAGCTCACTTCTTCACGTGATAGTACATGTGATTATTTTCTGGTCTGTAATTGTTAAACGTGTTGTAAGATTAACTATTTTAAATATTTGTTTGTGTCAAAAAATCACGCAATGACAAAACTTTGCATGATTAACTGTCAAGTCCAAACGCTATCAATTTTGAAGTATCTCTGATTACTGAGATGTGACAAAATTAACGAAAATTATATACTTCGAGATTAATTACTCTGAAATTCTTTTTTTAAATATAGACTGCACCTAAATTCTTGTGCCCCCAACTTTAACTTGCTTCTCACGCCCCTTATCAAATTATATGTTCATCCGAATCAAAAGTTTATAAATTGACAAAACTTCATTGACCACAATTAAAAGTTGGAACGGTGACAATTTCAGAAACGCTCTTTTTATCGATTTTCTTAACTTCTGAAATTATAAATCTTTAATTTTTCAGCTATCTTATTTGTAAAAGTTGGCTGCCCCGTCTTCCTTTATGATTATTTCAGTTAGTTTGCTGCCAATGAGGTGTCAGGCGGGAAACGGATTCTCAATATAAATATTAGAGCCCAACAAATAATTTTAAACATAGTCATAAACAATTTGGTTTTATGAAATTTATCAAAAGAGTGACGTTTCGTCTTTACTCAAGACATCTTCAGACTAATTAGGAAGTTAACAAGAATATGGATTTATACAGAGCTATTTACTTAAATTGAGGTATCAGGTTACTGTGAATGTGTAAGTGTGATGTGATGTAAGTGTGATGTAAGTGTGATGTAAGTGTGATGTATTGTTAGGGTGAGGTGTTGAGACTAGAAAAGCTTAAGCATGATGGAGCTGCCTTGGGTGTTAAGTGAAGGTTTTAGTTTGGAGATGAGGAGGCTTTCGTGGATCATGAGGTCAAATGTGTCGGAGCAGGATGAGATGATTTTAAAATCGTCTGGCGAAGCAGGGTGGTTGGAGGAGTTAATATGAGAAAGAATACTTGACATTAATGGGTTCGTATAGCGTTTTCCAGTCAAAGGAGAGATCCCCAAGTGTTCCGAGATTCTGGTGTGTAAGTGGCGTATGGTTTGACCCACATACGACGCGGAACAGCATCGACATGTGTATAAATAAACACTTACATCACACTTGCAATACACTTACATCACACTTACATCACATCACACTTACACATTCAAAGTAATCTGATACCTCAAACTATGTAAATAGCTCTATATATATCTATATTCTTGTTAACTTCCTAATTAGTCTCAAGATGTCTTGAGTAAAGACGAAACGTCACTCTTTTAATAACTTTCATAAAACCAATATGTTTTTGACTATGTTTAAAATTATTTAATGGGCTCTAATATTTATATTGAGAATCAGTTAGTTTGGATTTAAGTCAAGATGTTCAATAATTGAAATAAATAATAGTAAACTGTAAAAGGTTTATTGGCATGAAGCTTCCAAGTCAATACTTCTTTGTGTTTACTTCAGTCATAGCTAAAATAAATAATTTGCCTTTCATATTCAATTGGGTATGAACAGAATTCAATATTCTACAATAAAAACAGCAGGTGATTAAAATTGAACATTTAAGAACATTCCAATTTTTTTATTATCAAACAGAAGCAAAGACATCACGTAGTCGGTTGTGTCGTCTTTAAGGTTTCTTAATTTGCCAAGGTATGTTGGTTTTAAATTCTATCTGTAGTTGTTTGTTTTGATGTAATCTGTCAGATGTGACTTATATAAATAAATTCAGTACTATACGCATGTTTTATACGGAAAACGCTTGTCAATTTTGATGAAACTTTTAAACAAACCGTAATTTATTTTGGACATTTTACCTTTGGAGAGTACGAATCTTTCTCATTTTTACATAAACTACACATTCCAAAAGCTTATTTAAACATTATTTGTATGGAGAAGCTACATATTGACAAGATGATTCAAAATAATGACACGTCAAAGAATGTTAGATATGCATGTCATTATGCTCAGTAGTTTTACTTTTTCAAACATGACTTTTATCATGACTTGTACAACATTTTACTTTTTTTATTAATCTGTTACGTCTTATACAATTTACAAATCTTCTGTTAAACATATTCTGAATCGTCAACCAAAAACATGTATGTCAACGTACAACTATTAATATATTAGTGAATATAGGACCAGAATATTTACATCGAAAGAGAGTGTAAAATTTATAATCTAGATCTTTACATTTCGCAAATTTTGCGTTAGATATCTATGGAACAATTAGTTGCTACAGATTTGTATGATAACTAATTTTGTGTCCTTTCTGTGTCTTTCTTGAAAGGCAATTTAAATATGAATAAGATTTGTTGATTTTGATGGTATTTTTTAAGCAATCATAAACAAATCTTAGATAATTTAACGTAGGAAAACACTTAATATTCCAGCATCATCGCTAGCAATACGATGTATTTAATCAAATATTCCGATAGTTCATTTCAAATATTATTCATACAACAGGTCTAAAAAATCAACAGGATGTGTTAAAATTATGACACGTCACAGAATTTCAGTTATGCATATCATAAATGCGGAATGATTTTAATTTCATCCAACACGGCTTTTATCAAGAAGAATTTTTTTCCTCTTTCATATAGTCATTTATCTATTTATCTTATTCCTAACACAGATGATGCCATAAAAACGTTTCGCTAGGTATGTCTTTAGAAATTGCGCCCACTTGGACTAAAAAGCTCACTTCTTCACGTGATAGTACACGTGATTATTATTTTGGTCTATAATTGTTAAACTTGTTGTAAGGTTAACTATTTTAAATATTTGTTTGCGTCAAAAAATCACGCAATGACAAAACTTTGCATGATTAACTGTCAAGTGCAAACGCTATCAATTTTGAAGTACCTCTGATTACTGAGATGTGACAAAATTAACGAAAATTATAGATTTCGAGATTAATTACTCTGAAATTCCTATTTTAAATAAAGACTGCCCCTAAATTCTAGTGCCCCCCACCTTTAACTTGCTTCTCAAGCCCCTGATCAAATTATTTGTTTATACGGATCAAAAGTTTACAAAATGACAAAACTTCATTCACCACAATTCAAAGTTGGAACGCTGACAATTTCAGAGAAGCTCTGTTTATCGATTTTCTTAACTTCCTAAATTATAAATCTTTAATTTTTGAGCTATTTTATTTGTAAAAGGCTGGGTGCCCTGTCTTCCTTTATGATTATTTCAGACAGTTTGCATTTAAGTCAGGATGTTCAATAATTGAAATAAATTATAGTAAACTGTGATAGGCTTATTGGCATAAAGCTTCCAAGTCAATACTTTTTTGTGTTTACCTCAGTCATAGCTAAAATGAAAAATTTGCATTTCATGTTCTATTGGTTATGAACAGAATTCAATATTTTGCAATAAAAACAGCAGGTGATTAAAATTGAACATTTAGGAACATTCCAATTTCTTTATTATCAAGCAGAAGCAAAGGCTTCATGTAGTTGGTTGTGTCGTCTTTAATCTTTCTGAATTTGAGAAGGTATGTTGACTATAAATTTTACCTATCATAGTGTCATCGTTTCTTTCTATGCCTAGAATTTTTTTATACTAGTCATAAAAAACCTGAATGTCAATTTCGTGGCAGAATTAACAATTCATATAATTTATATTGCTACATCTGTTGATTTTCGTGGGATTTTCCCAATAACACATTGGATAATTTATCATTTCAAAATACTGACCTTTCTTGCATTATCACCAACAATTACTTTCACTAGTCTTTTCAAATCTCATTGGTACGGCAGAGCTAAAAATTCAACAAGATGAATCAAAATTATGATACGTCGCAGAAAATCAGTTATGCATATCATTATGCGTAATAATTTTAATTTTATCTAACATGGCTTTTATCAAGAAGAGTTTTTTTCCTCATTCATATAGTCATCTATCTATTTATCTTATTCGTAACACAGATGATGACATAAAGACATTTTGCTAGGTATGTTTTCAGAAATTGCACCTACTTGGAATAAAAAGCTTACTTCTTCACGTGATAGTGCACGTGATTTTTCCTGGTCTATAATTGTTCATTTTATTGTAAGATGGACTATTTAAAATATTTGTCTGGGTCAAAAATTCACAAAATGACAAAACTTTTCATGATTAACTGTCAAGTCCAAACGCTATTAATTTTGAAGTATCTCTGATTACTGAGATGTGACAAAATTAACGAAAATTATAGACTTTGAGATTAATTACTCTGAAATTCTCTTTTTAAGTAAAGACTGCCCCTAAAATCTTGAGCCCGCCAACTTTTACTTGCTTCTCACGCCCCTGATCAAATTATTTGTTTATCCGTATCAAAATTTACAAAACGACAAAACTTCATTGACCACGTTTCAAAGTTGGTTCGCTGACAATTTCATTGTGTTTACTTCAGTCATAGCTAAAATAAAAAAATTTGCAAATTAGAATATCTATTGGGTATGAACAGAATTCAATATTTTACAATAAAAACAGCAGGTGATTAAAATCAAGCCTCTATTAAACATTCCAAATTCTTTATTATCAAGCAGAAGCAAAGTCATCATGTAGCTGGATGTGTCGTCTTTATTGTTTCTGAATTTGTGAGGGTATGTTTATTTTAAATTCCATCTGTAATTGTTTGTTTTTTTGTAATCTATCACAAATGACTTATCAATAATTTCAGTACTACGCATGTGTTATACGGACAACACTTGATGAAATTTTTAAACAAACGCTAATTTATTTTGGACATTTTACCATTGGAAAGTAAGTACCTTTCTCACATTAACATAAGTACACATTCCAAAAGTTTATTTTAAATATTATATGTATGGAGAAGATACAAAATTGACAAGATCATTTAAAATACTGACTTGTCAAAGAATGTTAGATATGCATGTCATTATGTGCAATAATTTTACTTTTTCTAACATGGCTTTTATCAAGACGTAAACAACATTTTACTTTTTTCATTAAATTGTTACGTCTTATACAATTTACAAATTTTCTGTTAAACATATTCTGAATCGTCAACGAAAAACACTTAACAAGATCCTAAAGATCTTTGGTCAATTTAGATGGTTTGTCTACGTACAACGATTAATAGTTTAGTGAATATAGGACCAGAATATTTACACCAAAAGAGAGTGTAAAGCCTGTTTTCCACTAGCCACGTATCGTAACGTATCGTAGCAAAACGTAACATGGCGCATGCGTGCTTATGAATTTGATGGTCAATATGCACAAGCACGCATGCGCCATGTTACGTTTTGCTACGATACATTACGATACGTGGCAAGTGGAGAAGAGGCTTAAAGTTTATTATCTAGATCTTTATTTTCGCAAATTTTGCGTTAGATAACTATGGATCAATTAGTGGCTACAGATTTGCATGATCACTATTTTTGTGTTCTTTCTGTGTCTTTGTTGAAAGGCATTTTTGATATGAATAACATTTGTTGAGATTGATGGGTTATTTAAACAATCACAAATAAATTTTAGATAATTTAACGTTGGAAAACACTGAACTTTCCAGCATCATCGCTAGCAATACGATGTAATTAATCAAATATTCTGATTCAGTGGACGTCTTTTTAGCTTTTTATTAACTGCTTACGCAAACAACCCCATGGAGTTAAGCTCAAATGCCCGACGGTCACTTAAACTTCAGCCAAACTCAATTGTTTTGTAAGAAACAGACACGTGGAACTGTTTTTGGTGTAAATGTAAGACAAATTTTTTGAGCTTTTTTGTCATTTTTAGGTTTTCCAAAACATTTTAAGTGTTAGGCATGTTTTAAGAAACTTTAATGACTAACAATAGGCACTCCCTATAGGGCTTTTCAGTAACTATTTACAAAATTAAATACATATACATATTTGTCTTATAAATGTATGTAAAAAAAGATTATTATTAAAAGGATTTTTAAAAATAAAAGTAACATTTCAAGATGGAACTACAAAAGATCTTTCAAAGCTTTTTTAAAAGAATCAAGAGACTTGGAATCTTTCACATCTTTGTCTGAATTGTTCCACAATTTGACTGCCCTATATGAAAATGTGCGTTGGCCCGTTGATGTTTTGAACCTCGGAATTTGAAATAGGTCTCTATTACGGGTGGCCCGATCGTGAGGACTCTTATGGAACTTTTTGCAGAGATATTCGGGGGCAAGGTTCTTTACGCACTTGTATGTCAAGAAGTGCGTAAGAAACACTGAGATTCAGGGACGATGGCCTCGGCAACATTTGTGATTAGCCTGTTGAGGACTACTCGGGCCAAAACCTTGCCTGCGATGCAGAGGAGGGATATGCCTCGATGGTTGTCACATGAGGTCTTATCGCCTTTCCTCTTATAGATGTGCACGACGGCAGCATCTTTGAAGTCCTGGGGGACCTTGACAACTTTGCAAACCTCCTGGAACAGGGATGTCAGTTTGTCCAGGAGTGCCTGGCCTCTGTTCTTGTAGACGTCAGCTGGAATGCCATCAGGCCCAGGAGCCTTTCCAGACCCTGTCTGCTTGAGGGCTTTCGCAACCTCGTCTCTGGTGGGTGGGTCGGCAATTTCCTCTTTGATTGGCAGCTGGGGGAGGGACTCAGTGGCTTCTTCGTTCATCTGTGACTCGCTATTCAGCAGCTTGTTGAAGTGTTCAGCCCAGCGTGAAAGTATGTCAGCTTTGTCTGTTAGCAATGTCATTCGGTCTGCAGACCTGATGGGGGTACAGCCTGACGATTTTGGACTGTACACCGCGCGAAGCCCATCGTGGAGCTTTTTTGAGTCGTGAGCATCAGCTGCCACTTGGATTTCTTCGGCTTTCTTTTTCCACCAGGCGTTCTTCATTTCCCGCAGCTTGTGTTGCACATGCTGCCTCACTTGCTGGTAGTCTTGCTTCTTCTTCTCGCAAGCTTTGTCCCCTATAAGGTCACTGTGAGTCTTATGGAGCCTGTCAATAAGCCTGTTGATCTCAGCGTCATTCTCGTCAAACCAGTCTCGATGTTAACGCTCAACGTATCCAAGTACACAAGCTGCAGAGTTGTAGACGGCTTCTATGAAAGTGCTCCAGTCTTCCTCTATATCCTCGCCCGTGATGTTAATGTTTCCCAGGGCTACATCTAGCTTCTCTTGCAGCTCTTCTTTGTTGGGTGGAATGCGAGCTACATTCAACTTCCTCAGTGGCTTCTCTCTTGCTGATTTGTTCTTTCTGGCGAGCTGGATGTTCATCTTGCTTCGTAGCAGGCGGTGATCAGACCAACAGTCGGCACCTCGCATGCAGCGTGTGATGTGCACGTCTCTGCGGTCACTCTGGCGGACGATTACGTAGTCCAGCATGTGCCACTGTTTGGAGCGAGGGTACATCCATGTGCTCTTCATCTTGTCAGCTTGTTGAAAGAGAGTGTTAGTAATGGTTAGCTCGTGCTGTGCGCACAGAGATAGTAGCATCAGGCCATTGTAGTTGCACTTGCCAGTTCCATGGCGACCCAGGATGTTTGGCCATATGGTGTAGTCTACTCCAACTCGTGCGTTAAAGTCTCCAAGGATGATGAGTTTGTCTCTGCGGTCAACACTGGAGAGTAGCTGGTTGAGCTCTTCATAGAAGGCTTCCTTCACTTCATCTGGGTTTGTCATTGTAGGGGCGTAGGAGCTGACAATTGTTGCGTTGCAGTCTTTCTGGAGTTTCAGCCGCAGGGTCATGAGGCGATCGCTGATGCCCTGTGGCAAGCTGACTAGTCGCCTTGCGAGCTGAGTGCGTATGGCAAATTCCACGCCTGAGTGTCTTGGATCGCCAATGTCCACGCAGTAGAAGGTGTAGCCCCACCGACCTCATCCAGTTGAGTTTCATCTGCAAGTCTGGTCTCACTAAATGCGGCTATGTCCAACTGGTATTGTCCAAGCAACCTTGCTATTAGAGCAGTGCGTCGCTCTGGTCTGTCTCCTCTGTCCAACAGCGTTTTCACGTTCCATGCCCCAATGGTTAAGCGCTTTCTTGTTTTGTTATCCTTAGTTGTACGACCGCTTAGTTGGATGCCCAGGCAGGTGCGGTTCCTGCAAGGTGCAAGTAGAGCAGGCTTTGTTTAGGGATCGCAGTGCTAACCCTAAAGAGGGCTGCTCTGTCACTGCGAGAGGATACGGGCGCCGTATCTGCCCGAGGTTTACGGCGGACGACCATCAATTCGCATCTGCCTGCCTGCAGAGTCATGGCTAAGATCTTTCACCAGCATCCTCTGCCTGTTCCCGTCACCATTTCTCCATCGCCACAGGACTTGAGATAGCTGGCGCAAAAAAGGGGTGGTTGCATCACTTGATTCCGGCAAACCTGCTTGCCTGACCAGCACAAGTGAATTTTTTAGGTGAAGAGGGGATGTGCATGCCCGTCTCCACCCTCTCGCCTACTGACGCTCAATGCTCCACAGGTGCAGAAGCTGCCACGTGTAGAGCAGCCCCAGCAGGTGCAGCTTTCTTCTTCGGAGTATCTGTCTCCTAGCCCTTCCCGTGACCAAGCACACCGCAAGGCAGCGGAGGTTTGGAGTCAGGGTTTTCCTTCCCTTAGGTGGGATACCTTCCTGGGTTAACGAGCCACCACCTGCCCGAAGCATCTGGTTTTAAGGCGCCAGAGACCCGCCTTCGCCCTTTCTCCTGTCGGTAAAAGCAGTTCCGCCGGGGTTAGAAGTAAAGCCACACGAGCAGGCCAGGAGTTGGACTTGGTTGACAGAGGCTGTTTGAGACGTACGCCGTAAGGAGCATTTTGTAAACACCGGGAGCTTATCCCCGGAGCCACTCCTGGCTGTGTCAACTTTGAAACCAATGATAATCAATCTACGTAACGTTATAACACGAAGAATGTACAAATCCGCCAAGGTTAAACTGGGAAGTTAAAAAATTGAAACTATTCATGTTGTGATAAATATTGCAAAAGTCTCCCAGTGTAGAAGCAAGTTTAAGGGCCATTTCGCTAGCGACTGACGTGGTACAAATTCCGTGCCCACCCACTCGCAAAATCCTGGCAACCAAACTGTAGCCAAATGCCTAAATGCAGGAAAACTAAAATGTCCAATTGCGTTGTTTTTAACTGCCATCCTCGATATTCATTTACACTTACAAGTAAAACTGTAACATTACGTAGCTATGTTTGATCTTCAACAATTTTAATTATCTAAAAACTCAAATTAAAGAACAAATTTATATTGATATAAATAATTTTATGACCCTTAGATGCAGTCAAGAGAAAAAATTAATAACTTCTACCTGCGAGAAACACTTGCAGATGTTAGAAAGAAACTTGTTGATGTTTTTATCGATGAGTGGAACACTCATTGCGGAAAAGACCACGGAGAATGGGATAATTCCCACGTTAGTGGTCAGATATTGTTCAATGATGAAATTTCAAAAAGGAGACCTCCTAACAAAGATATTCTGTCAAATTTTCAAAATGGTGACACCAGTAAGTGGGATTGTACGACGCTATTCGCAGCAATATTGTATTCAAACTTAATTGGAACAAAAATTGATCCAAAAGTTAGAGATGCTGTGAATGAACTTCGTGAAGTAAGAAACAAAACCGCTCATAATGATGATGGTAAATTATCAGATGCTGAATTTCACAAAATGGTTTGTGATATTGAAAAGTCGTTTAAAGACTTGAAATTTTTACTCCCTAAAATTTCACTTTCACTCACTGAAATTAGTGAAATAAAAAGTCAACGAAACCTATTTTATTCTTTTCAAGTACTTCCTTGCAAACCAAATCACGATGTGGTTAAACGTACAGAGTTACTTAAACAAATCACAGCAGATCTCAATAACTTGCGCAGTACTAACAATAATGAACTAACATATTACTATATTTCTGGTAATCCTGGCAGTGGTAAATCTCAATTAGCCAGACAAATTTGCGAAGATATGTTTAAGTCAGTAGACTGGGAACATAACACAACATTTGTGATGACACTAGAAGGAAATGTTGCAGAATCAGTTTTAAAAACTTATGCTGAACTTTGTCAACGATTAAACAATGATAAAACTGTCATTGAAAATATTCGGAAAGAAGCAAAAAGCAGCAAAGAGAAAATTAAAAATTTTCAATTATTGCTGACACAGCAACTGAAATCTTGGCAAACATGGTGGATTGTTGTAGATAACGTGATTGAACTTCATAAAATTTATCCATTATTACCTCAAGTTGGTGATCATAGCTGGGAAAATGGTCAAATTATAGTAACTGTCCAAAATACAGATGCTATACCATCAGATGGAAATCTAAGTAAACACATTTCAGTTAGTCATGGTATGAACAATGAAGAATGTCAAAAACTTCTATCTGTCCCTTCTGATATTCATAATAAAGATGAAAAACTTTTAAAGGATTTATCAGACAAATTAGATCGTCAACCGTTGTTCCTGGCAAATGCTGCTTCCTACGTACGTGAAGTAAGAAGTATAGATCCGACATTCACGTGGGAGAAGTATTTTGACAAGTTGAATAAAGGAGAGCGACAGAACATGGATGCAATTGTTCAAAAAAAAAACACATCTTACTTAGGAATGAAAACTGTTATGTTAGCAGTTCAAAAAAATGCTGAAGAATCCATCTTGTTGGAACATGTTTTTAAACTTTTCTCAATAATATCTTTCGATCCCTTACCACAAGATGTAATAATACAATTTATTACAACCATTGATCCACAAAAATCTGCAGAAGATGTCTGTCTTCAATTAAAGCATTGTTCTTTATTTCTTCAAACGGAAAACAATGACATTCGCCTGCACAGCGTTGTACACGAAGCCATCATAAATTATTCATCCCAGACCTATGGCTGTAAACAAAACGAAAATAATTCTCAAAAGTCTGCAGCTGATCTTGCCTGCCAAGTTGCTTGGGCACTAAATCATTTTGAAGGCAGAGAAGATGAAATCACAATAATTCCACATCTAATTCAATTCATAACAAATTTATCATTTCAACAATTCCTAAATAAGTTGATCGATGTAAAATCATCAAAACAAAAACTTGATGAAAAAAATTGGAATATTGCCAAATATTTTGTAGATGTTTTGGAAAGATTTTGCAACTATAAACTTGCAACTAAAGTACTTAATGAAATAACAGACATTCAAACTAAAGTGTTAGGTGTTGATCACATTGATGTTTCAAATTCGTACAACGAGCTGGGTGTATTGCTTTTGAAAAATGGAGAATATAAAAATGCTAAAGATTTTCTCGAGCGAGCAATGGGATTTCAAGCAAAAACACTTGGACCTGACCATGTTGATATTGCAGAAACGTACAACAATCTGGGTTCAGTTTACGATTATATGGGAGAGTACGAAAAAGCAAAAGATTTTCATGAACGAGCGATGAAAATTCAAACGAAAACATTTGCACCTGACGGTGTTAATATTGCGTCAACGTACAACAATCTGGGTTCGGTTTACCAAAATATGGGAGAGTACGAAAAAGCAAAAGATTTTTATGAACGAGCGATGAAAATTCAAACGAAAACATTTGGACCTGACCATGTTGAGATCGCGACAACATACAACAATCTGGGTTTGGTTTACGATCATATGGGAGAGTACGAAAAAGCAAAAGATTTTTATGAACGAGGGATAGAAATTAAAACAAAAGCATTTGGACCTGACCATGTTAATATTACGACTACGTACAACAATATGGGTTCAGTTTACAGTAAAATGGGAGAGTACGAAAAAGCAAAAGATTTTTATGAACGAGCGATACAAATTCAATTGAAAACATTTGGACCTGACCATGTTAATACTGCGCCAACGTACAACAATCTGGGTTCGGTTTACAAAAATATGGGTGAGAACGAAAAAGCAAAAGAATTTTTTGAACGAGCGATAGAAATTGAAACGAAAACATTTGGACCTGACCATGTTAATATTGCGACAAGGTACAACAATCTGGGTTTGATTTACAGTGATATGGGAGAGTACGAAAAAGCAAGAGATATTTATGAACGAGTGATGAAAATTGAAAAGAAAATATTTGGACCTGACCATGTTAAAATTGCGTTAAGGTACAACAATCTGGGTACGGTTTACTATAATATGGGAGAGTACGAAAAAGCAAAAGATTTTTTTGAACGAGCGATAGAAATTGAAACGAAAGCATTTGGACCTGACCATGTTGATATTGCGACAAAGTACAACAATCTGGGTTCAGTTTACGATAAATTGGGAGAGTACGAAAAAGCAAGAGATTTTTATGAACGAGCGATGACAATTCAAACGAAAACATTTGGACCTGACCATGTTAATATTGCGACAATGTACAACAATCTGGGTTGGGTTTACGATAATATGGGAGAGTACGAAAAAGCAAATGATTTTTATGAACGAGCGATAGAAATTAAAACGAAAACATTTGGACCTGACCATGTTAATATTGAGACAACGTACAACAATCTGGGTTTGGTTTACAATAAAATGGGAGAGTACGAAAAAGCAATAGATTTTTTTGAACGAGCGATAAAAATTCAAACAAAATCACTTGGACCTGACCATGTTAAGATTGGGATAACGTTCAGCAATCTGGGTTTGGTTTACAATAACATGAGAGAGTACGAAAAAGCAAAAGATTTTTTTGAACGAGCAATAAAAATTCAAACAAAATCATTTGGACCTGACCATGTTAATATTGGGACAATGTACAGCAATCTGGGTTGGGTTTACAGTGAAATGGAAGAGTACGAAAAAGCAAAAGATTTTTATGAACGAGCGATGAAAATTCAAACGAAAACTTTTGGACCTGACCATGTTGATATTGCGTTAACCTACAACAATCTGAGTTCTGTTTACAGTAAAATGGGAGAGTACGAAAAAGCAAAAGATTTTTTTGAACGAGCGATAAAAATTCAAACGAAAGCATTTGGAACTGACCATGTTAGTATTGCGACAATGTACAACAATCTGGGTTCGGTTTACAGAGATATGGGAGAGTACGAAAAAGCAAAAGATTCTTATGAACGAGCGATGAAAATTAAAACAAAAGCATTTGGACCTGACCATGATAATATTGCGGCAACGTACAACAATCTGGGTTCGGTTTACGAGGAGATGGGAGAGTACGAAAAAGCAAAAGATTTTTATGAACGAGCGATAGAAATTGAAACGAAAACATTTGGACCTGACCATGTTAATATTGCGTCAACGTACAACAATCTGGGTTTGGTTTACAGTAAAATGGGAGAGTACGAAAAAGCAAAAGATTTTTATGAACGAGCGATGAAAATTCAAACGAAAGCATTTGGACCTGACCATGTTAGTATTACGACATTGTACAGCAATCTGGGTTTGGTGTACTATAAAATGGGAGAGTACGAAAAAGCAAAAGATTTTTTTGAACGAGCGATAGAAATTGAAACGAAAGCATTTGGACCTGACCATGTTAATATTGGGACAACGTACATCAAACTGGGTGAAGTTTACACTCAATTGGGAGAGTACAAAAAAGCAAAAGATTTTTATGAACGAGGGATGAAAATTGAAGTGAAAGCAATTGGACCTGACCATGTTAATATTGCGAAAACGTACAACAATCTGGGTTTTGTTTACAGTAAAATGGAAGAGTACGAAAAAGCAAAAGATTTTTATGAACGAGCAATAGAAATTATGTTAAAAACATTCGGACCTGACCATATTAATATTGCGACAACGTACGACAATCTGGGTTCGGTTTACGAGGAGATGGGAGAGTACGAAAAAGCAAAAGATTTTTATGAACGAGCGATGAAAATTCAAAGGAAAACATTTGTACCTGACGGTATTAATATTGCGACAATGTACAACTATCTGGGTTCGGTTTACGAGGATATGGCAGAGTACGAAAAAGCAAAAGATTTTTATGAACGAGCATTAGAAATTCAAACAAAAACATTTGGACCTGACCATGTTAATATTGCAACAACGTACAACAATCTGGGTTCTGTTTACAGTAAAATGGGAGAGTACGAAAAAGCAAAAGATTTGTTTGAACGAGCGATGAAAATTAAATCGAAAACATTTGTACCTGATCATGTTAATATTACGAGAAATGAATCACGCTGTAATTTACTGTGATAGGAAAACACAAAAAAACAACATAACAAAGTTTATAACAAGCAATAGAACTTGAAAGTGAAGCATTTGACCTCTATATTTATCTTTTATTTGCCAACAGCTAAGTCTTCCGTTTTGGAAAAACGTTTCACGAGATAAAGGAAGAAAAAAAGGACGAAAGACAGTTGTACTTTCAGTTTAGAGCGATAAAAATTGAAACGAAATCATTTGGACATGAACATGTACTGCAATAATATACAACAATCTTCATTTGGTTATAAACAAACAATAGATATTCAAACTGAAGCATTTGGACTTCTATTTATCTTTTATTTGCTAGAAGCTAAAATACTTCTGTCTTTGAGAAACCGAACAAGGAGATAGAAGAAGAGGAAATGAATTTGTAGCTCATTTTCAATGATGAAGAAAATCAATTTCTCTTTTCATTTTAGGTATGTCTTCTTACAGCTGATTAGAAACAGTTGTATTGTAGATTTCTTTTAACAAAAGTTCAACGAACAACAGTTGTTTATTTATAAAAGGTATAAATATATTATTGACAATATTCAAACATTTGTATTTTCAAGTTTTCAACTGTCATTTATTTACTGGAACAGTTTTTAATGAGAAACTTGTATGGAACTATCAAAGTATATTTATGAGTTTAGTTTGCAATATCTAGCTATTCAGAAGTTTTGAAGTTCCTTAAAATGAATGTTGTTGGGTCATTTTCTTGTATAATGAGAGTAAATAGTGATCTTACAGCGACCATGATCATGTAACATCCCTTTTTAAAATGTTGAAAAGCCCATAAGATTTGCTTTGCTATATAAGTATGAATACAGTCTTTTCTATATTTAATTCTATTCATTCATACAATTTACAAAATATACTTTCTATTTATGAGAATTGTAGTTGTTTGAAATGGACATGCAGTTGTTATTTGATTCAATCATACTTGATTTGGGGACTAACAACTTAGTTGTTGTGACATTGCATTGTTTTTTTTTACTTTGAAGGAAATATTTATTTATTGATTTAATCATTTAATGATTGATTCAATAATACTTTTTTATAGTTTAAACTATAAAGGCAATGTAAAGTAAAAGTTATAAATAACCTGAAGAAAAAAAAGTAGGATATCATTGCCATAGCATTGAAGTAAAAATGACTCATTTAACTGTCAGACTACCCGATTTTAGACTATCAGATTTATTAATATGTAAAAAATCCCAGCAGTGGCACAGATAACAGGTTAATTAGGGGGCACAAATTCATACATGCATGTCTTAATCTGTTGAAAACAATGGATTTCAAAAGAACTCAATGTGATAGAACATGAATATATGAATATGTGCCTCCTACCCAAAATAAAGAGTCTGCTATGTCATTTATTCCCAGGGCATCTTGAAGAGCTCTGGCATTGACAGAAGTAAAAATGACTCATTTAACTGTCAGACTACCAGATTTTAGACTATCAGATTTACTAATATGTAAAAAATCCCAGCAGTGGCACAGATAACAGGTTAATTAGGGGGGGGGCACAAATTCATACATGCATGTCTTAATCTGTTGAAAACAATGGATTTCAAAAGAACTCAATGTGATAGAACATGAATATATGAATATGTGCCTCCTACCCAAAATAAAGAGTCTGCTATGTCATTTATTCCCAGGGCATCTTGAAGAGCTCTGGCATTATGTGTAACAGTTAGTATTTCATTTTGCAAAGAACTTCTTATTATTTTTTTTCTAAAACATTATTTGAACATTAGAGAACTTGTGTACAAACCATAAAAAGTTTGTATTAGGAATATATTTCTAGGGCAACACCTTCCTTAAAAGTATGTATCCATGTTCAGGAGTGAATGACATGATTAGACATTTTTGGCTAATGTCTTTACAACTGATAAGAACAGTAAATGAGTCATTTCTACTGGTGTCTTTACTACTGATATGGACAGTAATGAGTCATTTTCATTGCTATGACATTCATGTCTTGCTTTTGCTTTAGTTTATACTTTACATTGCTTTGAAACTGATTCTCCCAGCTACACAATTCTTTTAAACACAAATTAGATTTTACCATTTATCACAGTGAACAGAAATTTGTATGTTTACACAGCAAAGCCAGTGTTTGGGCTTTTTAAAACTTACTAAGCACTATAAATTTTTCATGTAAATAATGTACATTTTAAGATTTTTTTATTAAACAACAAAAAGAACCAAACAAACACTCCATTAAAACCTTTGCCTACAGAAATTGAAAATACAACTGTTGCTGGTCAGCTAAAGGAGAAAGAAAACAAACCCAAAAGCCAGGGCTAACAAAGCATCTTGTTCCTTGAAATGGAGCCACAAAACCATTTCTTTCTGCAAAGACTAAACACAATAAAAATCCTTTGCTGACAAGCGTTTTGGTAGACCTGACAATGTAATTTATCTTTACTTATGTTTTAGGTAGTGATGTAGCCAAGAAAAATGGGGCTTTTACTCTAATCATGTGTGTCTGCCCATATTTTCTGTTGTAATCTCATATGTAGTGTAGTGAGTAACGAAAAAGTAATTGAACAGCAAAATATTTATTTTCATAGCACTGGTAGACTTGCTATAGACCAGGGGCGGATCTAGGATTTTTCAAACATCAGTAATAAAACGTCGGAGGCGCTCCGCACTTGGGGGGGTCTCCCCTGAGAAATTTTGAATTTCAGATCCTTGAAAATGCCATTTTCAGCGTTTTAGAGCAATACATAATGTATTTTGTGGACATAGTTTTTGCGTAGAAACAACACATTTTGCTTACGTGTTTTTCAAAAAAAAAATATGAAGTGAACAATACTTGAATGCTTTGACAAATATTTAGGCTCATTATCATGTCAAATATATGGCTCATTAGCATGTCTAGGAACGTAAAATTTATTTTATAATAATGCTTTTCAAAAACAGATATAGTCTTTAAAAATTTCTACCAAATTGTCAGGCATAGACCCCCCTAGAGACCCCCATTCAAACCTCTATGTAATGAGTTAAGTTAGAAATTCGGTACTACAAGTGACAGTTCATAGATATAGAAAAGCTCAGACTTCAAAACATGTAAGTTTATTGTAACCCTTTACCCATCTCATGCCAGTTTTGAAAAAACTCAAAATTTTTTTCTGCCAAAGATTGAGCAAAAATTATCAGAGTGAAAATTTGCAATTAAGGACAGCTTAATGCCATAAATGTTTATTATGGGATAAAAATGAAGTTAATTATCAGCTGAAATACCTTCTTCAAGGATACCACTGTCATTAGCACTGTGCATTTTCTTCAAGTCTTCTGAATGTTTACCACCATTTTTCTCAGCATATGCCAACAGCCTGTGACGCCCGACTTTGTTGAAGTTTACCTTTACCTGTGTAGCTACGTCTTTATTCCCCATAACTTTTGCAAATTCAGCCTTGATCTGTAGTAATATAATATACAGCAGTTACCTATAAGCTTTGCTAAACTTATGTACGTATTTTATGGGATGAAAATACTACTAGCTACTAACGTATAGCAGATTTTTTAAAGGAGGGAACATTTCAACAACTTCCATTATTCTTCTGACGTCTTCGTGGACAAGTGATCACCTTGAAGCATAGCATGCAGCCATCAACTCCTGAATTTTTTCATAATCCTTTTTAGCTGACTGCCACTTCTTTTTTGTTTTTGATACAACTGCTGTAAGATCTTTACTTTCGCACGGCTCGGGAACGTTCGTCCAACAATGACTGTTCCTTTTCTTTGTTGTTTTGCCTTTAGTTTGCGAAACATTGGTAACAGGCGTGTTAGATCTCTTTCTTTGCAATTTTTTTAATTGGTTATAGATTTTCATCTCAAAAGATCCCTATAAAAGAAAGCTTTCACTTAAAAGTAGTAAAAGACAAGTAAATTTATTTTTTATCATTTACAAAATAGAGACGCAAGCAGCCCATTACAACAAAAACGCATATAACAAAGTGATAATGTAAATTTGCATCACATAGTTTCGATTAGGGGATGGGATGGGAAGAAGGTGTCCTTCTCTTCAAAATACTAAAGCCTAGTTAAATGTTTGTAAATGATGATCGTCCAGGTTAATAAAGTCCTGAGAAGGACTGTTTTTGATGTTGTTGACTGACGTTTCGACAACATCAAAAACAGTCCTTCTCAGGACTTTATTAACCTGGACGATCATCATTTACAAACATATAACGATACTCCCGGGTTCAAACCATTTACTTTAAAGCCTAGTTAACATATATTTGTATATAATTGTTGTAACTCTATCGGCGTTGAAGGTTCATATAAATTATAAGTTTATGAGAACGCGCGTTGTAATTGTTGTAAGTAATTTAATCGCAAAAATTCTGGAGTTAGTCAAATCAAAAGCACTTGTGATTAGAGATAAATGGAGGATGCCACTACAATTGGTAAAATATGTAACAGAATTTAACAAAAGAAGTCTGACATCCTTTGCCAACAAATACGTTCTCACAGAAATCACATCCACTCTAGACAAGTAGTAACCCAAACCACACCCATGCTATTCCCAAACACACACCCCTGCCGAAAAATCGTGGATACACATCCCTGATTTACATTTTTGTGTTAGTTAGTTAGTCACCACCCAGTTATTCATTTTAGCAGGCATGATTATAAGAAATTGAGGTGTGACGTCATTAAATGTATTTATCATGACTGTTAGCAAAAAGAATGTGTGGTTTCTTTAAAAGAGATTTATTGAGGCAAGTTAAACTTTGTAACTGCCCAAAATGCTTTATGATGTACAAAGTTTTAACTTGTCTGGCAAAATCGCTTTTGAAAAATCATACATTCTTATTTTTGCTAACAGTAAAATACAATTAATGACATCACACATGTCAGCTATAAAAAATTCCTATTACTTACAAGGAGCTAACATTCATGTGATCAACATTCATTATTATTTGACACATACGTATAATGAAACAAAACAAAATAATAATTGAACAAAATGTCATATTATAAACACTTTTAAGTATCATTCACCCATGGCTTTGAGTTTGCATCCAATAGTTGATCCTTCAGGAATGGATATTATTCAACAATCATAAGTGCAATCATTACACGTTCTGTTTTGCTGGGATGGTTTGTAAATCTCAGCACACTAGTGCAGACATTTCTGATGAGCTCGTTAATCAGATTTGAGTGTAAATACTCTGTTTTCAGCTTCAACAGCATAAAAATACTAAAACACAAAAATACTTATTGTGACCTGTCTTCCCTCCCCCCAAAAAATGGTTAGAGGCTATTTTAGGGGCAAGGTAATGTCAGAAATTTAGAAATACAATTGTGGTTTTGAAATTGGTAAAATGGCTAAAGAAATGGCTGTTGAGAGATTAACTCTAAAACAAAAGCTGATCATTCATCAGCTCACCTCTATAAGTACTTAAACCTTAATAACTTTTGTAAGCCTTCAACTTTAACCACACACTTAAGCATAATATTCTTACTATTCTAAATAATAAATGAGCTGATGTTAGTGTATTGTACTTACATGATTTGGAATTTTGTAGTTTCGTAAGAAATCCTTAAACAAGTAAAATATTACTAAATTGCAAATTAGACTTTTACAAGTACTTCAAGTTCCAATTATTGAACAAATGACAATAAACTTGAATACTTTTGGGGTACGGGAATTTGCATTAAGAGCATTTGGGCACTATAAATTACAATTGAACTATTAATGAATGTTCACAGCAAGTTTAAGTAGGAATGAGCTTAGGAGAGGGGAGTGAAGGAGCAGGACTTGTGGTGGTGCTGTTACTTTTATCACTACAAAAAATACAAATAAAACCAACAATAGAAATCTCGTAACATTAATAAAGAGGTTATAAGATTTCAACAAATGTGTACAACATAATATGTATAGCAACAAGTTATCAAAGTCTAATCTGAACTAAAGGACCTTCCACCCCCAATACAGAACCATTGTGGATCATGACTATATGTATTATTATATGTAACCATGACTATATGTATTATTATATGGAACCATGACTATATTTATTATTATATGTAACCATGACTATATGTATTATTATATGGAACCATGACTATATGTATTATTATATGTAATCATGACTATATGTATTATTATATGGAACCATGACTATATGTATTATTATATGTAACCATAACTATATGTATTATTATATGGAACCATGACTATATTTATTATTATATGTAACCATGACTATATGTATTATTATATGGAACCATGACTATATGTATTATTATATGGAACCATGACTATATGTAATATTATATGCAACCATGACTATATGTATTATTATATGGAACCATGACTATATGTATTATTATATGTAACCATAACTATATGTATTATTATATGGAACCATGACTATATGTATTATTATATGTAACCATAACTATATGTATTATTATATGGAACCATGACTATATGTATTATTATATGTAACCATGACTATATGTATTATTATATGTAACCATAACTATATGTATTATTATATGGAACCAACACTATATGTATTATTATATGGAACCATGACTATATGTATTATTATATGGAACCATGACTATATGTATTATTATATGTAACCATAACTATATGTATTATTATATGTAACCATAACTATATGTATTATTATATGTAACCATAACTATATGTATTATTATATGGAACCATGACTATATGTATTATTATATGGAACCATGACTATATGTATTATTATATGTTACCATAACTATATGTATTATTATATGGAACCATGACTATATGTAGTATTATATGGAACCATGACTATATGTATTATTATATGGAACCATGACTATATGTATTATTATATGTAACCATAACTATATGTATTATTATATGGAACCAACACTATATGTATTATTATATGGAACCATGACTATATGTATTATTATATTTAACCATGACTATATGTATTATTATATGGAACCATGACTATATGTATTATTATATGTTACCATAACTATATGTATTATTATATGGAACCATGACTATATGTATTATTATATGTAACCATGACTATATGTATTATTATATGTAACCATAACTATATGTATTATTATATGGAACCAACACTATATGTATTATTATATGGAACCATGACTATATGTATTATTATATGGAACCATGACTATATGTATTATTATATGGAACCATGACTATATGTATTATTATATGTAACCATAACTATATGTATTATTATATGTAACCATAACTATATGTATTATTATATGTAACCATAACTATATGTATTATTATATGGAACCATGACTATATGTATTATTATATGGAACCATGACTATATGTATTATTATATGGAACCATGACTATATGTATTATTATATGTAACCATGACTATATGTATTATTATATGGAACCATGACTATATGTATTATTATATGTTACCATAACTATATGTATTATTATATGGAACCATGACTATATGTATTATTATATGGAACCATGACTATATGTATTATTATATGTAACCATAACTATATGTATTATTATATGGAACCATGACTATATGTATTATTATATGGAACCATGACTATATGTATTATTATATGTAACCATGACTATATGTATTATTATATGGAACCATGACTATATGTATTATTATATGTAACCATGACTATATGTATTATTATATGGAACCATGACTATATGTATTATTATATGGAACCATGACTATATGTATTATTATATGTAACCATGACTATATGTATTATTATATGTAATGATGACTATATGTATTATTATATGTAACCATGACTATATGTATTATTATATGTAACCATGACTATATGTATTATTATATGGAACCATGACTATATGTATTATTATATGTAACCATGACTATATGTATTATTATATGGAACCATGACTATATGTATTATTATATGGAACCATGACTATATGTATTATTATATGTAACCATGACTATATGTATTATTATATGTAATGATGACTATATGTATTATTATATGTAACCATGACTATATGTATTATTATATGTAACCATGACTATATGTATTATTATATGGAACCATGACTATATGTATTATTATATGTAACCATGACTATATGTATTATTATATGTAACCATGACTATATGTATTATTATATGTAATGATGACTATATGTATTATTATATGTAACCATAACTATATGTATTATTTAATGGAACCATAACTATATGTATTATTATATGTTACCATGACTATATGTATTATTATATGTAATCATGACTATATGTATTATTATATGTAATCATGACTATATGTATTATTATATGTAATCATGACTATATGTATTATTATATGTAACCATGACTATATGTATTATTATATGGAACCATAACTATATGTATTATTATATGGAACCATAACTATGTGTATTATTATATGGAACCATAACTATATGTATTATTATATGTAACCATAACTATATGTATTATTATATGTAACGATGACTATACGTATTATTATATGGAACCATGACTATACGTATTATTATATGTAACCATGACTATATGTATTATTATATGTAACCATGACTATATGTATTATTATATGTAACTATGACTATATGTATTATTACATGAAACCATGACTATATGTATTATTATATGGAACCATAACTATATGTATTATTATATGGAACCATAACTATACGTATTATTATATGTAACCATGACTATATGTATTATTATATGGAACCATGACTATATTTATTATTATATGTAACCATGACTATATGTATTATTATATGGAACCATGACTATATGTATTATTATATGGAACCATGACTATATGTATTATTATATGGAACCATGACTATATTTATTATTATATGTAACCATGACTATATGTATTATTATATGTAACCATGACTATATGTATTATTATATGGAACCATGACTATATGTATTATTATAAGTAACCATGACTGTATGTATTATTATATGGAACCATGACTATATGTATTATTATATGGAACCATGACTATATGTATTATTATATGTAACCATGACTATATGTATTATTATATGTAACCATGACTATATGTATTATTATATGTAACCATGACTATATGTATTATAATATGTAACCATGACTATATGTATTATTATATGTAACCATGACTATATGTATTATTATATGTAACAATGACTGTATGTATTATTACATGGAACCATGACTATATGTATTATTATATGTAACCATGACTATATGTATTATTATAAGTAACCATGACTATATGTATTATAATATGTAACCATGACTATATGTATTATTATATGTAACCATGACTATATGTATTATTATATTTAACAATGACTATATGTATTATTATATGGAACCATGACTATATGTATTATTATATGTAGCCATGACTGTAGGTATTATTATATGTAACCATGACTATATGTATTATTATATGTAACCATGACTATATGTATTATTATATGTAACCATGACTATATGTATTATTATATGGAACCATGACTATATGTATTATTATATGTAGCCATGACTGTAGGTATTATTATATGTAACCATGACTATATGTATTATTATATGTAACCATGACTATATGTATTATTACCAAAATTATCAGCAACAGAAGTGCACCAACCTGAATTGGTGTTACAGGTCAGCTGTCACTCTAAAGAAGAAATATTAAACCAGCATATCATTATGCTGCAAATTTTGATGAATGCACATGGTGCACACAATTTAACAATGATTTGGGTTTGTAAACAACGTAGGTCTCGTGAGCAAAACAAGCTGTTTTCGTCGCTGTCAATGAATAAAAGCGTTATATATATGAGAAATGTCTTAAAATATTTCAAAGATAACTGTTATGTCTAACTTGGGAGAAATTTTCCACATAATGTCAAAATTTTAGCAATGTCTTCTTCTAGGTTTTCATAAAAAGCGTCTTACTAACATATAAATATTTACAACTACCTTGAAATTTTTCAATGACTTCATTATCCACTCCATTCTTTTTCAATAATGTGGACAATTCAGAGGTGGTCAAATCATTAAATGAAGGCATTGCAGACGTTCGGTGCAAATGTTACGACTAGACTACAAAAACGACCAGCAAATAAGTGAAATGACTTAAAAAATTGTTACTATATTGGCCATTACGGCGATTGCGCGTGCGCGTCTGGCTTGCACAGTGATTCACGTGCAAAGCATGTGTTGAGCTCGTTACATATGAAGTGACTCAAGTGATTTTTAGAAAAATGGCTTGTATTTGCTCAATGTGCCTTCGAGCTTTTCAACGCTGGCATTGTTACGAAATCATTTAAAACGGTACCACGAATTTGAGGATAACTTTCACGTTATTTGTCAGGCACCACGTTGTGCAAGTATTTATTACACCTTCGAAGGCTACAAATCTCATTTGCGCAGAAAGCATGCAAATATATTGAAAATTTCGTTGATGAGAATTCTTTCCAAAATGGTAATCATGAAATAAATATGAGCGAAGACAAGGAAGATCGCGATAGTGAGCCAGGAAAAGTTAATGGCATTACTCAAGATGATGATTACGGTGGTGTAAACATCGATATATGCCACAAAGAGGAGAATATCAGGATGATGAACGCCAGGTTTATGTTAGAAACTAAAGAAATGCATAAACTGTCTCAAAAAGCAGTAGATACTATCGTCAGAAATACTACTTCCATCGTCCAAAATTCCCTTGAATTAGTGAAATGTCGTCTGTTTATCATTGCTTGAAAATGACGACATGCCAGACGTCTGCGAATTTCTGGAAAATGTATTCATGGAGGAAAATGTCGTGATCAATCCTTTCCTGGGAATGGAAAGCAAATGGCAACAAGATAACTTTTTTAGAGATGTTATGGGAGTGGTTGTAAGTTTTCAGTAAATTAGACCTATAGAAAGAAATTTATACTTTGTTTATAAAAGCATTTATATGCCATGCCAAAATTTTTTTAAGTTATTTTAATTGTCATTTTAAATCTGTGTTTTTCCTGAAGGAACCAAAACAAAATGTTTTGCGAATCACCCATGTTCAGCAAAGAATTGGTGTTGGAAGAAGAACAGTCCCAAAACAAGATGAAGTCATCGAAATTTCTCTTCTTAAGAGCCTAGAGCAAATGCTGCAAGATCCAGCCATATTACATCAGGTTACTTAAACATAAATAAACTAAGTGACATATACAGCATGCTGTTCTAGATGTAGCAGCTGACTGGCTTTTCTGCCCAAAGTTATGTTTGTTCACAAAATTTTTTCACCATTTGGGCACTCAAATGCTTCAATTTTTTAACAAACCTATTTCAAGAATATAAATGATATATATACTTATTTAGGTCTTGTTGCCATTACCTGTTGCCATTACCTGTTGCCACAAGAAACAATGTTGTTATACCTGTTTCAAGCATCCAACTAAGCGAAAATCAGTATGATTACCTCCAACAACAAGTTAACCTTCTTGAAGATGATGGGAATAATGGCATTGAACATTACTTGACGACAGTTGATATTGTTGAGAGGTTCTTAGAGGCAAGGATTAATGTTGACGAAGATTAACAAATGAAACAAATGTATTTTAGTGAAATAGTGCAAACCAAAAATAAGCTCATAGATGAAGAATTTAACATTTTTTTCAAAACTGTCAGTTCTCTTTCTGTTTAAACAAAACTATTTGATATTGTGAAAAATAATAAAAAACAACTTTACACAATGTCAAATGACCATGATGTGCTTTCTCTCATTATGTTTGTAAACCCTTCTGCCTGTTCTGCAAAGCATTCATAGGTTGTTGGTAGCTCTAGGGTTGGCCCACATGTGTGGGCAATAGGCCGTCGTGAAAAGCCATGAAGGATTGTAAATGTAATTTCAATTGAATCAGACATTTTAAATGAACGACGAGTTTTTTTATCGTAAACATGTTTCGGCATGCTTATGCCATACTGAAGATGCCGAAACATGTTTACGATAAAAAAACTCGTCGTTCATTTAAAATGTCTGATATCCATCGTGCTTTTAAGAAACAATTGAATCACATGTCAATACATCACTACCAGTTAAAAAATGCAGAAATCTTTCAAGAGCCTTCTTTTCCAATAATTTCACATATCTTTTTAGGAAATCCAAGCTCTGCCATTTAGCATCAGTACTCACACTAGCAATAAAGAGCTTGTTAACCTTTTTGGCTGTTCAGTGTTTTTCTTCATATAACTGTTCAACTTGCTGAGGTGTTGCAAAGATGGAGTTTGTATCATTCTGAAGAGTTTTTGAAATCAACAACCAACAATTTGTGATGTATCTGAGCTTTTGAATGAGTTCCTGGTGTGCATTGCCTACTATGGAGGCAATGCTCTCTTAAGTGGGGGATTTATAGCACTTATTGGATGACAAAAACTCCAATAGGTCTTCATCGTTAGGATCTAATTCACGACTGCACTTTATCTAGAATCTCTCCATCGTTTGCTGGCACGTAACAACGATATGCTTGCAGTAGAGATTCTTTGCCGAGACTTTCTTCACCAAACAAGCAGCAAAGAATGAAGAATTGTGACAGCTGCACAGGAAAATATTTGGCTTTTTGATATCGAAACACTAAAACTTTGGCAATTGCTTGCCATTCTGGTTTTTGAAGATCGTGTCGAATGTGTGGAGTTTTCTCAGTTCCACCTGCACTACGTGATATAAAGAATTCATGTCAAAAAATTTTGAGAACATTATGCAGCACACCTGCACCTTCTCCTTTTTTTGGGTAGCCATTTGCATTTATAACTGTGATGTTCAACCTGTGCTTAAGATTTCTGCATCTTTGAAAACAACAATAATATCATGGCGAATCATTGAGCGGTACATTTCTTTCAATTTGGGATAATTTTGGAAGATGAAATCGTGATCTTCAACAAGGTGAATTTCTTGCATCACTAGATGAAAATTGAGTTCAAAACACATAAGGATTTACTATTTAATTTAAAAATATATACTTTCTGAAGATTTAAATTATATTTATGATGGGTAAAAAAACCAAAAATATAAGTAAAGAAGGTGGACAAAAAGTAGGCCTTGTGTACTGTCACAATGACAATTCACAATTGACACCCACACATTACAACTAAAAACATCACACCTAAATCACACATTACAACTAAAAACATCACAGCTCACACTAATTCACAATGACAATACACAGTTCTCAGTACTATACTAACCTGGACAATCTACATTTACAAACACATAGCTTTAATCATACAATAAACATAAAAATAAAATTAAAGAAAATACTAGGCATGTACGTATTGTTAAGGTGATGCTATTTGTGTTCTATGGCAAAAATCACTTTCATTCATACATTCTTTTACCCCCTGTCAAAATACAGTTTATGAAAATTTTTTCCAGTCCTTGAATGGCCTTAAATTTCATAGAGGTCGCAAAATAAGGTCGAGTAAGAATGGTCAATTTTCTATAGCGCCAGGCCTTCTTTTAGATCCCTAATCTGTCTTCGATTAGAAGCAGACGGGCGCTGTGTATTAAAATTTCGCCTCATGACAAAACTCCTCCTCGGCACATTTTGTTCGGTAGTGTTCGTAGTTGGTTACAGGGGCAGATCTAGGATTTTTCAAACATCAATCATAAAACGTCGGAGGCGCTCCGCACCTGGGGTCTGAGGCATTCTCCCCTGAGAAATTTTGAATTTCCGAGCCTTGAAAATGCCGTTTTCAGCGTTTTAGAGCAATACAAAATGTATTTTGTGGGCATCGTTTTTGCGTAGAAACAACACATTTTGCTTACGTTTTTTTTCAAAAAACAAATGAAGTGAACAATACTTGAATGTTTTGCCAAATATTTAGGCTCATTATCATGCCAAATATATGGCTCATTAGCATGTCTAGGAACGTAAGATTTATTTTACAATAATGCTATTCAAAAACAGATATAGTCTTTAAAAATTTCTACCAATTGTCAGGCATAGACCCCCCTAGAGACCCCCATTCAAACCTCTAGGTAATGAGTTAAGTTAGAAATTTGGTACTACAAGTGACAGTTCATAGATATAGAAAAGCTCAGACTTCAAACCATGCAAGTTTATTGTAACCCTTTACCCATCTCCACATACAGTGCCAGCAAATTCACGTTTTGAGAAAAAAACTCAAAATTTTTTTCTGCCAAATATTAAGCAAATATTATCAGAGTGAAAATTTGCAGTTAAGGACAGCTTAATGCCATAAATGTTTATTAGGCATTTCACTAGACTATTATCTTCTGTAAGTATATGCAAGGTGTGCTATATAGCAGTCACTAGTTGCATTGTATTTGCATATACAAACAAAATGTAACCAACATGTCTTTAATTATATAATTACATGAATGTTAAAATTGGTTCATGTGTCATGCTTACTGGTATACCAGCATCAATCTGCTTACCATACGCGCCATATTGACATAAATCGCATCACACACTCGCATAAATTGACTTTGATATATTACATTCATGCATACACTTCACTTGTCCTTTACTTACGATTTTGGATGTAAATTTCTGCTGATAAAACTCAAAACAATGTTGGCTTTCTTTTGAACATCAATGACTGAAATGTCGCTGGCTTTCTTTTGAACATCAATGACTGAAATGTCGCTCGCAAATTGTAAATGCTTGGCAATCGACTTTGCCAAGCATTTACAATTTATCCATAAATTTTTCACACTCTTGAAAAAATTCACAGTTTGGACAGCAGCATTCATGTCAATATATAAATTTGTAAAAGATTTCCATAAATTCTATCTGATTGTAGTTTAGTTTCTTTAGTTTCTAGTCAAATTTTGACTCTGAAGATGACTACCGCTAAGGTTGTCGAAACGTCAGTCAACAACAACAAAAACAGTCCTTCTCAGGACTATACCAACCTGGACGATGGACATTTACAAACATGTAACGATACTCCCAGGTTCAAACCATTTACTTTATTACGAGCATATCATTATGTGCAATAATTTTACTTCTATCTAACATGGCTTTTATCAAGAAGAATTTCTTTCCTCATTCATATAGTCATCTATCTATTTATCTTATTCCTAACACAGATGATGACATAGAAACATTTTGCGAAGTAGGTCTTTAGAAATTGCGCCTAATTGGAGTGAAAAGCTCACTTCTTTACGCGATAGTACACGTGATTTTTTTCTAAAATATAATTGTTAAATTTGTTGTAAGATAAACTATTTAAAATATTTGTTTGCGTCAAAACTTCACAAAATGACAAAACTTTGCATGATGAACTGTCAAGTCCAAACGCTATCAATTTTGAAGTATCTCTGATTACTGAGATGTGATAAAATTATTCCAAATTTGAGACTTCGAGATTAATTACTCTGGAAATCCCTTTTTAAATAAAATCTTGAGCCCCCCAACTTTTACTTGCTTCTCACGCCTTTGATCAAATTATTTGTTTATCCGGATCAAAAGTTTACAAAATGACAAAACTTCATTGACCACGTTTCAAAGTTGGAACGCCGATAATTTTAGAGAAGCTCTGTTTATCGATTTACTTAACTTCCTAATTTATAAATCTTTAATTTTTGAGCTATCGTACTTGTAAAAGGCTGGCTGCCTCGTCTTCCTTTATGATTATATCAGTTAGTTTGCATGTAAGTGAGGATGTTCAATAATTGAAATAAATAATAGTTAACTGTGTAAGGTTTATTGGCATAAAGCTTCCAAGTCAAAACTTCTTTGTGTTCACTTCAGTCATAGCTAAAATAAATAATTTGCATTTCATATTCTATTGGGTATGAACAGAATTCAATATTTTAGAATAAAAACAGCAGGTGGTTAAAATCAAGCATTTATTGAACATTCCAATTTCTTTATTATCAAGCAGAAGCAAAGTCATCATGTAGTTGGATGTGTTGTCTTTAATCTTTCTAAACTTGTGAAGGTATGTTGATTATAAAGTTCACTTATCATAGTGTCATTGTTTGTTCTTATGTCTAGAATTTTGTTATATTTGTCATAAAAAACCTGAATGTCATTTTCGTGGTGGAATTCGCGCTTCATATGTTTTATATTGATACATCTGTTGATTTTGGTGGGATTTTCCCAATAACACATTGGATAATTTTATCATTTCAAAATACTGGCCTTTCTTGCATTATCACTAACAATTGATTTCATTAGTATTTTCAAATATCATTGGTACGGCAAGGATAAAAAATCAACAAGATGAATCAAAATTATGACACGTCACAGAATTTCCATTATGCATATCATTTTGTGCAATAATTTCAATTGTATCTAACATGGCTTTTATCAAGAATTTTTTTCCTCATTCATATAGTCATCTATTTATTTATTTTATGCCTAACACAGATGATGACATAAAACATTTTGCTAAGTATGTCTTTAGAAATTGCGCCTAATTGCAGTGAAAAGCTCACTTCTTCACGTGGTAGTACATGTGACTTTTTCTAATATATAATTGTTAAACTTGTTGTATAATAGAGTATTTAAAATATTTGTTTGTGTCAAAACTTCACAAAATGACAAAACTTGGCACGATGAACTGTCAAATCCAAACGCTATCAATTTTAAAGTATCTCTGATTACTGAGATATGACAAAATTAACCCTCTTACCTAGTATCAGTTGTCAAAAATACTTATTTGAAAAGTTGTAGTTTATAATCTTAGTTTTGTTGAGATATACTATTGGTAAAAATGGTATTATATATTTTGCCTGGCTGCCTCAACTTTGCGTTTGTTAATAGTTCAATTTTCCAGATCATTTCAATAATTCAAATAAATATATGTAAATTGTGTATAAGGTTTATCAAATTTAACTGAACATAATTGGTTGTAAAATTTGTAAATCATCCCTTCTTCATGTATTCTCATCAGTCATAGCTAAAATATAAAATTTACCCATCTCATTTTATCGTCTCGCTCTTATGAACAGAATTCAATATTTTACAATAAAAACAGCAGGTGATTAAAATCAAGCATTTATTCAACATTCCAATTTCTTTATTATCAAGAAACAGCAAAGAGATCATGTAGATGGTTGCGTCTTCTTTACTCTTTCTAAATTTGTTAAGGTAGGTTAATTTATAAAGTTCACCTATCATAGTGTCATTGTTTGTTCTTATGTATAGAATTTTTTTATATTTGCCATAAAAAACCTGAATGTCATTTTCGTGGAGGAATTCGCACTTCATATGTTTTATAATAATACATCTGTTGATTTTGGTGGGATTTTCCCAATAACACATTGGATAATTAATCATTTTAAAATACTGACCTTTCTTGCATTATCACCAACAATTAATTTCACTAGTCTTTTCAACTATCATTGGTACGGCAGGTCTAAAAAATCAACAAGATGAAACAAAATTGTGATAAGTCATAGAATTTCAGTTATGCATATTATTATGTGCAATAATTTTAATTTTGTCTAACATGGCCTTTATCAAGAATTTTTTTCCTCATTCATATAGTCATCTATCTATTTATCTTATTCCTAACACAGATGATGACATAAAAACGTTTTTCTAGGCATGTCTTTAGAAAATTCGCCTACTTGGAGGGAAAGTTCACTTCTTCATGTGATAGTTTACGTGATTTTTTTCTGGTCTATAATTGTTAAACTTGTTGTAAGATAGACTATTTAAAATATTTGTTTGCGTCAAAAGCTCACAAAATGACAAAACTTTGCATGATGAACTGACAAGTCCAAACGCTATCAATTTTGAAGTATCTCTGATTACTGAGATGTGACAAAATTATTCAAAATTACAGACTTCGAGATTAATTACTCTGAAATTCCCTTTTTAAATAAAGATTGCCCCTAAAATCTTGAGCCCCCCAACTTTTACTTGCTTCTTACGCCCCTAATCAAATTATTTGTTTATCCGGATCAAAAGTTTACAAAATGACAAAACTTCATTGACGGCGTTTCAAAGTTGGAACGCCGACAATTTTAGAGAAGCTCTGTTTATCGATTTACTTAACTTCCTAATTTATAAATCTTTAATTTTTGAGCTATCTTACTTGTAAAAGGCTGGCTGCCTCGTCTTCCTTTATGATTATTGCAGTTAGTTTGCATGTAAGTGAGGATGTTCAATAGTTGAAATAAATAATAGTTAACTGTGTAAGGTTTATTGGCATAAAGCTTCAAAGTCAAAACTTCTTTGTGTTTACTTCAGTCATAGCTAAAAAAAATTTGCATTTCATATTCTATTGTGTATGAACAGAATTCAATATTTTACAATAGAAACAGCAGGTGGTTAAAATCAAGCATTTATTGAACATTCCAATTTCTTTATTATCAAGCAGAAGCAAAGTCATCATGTAGTTGGATGTGTTGTCTTTAATCTTTCTAAACTTGTGAAGGTATGTTGATTATAAAGTTCACTTATCATAGTGTCATTGTTTGTTCTTATGTCTAGAATTTTGTTATATTTGTCATAAAAAACCTGAATGTCATTTTCGTGGTGGAATTCGCGCTTCATATGTTTTATATTGATACATCTGTTGATTTTGGTGGGATTTTCCCAATAACACATTGGATAATTTTATCATTTCAAAATACTGGCCTTTCTTGCATTATCACTAACAATTGATTTCATTAGTATTTTCAAATATCATTGGTACGGCAAGGATAAAAAATCAACAAGATGAATCAAAATTATGACACGTCACAGAATTTCCATTATGCATATCATTTTGTGCAATAATTTCAATTGTATCTAACATGGCTTTTATCAAGAATTTTTTTCCTCATTCATATAGTCATCTATTTATTTATTTTATGCCTAACACAGATGATGACATAAAAACATTTTGCTAAGTAGGTCTTTAGAAATTGCGCCTAATTGCAGTGAAAAGCTCACTTCTTCACGTGGTAGTACATGTGACTTTTTTCTAATATATAATTGTTAAACTTGTTGTATAATAGAGTATTTAAAATATTTGTTTGTGTCAAAACTTCACAAAATGACAAAACTTGGCACGATGAACTGTCAAATCCAAACGCTATCAATTTTAAAGTATCTCTGATTACTGAGATATGACAAAATTAACCCTCTTACCTAGTATCAGTTGTCAAAAATACTTATTTGAAAAGTTGTAGTTTATAATCTTAGTTTTGTTGAGATATACTATTGGTAAAAATGGTATTATATATTTTGCCTGGCTGCCTCAACTTTGCGTTTGTTAATAGTTCAATTTTCCAGATCATTTCAATAATTCAAATAAATATATGTAAATTGTGTAGAATTTCCATTATGCATATCATTTTGTGCAATAATTTCAATTTTATCTAACATGGCTTTTATCAACAAGAATTTTTTTCCTTATTTATATAGTCATCTATCTATTTATCTTATTCCTAACATAGATGATGACATAAAAACGTTTTGCTAGGTAAGTCTTCAGAAATTGCGCCTACTTGGAGTGAAAAGCCCACTTCTTTACGTGGTAGTGCACGTGATTTTTTTTTGGTCTATAATTGTTCAACTTGTTGTAAGATAGACTATTTAAAATATTTGTTTGCGTCAAAACTTCACAAACTTACAAAACTTTGCTTGATGAACTGTCAAGTCCAAACGCTATTAATTTTAAAGTATCTCTGATTACTGAGATGTGACAAAACTATTCAAAATTACAGACTTCGAGATTAATTATCCTGAGATTTCTTACTTAAATAAAGACTGCCCCTAAAATCTTGAGCCTTCAACTTTTACTTGCTTCTTACGCCCCTAATGAAATTATTTGTTTATCCGGATCAAAAGTTTACAAAATGACAAAAGTTAATTGACCACGTTTCAAAGTTGGTACGCTGACAATTTCAGAGAAGCTCTGTTTATCGATTTTCTTAACTTCCTAAATTATAAATCTTTAAGGTGGTCATATACAAAAAATTGAATTTTTTTCATTTTTAAAGATAGTTATAAGAAACTATCAGTATTTGAAAGACTTTAATGAAGAGAATTAACTAATGGAAAAAAAAAATAAAAATCACTAATTACACTAATTATCCAACATGGCCCCTAATTAGCCAATAAATGAACTTCTGAACATGATATCTTGGGAACCAATGATCCAAATTCAATGAGTAAAGTTTTTTAAAAGCTTAGAACATAATCTAGTGCTTGACACTTTTCAATTTTTATTAATTCTTTATAAACAAAATATATTCAAAATTTGATTTTCTTCAGTAATTTTGCATTTTGGTACACATTTTATGACATAACGAGTAAATATTTCATCAACAATGCAAAATATCAAAATTTGAAAAATGTCAAGCACTAGATAATATTACTAGCCTTCAACATACAAAATTTCAGGCATCTCTGACAAATAACAAAGATAATATGATGTCACAAAGTTTTTCCTAAGTGCTAAAATCACCAAAATGAGAAAACAGCATTTAAAGTTTACATAACCTATATTGTACCTCTGGCAGCCCTAAAAATTGCCAGCTTCATAAGTAACTCCTTCCTTATGTTTAGCATTGTCAATATAATTCTTTCTAATGTTTCTTAATGTTTTTCTTTGCTTTTTCACCTTCTCTGAACTCTTCTTTGCCGACAACTTTATCCGATGATGATCACATTCTTGAGCCCCTTTACTTGTAAACATTCCAGGAGTTATGTCCAGTTCACTCAATACCTTTAACAAATTTATGTCCCCATCATTAAATTTAAGAATAGCCAAGTATGTTGCAAGAGCAACAGTCTCTTGTTCAACATATGTAGTCTTCGGACATCGTTCCCATATCATATTATTTAGACATTCATTAACATTTTGAGTTAAGCCATGAGTACATTTGTTCAACAAAGTAGCATTGCTCAGTTCTTCAAATATGGGCTCAATGACCTTAACAATACATTCAGGAATGCCTATTCTGTGCTTGTAGTTGTCCTTTTCCCTCTTATAGCCACACCAACTGTCTTCACCATCAGGACAAAGATGATGCTGAGGATTAGTATCAGTTGATGCAACATGATAGAGAGAAGCTTTTATCGATTTTGCCATTTCCTTAACATCATGAAGGTTTCCTCTTACTGACAAACCATAATAATTTTGAAGAATATCAATCTTCCCATCTGTAAGCCTTCCTTTTCCACTCAATCCTTTACCGTCAGCAAGCTTTACCTTTCGTTGTATTCTTCAACTTACGAAGACGACTCCCAACCCTCTTTTGAATGTGACCAATACACTCCAACTTTTTTGGAATGCACTCTTCTCCATATGGCTTTCTTTCAACAATAGCATTATATGTTGAAGAATCCCGCCAAGCATTTCCTTGTATTTCAGTCCTCTAGAAGCAAAGACCTCTCAAAATTCGCACAGCTCCAGAAGTCTCCATACTGCTAGCACTTCCTTCATGATTGATCTTGCACTGATGACCAGCTTTCCACTCGTTGTATTTAGGATCACTTGTCCTATTTTTCCATTTGGCACATTGCTGACACCTGTCTGAGAGCACTTCCATGTCTAAACACTTTTTGGTTTGCAAAGATATTGCCGTAACAACACCATTATGGGATGCATGGCCTCTTTGCCATGTACCATCCAAAGATATTCCACATTCTGGTGCTCCATTTTCCTCTTTAACATGCATAGCATTGCTGAGCATGCTGTCATTGGCCAGTTGTTCAACAACTGGTAATAGCTTTCCATTTTGAATCAATGTAAAGCTTCGGCAAGTTGGTGGTGGAGCCATATTCATGACCTTGTTGAATGTGACCATTGCAGCTTGCCCTCGACCAATTTCTCGAAATGCTAGGACTGCTCGGACATTAACTTCGTGTGAACAGCCTTGCTTTTTAGATGTGTGGAAACTATACTTCCACTCACATTCTTTATTCTTACATTGAAGAAGAATATAATGCGCATAGCCTTTCCTTTTCCTCAAGTCCACATGGGATTCCACACTGCTTTCGCAATCAGGGCATTTTAAAATTCATCAAAACACCAAACAGCAAAGACAAGTCCATAAACACGGTGCCTTCTTTTGCAGTGTGTAGATTATTAAAATTTGAGCCAATGCTCCTCGTTTGATGACTTATTTTCTTTGCAGAAGGTCCAGGGTTTGCGTCATCGTTTCCGCCATGTTTTGACTTCTTTGCCATTTTTGATGGCGGAGTTCTAACCGCTTTTCTCTTTCTATTTCGACTATTCCCCATTATTTTTCGCTTTGATTATTATCGGAATAACAAAAGGAAAGCTCCGAAATACTAACAAAAAGACTTTTCTCCTCAGAGATACAAAATTATAATGTTTTTTGAAGAGCAACTTTTCGAACTGTGCGAGCACGCGATCAGCTTTGATATGAAATTATAACAGTTACCATGGTGCCAAAATGCAACCAATCACGATGTAACTTAACGAGAAGGCTTTGAATAACATCCACCAAAAGTAGAAACAAAAAATTCGCTTTAGAAGGGGAGTTTTTGGGGTGAAATTTGGGTAAAAATCCGTTGCTAAGGCGTTGCTATGGACCAAAAACTTTAAGAAGACAACTTTGAAAGCATTTTTCGTGGGTAAATGATAGTTTTAACGAAAAACGATTAGAACAATCAGAAAAACCATAGCATAAAGTACCGATAATGATCAAAAAAAAATTTTGAGTTTTTAGAAAAAATAGTGCCTTAAATTTGTATATGACCACCTTAATTTTTGAGCTATCTTACATGTAAAAGGCTGGCTGCCCCGTCTTCCTTTATGATTATTTCAGTTAGTTTGCATGTAAGTCAGGATGTTCAATAATTGAAATAAATAATAGTAAACTGTGAAAGGTTTATTGGAATAAAGCTTCTAAGTCAATACTTTTTTGTGTTTACTTCAGTCATAGCTAAAATAAAAAATTTGAATTTCTAATTCTGTTGGGTATGAACAGAATTCAATATTTTACAATAAAACAGCAGGTGATTAAAATTGAACATTTAGTACATATTCCAATTTCTTTATTATCAAGCAAAGACATCATGTAGTTGGTTGTGTCGTCTTTAATGTTTCTGAATTTGTGGAGGTATGTCGATTTTAAATTCTATCTGTAGTTGTATGTTTTTATGTAATCTGTCACAAATGACTTATATAAATAATTTCAGTTCTATACGCATGTGTTATACGGACAACACTTGTCAATTTTGATGAAATTTTTAAACAAACGGTAATTTATTTTGGACATTTTACCATTGGAAAGTACGAACCTATCTCATTTCAACATAAGCTACACATTCCAAAAGTTTATTTTAAGTATTATATGTATGAAGAAGCTACAAAATTGACAAGATGAGTCAAAATAATGACACGTCAAAGAATGTTAGACACGCATGTCATTATGTGCAATAATTTTACTTTTTGAAACATGGCTTTTATCAAGACGTGTTCAACATTTTACTTTTTCATTAATTTGTTACGTCTTATACAATTTACAAATCTTCTTTTAAACATATTCTGAATAGTCAACCAAAAACACTCAACAAGATCTTAAAGTTCTTTGATGAATTTAGATGGTATGTCAACGTACAACCATTAATATTTTAGTGAATATAGGACCAGAATATTTACATCAAAAGAGAGTGTAAAGTTTATTATCTAGATCTTTATAATTCGCAAATTTTGCGTCAGATATCTATGGAACAATTAGTTGCTACAGATTTGCATGATCACTATTTTTGCGTCCTTTCTGTGTCTTTGTCGAAAGGCATTTTTGATTTTGATGAGATTTTTTAAACAATCACAAATAAATTTTAGATAATTTAACGTTGGAAAACACTGAACGTTCCAGCATCATCGCTAGCAATACGATATATTTAATCAAATATTCCGATAGTTCATTTCAAATATTATTTATACAACTGGTCTAAAAAATCAACAGGATGTGTCAAAATTATGACACGTCACAGAATTTCAGTTATGCATATCATAAATGCGGAATGATTTTAATTTTTCTGACATGACTATCTTCAAGAAGAACAACAGTTTTTTTCTTATGGGAGTCTCTTGCAGAACATGTTATGCATGATCAACTGAAAACAATTATCTTTGATAAATTTTGATTGACGTCAACGTAAAATTCATTAATATTAACAAAAATGGACGATCTTAAGTCAAATTCGTCGTTATCATTCCCAGTTGCATGTGTTTCTTGTTCTGTTTCGTTGGTGTGGGCATTCACACTCATGACTTATACATCATGGAAAGTGAGAAAAAATGTGTACTTTGGTAAAATTTTATTAGAAAAAAATTCTGCTAGGTTGTCATTTAACACTACGTCACCAATGGTAAACAAGATATCTTTGTCCACCAAAGCAACAAAATAAGTGTTTTCTCGATGCATGATAAGCAATATCTGTCATAGTATGATCATTATATTATTCTCAAAATAAAGCTTGGAGGCATGTAGGATGGTAAATTCTTGGTGCAGTTGCATATTTGAATGAAAATTTCGTGTCTCTGATAACATTCTGTTTCCCGCCATTTGTCACACACTATCAAAGTTTTTGTCGTTACGACAACATTGAAGAGCAAAAAAGGTTCTGTGTGCTTTTTTACAGGCACTGATAACATCCATACTGCTACTTTGTAAATATGTATATTTAAGATATTTCACAATTTTATTTTTAGAAAAACAAAGCAGAATCTAGTTATAAATTCGCTTGCCGTGATGTTTATGGATCCTTATGTTTTGTCAATTAAACCAACGCTTTGTTAATAATCTCTACTTGTCGAATAACTGCATTCATGGCTTCGTAACGACACAAACACCTGGTTTCACATTGGAATTGAAGTGTGAGCTTTGGTTTGCTGTTACAAATCCCATCGCCAAAAAGGGTATGTGACTGGTTGCTTTCTTTTAAAAGCGTGTGAATAGATTGAAGTGTACTTTGTTTGCGATGGTACAACATCTGAGAGTGATTTCTCCATTACTAACTCTAATCTGTGTGCATGGAAGTGTTCGTAGATTGCAGGTGAGCTAACACCCTTCACTTAAGCCTTTTCTTTCATGCTCCGTCTCTTCCATATAATCTAATTCAGTAGACGTCTTTTTAGCTTTTTATTAATTGCCTATGCAAACAACCCCATGGAGTTAAGCTCAAATGCCCGACGGTCATTGAAACTTCCGGGGCTTCTTTGCCTCCTCTCCCAATAAACCTATTACACACCCAATATTTTTGTACGAAACAGACACGTGGTATCGCTTTGTTGATGAAAGACAAAAATTTTGAGCTTTTTTGTCATTTTTTAGATTTTCCAAAACATTTTAAGTGTTTGGCATGTTTTAAGAAACTTTAAATGCATGCAAAGAAACACAATAAGTAAATTGTACATTTTATGGCATGTACGTGAAATTTACGTGTCGATTACATACAGAATACTATAAAATGGTAATACCAGAATTTACCACAATATTTAACAATGTGCAATTAATTTGTTTTAAATGCTCGCCTGGACACAGTCTCAAATTGCATTCTACACAACTAGAATGAATTTTTTGTTTTCTTTTTCTATAAAACATGACTTACATGACATGTCCTATGTTTTACATGATTCTTTTATTAATAAGGAAAAATACTTGAAAAATTTGTCAAGGTTGTCTTTACAATTAATTCTAAAAGGCAATCAGATCTTTTATAAGGAATAGGAATTTTTTTTAAATGCAAAGGCTAAATTACAGAACACTCTGCTTCATATATATTTCTAATGTACAGCTGACTAAGTAATCATTGTATTCAAGTAGACCGCCTGCACAAACTTTGTGTGTCAGTTAGACAAATTGTTAAACACTTTCCTAAGTGACATTATAACTCAGTACCTCCATCTTCATTCTAACATGCAGTGGCGTCGCTAAATTGGGGCCTGGGAAGGGGGCACGTGCCCCCCTAAAAATTGGCTGTGCCCCCCATTTGAATTTTAGATAAGAGTCTTCATATGCATCATTCGAAATTGAAAATGAAGCACATGGCATTAAGATAGCTCTTACGGAATTCGTACAACTTTACTGCAAAGGGAAGCATTCTATTAGCTGTCTAGACTAGTTTGCGTTGCATTTACCCTTTCTGGGTTGTTAGTCGAGTGGTGAACATTTTAATTCCTTAAAAATGAAAAAAACACAACAAAACAATAATTCTAGAATAAGTCTCTGATGGGCAAAGAAGAACAAGTAATATTGTGATGTATGTCATGAACCACATTACACCATATCATAGAACTTGTATGAGATCGTGGACAAGTATACTCGTAGACTCAAATTTGTAGACACAAAAATACAAATATAGCAATGACTAAGAGTAAGGCTCATGAAAATACTACAATTCTGGAACTGTTATAATATGAAAACATTTCATTAAAATCAATAATCAATCTACGCAACGTTATAACACGAAGAATGTACAAATCCGCCAAGGTTTAACTGGGAAGTTAAAAAATTGAAACTGTTCATGTTGTGATAAATCCTGGCGACGCCACTAACAAAATGTTGCCAAATGCCTGAATGCAGGAAAACTAAAATGTCCAATTGCGTTGTTTTCAGCTGCCATCCTCGATATTCATTTACACGTACAAGTAAAACTGTAACATTACGTAGCTATGTTTGATCTTCAACAATTTTAGTTGTTTATAAATTCAAATTAAACAAACAATTCATGTTGATATTATCATTTTTATGACCCTTAGATGCAGTCAAGAGAAGAAAAGAATTACAACTACTTGCAGAAAATACTCAAAAATGTCGTTAAAAAGAAACTTGTTGATCTTTTTATCCAAGAATGGAACACTCATTACAAAGAATCTCTCGGAGTATGGGAAAATACAAACGTTAGTGGTCAGAAGTTGTTCAATATTGAAATATCAGAGAAAAAATTTTGTGATAAACAAACTTTGTCAAAACTTAAAGATGGTGACACAAGTAAGTGGGATTGCACAGCATTATGTAAAGCAATATTGTTTACCCACGCAATTGGAACAAAAATTGATCCAAACACTGAAGCTGCTGTGCACAAACTTCGTGATGTAAGAAACAAACTCGCTCATAATGTACATAGTAAATTATCTGATGCTGATTATCACACAATGCTTTGTTTTATTGAAAACTCATTTCAAGATCTAGGATTTTCACTCACTGAAATTAGAGAAATAAAAAGTGAACGAAACAGATTTAGTTCTTTTCAAGTACTTCCTTTCAAATCAAATCACGAAATCGTTAAACGTACAGAATTACTTAATCGAATCACAGCAGATCTCAACAACTTGCGCAGTACTAACAGAAATGAACTAACATATTACTATATTTCTGGTAATCCTGGCAGTGGTAAATCTCAATTAGCTAGACAAATTTGCGAAGAAATGTATAATTCGTTTGACTGGGAAAAGAATACGACATTTGTGATGACACTCGAAGGAAAAGATATCGACTCTCTTTTGAAAACTTATGCTGAACTTTATCAACGCTTAAACAATGATAAAACTGTCATTGAAAATATTTTAAAAGAAGCAAAAAGCAGCGAAGACAAAATCAAAGATTTTCAATTATTGCTGACACAAGAACTGAAATCATGGCAAACATGGTGGATTGTTGTAGATAACGTGGTTGAACTTCATAAAATTTATCCATTATTACCTCAAGTTGGTGATCATAGCTGGAAAAATGGTCAAATTATAGTAACTGTCCAAAATACAGATGCTATACCATCAGATGGAAGTCTAAATAAACACATTTCAGTTAGTCATGGTATGAATAATGAAAAATGTCGAAAACTTCTATCTGCCTTTTCTGATATTCCAAATTATGATGAAAAACTTTTAAAGGATGTATCAGACAAATTAGATCGTCAACCGTTGTTCCTGGCAAATGCTGCTTACTATGTAGGTAGTGTAAAAAGTACATATCCGACATTCACGTGGGAGCAATATTTTGATAAGTTGAATGAAGGAGAGCGACAAAACATGGGTGGCAATTTTCAAAAAATAAACACATCTTACTTAGGAATGAAAATAGTTATGTTAGCAGTACAAAAAAATGCCGAAGAATCCATCTTGTTGGAACATGTTTTTAAACTTTTCTCAATAATATCTTTCGATTCCTTACCACAAGATGTTATAATACAATTTATTAAAAGCATTGATCCACAATCTGCAGAAGTTCTCTGTCTTCAATTAAAGCATTGTTCTTTATTCCTTCAAACGAAAAACAACGACATCCGCCTGCACAGCGTTGTACACGAAGCCATCATAAATTATTCATCGCAGACCTTTGGTTGTAAACAAAACGAAAATAATTCTAAAAAGTCTGCAGCTGATCTTGCCTGTCAAGTTGCTTGGGCACTAAATCATTTTGAAGACAGAGAAGATGAAATCAAAATAATTCCACATCTAATTAAATTCATTACAAATTCATCATTTCAACATTTCCTAAATAAGTTGATCGATGTAAAATCATCAAAACAAAAACTTGATGAAAGAAATTGGAATATTGCCAAATATTTTGTAGATGTTTTGGAAAGATTTTTCAACTATAAACTTGCAACTAAAGTACTTTATGAAATAACAGAAATTCAAACTAAAGTGTTAGGTGTTGACCATATTGATGTTTCATATTCGTACAACGAGCTGGGTGAGTTGCTTTTGAAGAATGGAGAATATGAAAAGGCTAAAGATTTTCTCGAACGAGGGATAGAAATTCAAACGAAAGCATTTGGACCTGACCTTGTTAATATTGCGACAACGTACAACAATCTGGGTTTGGTTTACAATGAAATGGGAGAGTACGAAAAAGCAAAAGATTTTTTTGAACGAGCGATGAAAATTCAAACAAACGCATTTGGACCTGACCATGTTAATATTGCGACAACGTACAACAATCTGGGTTTCGTTTACAATAAAATGGGAGAGTACGAAAAAGCAAAAGATTTTTTTGCACGTGCGATGAAAATTCAAACAAACGCAGTTGGACCTGACCATGTTAATGTTGCGACAACGTACAAGAATCTGGGTTTGGTTTACAGTAAAATGGGAGTGTACGAAAGTGCAAAATATTATTTTGAACGAGCGATAGAAACTCAATCAAAGGCATTTGGACCTGACCATGTTAATATTGCGACAATGTACAACAATTTGGGTACGGTTTACTATTATATGGGAGAATATGAAAAAGCAAAAGATTTTTATGAGCGAGCGATGGAAATTCAAACGAAAACATTTGGACCTGACCATGTTAATATTGCGACAACGTACAGCAATCTGGGTTCAGTTTACGATAATATGGGAGCGTACGAAAAAGCAAAAGATTTTTATGAAAAAGCAATACAAATTGAAACGAAAACAATTGGACCTGACCATGTTCATATTGCGACAACGTACAACAATCTGGGTTTGGTTTACAGTAAAATGGGAGAGTACGAAAAAGCAAAAGATTTTTATGAACGAGCGATAGAAATTGAAACGAAAGCATTTGGACCTGACCATGTTAATATTGCGACAACGTACAACAATCTGGGTTTGGTTTACTATTATATGGGAGAGTACGAAAAAGCAAAAGATTTTTTTGAACGAGCGATAGAAATTGAAACGAAAGCATTTGTACCTGACCATGTTAATATTGCGACAACGTACAACAATCTGGGTTCGGTTTACGATAATATGGGAGAGTACGAAAAAGCTAAAGATTTTTATGAACGAGCGATAGAAATTCAAAAAAAAGCATTTGGACCTGACCATGTTAATATTGCGACAACGTACAACAATCTGGGTTCGGTTTACGATAATATGGGAGAGTACGAAAAAGCTAAAGATTTTTATGAACGAGCGATAGAAATTGAAACAAAAGCATTTGGACCTGATCATGTTAATATTGCGATAAGGTACAACAATCTGGGTTTGGTTTACGATAATATGGGAGAATACGAAAAAGCAAAAGTTTTTTATGAACGAGCGATAGAAATTAAAAAAAAAACATTTGGACCTGACCATGTTAATATTGCAACAACGTACAACAATCTGGGTTCGGTTTACGATAATATGGGAGAGTACGAAAAAGCAAAAGATTTTTATGAACAAGCGATAGAAATTGAAACAAAAGCATTTGGACCTGACCATGTTAATATTGCGATAAGGTACAACAATCTGGGTTTGGTTTACGATAATATGGGAGAGTGCAAAAAAGCAAAAGATTTTTATGAACGAGCGATAGAAATTAAAGCAAAAGCATTTGGACCTGACCATGTTAATATTGCGACAACTTACAACAATCTGGGTTCGGTTTACGATAATATGGGAGAGTACGAAAAAGCAAAAGATTTATATGAACGAGCGATAGAAATTGAAACAAAAGCATTTGGACCTGACCATGTTAATATTGCTGCAACGTACAACAATCTGGGTTCGGTTTACCGTAAAATGGGACAGTACGAAAGAGCAAAAGATTTTTATGAACGAGCGATGAAAATTCAAACGAAAACATTTGGACCTGAACATGTACTGCAATAATATACAACAATCTTCATTTGGTTATAAACAAACTATAGACATTGAAACTGAAGCATTTGGACTTTTACTTATCTTTTATTTGCTAGAAGCTAAAATACTCCTGTCTTATAGAAAACGTACAAGGAGATAGAAGAGGAAATGAATTTGAAGCTCATTTTCGATGAAGAAGAAAATCAATTTCTCTTTTCATTTTAGGTATGTCTTCTTTATACTAAAGCTGATTAGAAACAGTTGTATTGTAGATTTCTTTTAACAAAGGTTCAAATAACAACAGTTGTATATTTATAAAAGATATAAATATATTATTGACAATATTCAAACATTTGTATTTTCAAGTTTTCAACTGTCATTTATTTGCTGGAACAGTTTTTATTAAGAAACTTGTATGCAACTATCAAAGTATATTTATGAGTTTAGTTTGCAATATCTAGCTATTCAGAAGTTGTGAAGTTCCTTAAAATGAATGTTGTTGGGTCATTTTCTTGTATAATGAGAGTAAATACTGATCTTACAGCAACCATGATCATGTAACATCCCTTTTTGAAATGCTGAATAGCCCACAAGATTTGCTTTGCTATATAAGTATGAATACAGTCTTTTCTATATTGATTTCTATTCATTCATACAATTCACAAAATACACTTTCAATTTATGAGAATTGTAGTTGTTTGAAATGGACATGCAGTTATTGATATTTGGTTGAATCAAACTTGATTTGAGGACTAACACCTTAATTGTCATTACAATGTTTGTTTTCTTACTTTTGAGGAAATATTTATTTAAGGATTGATTCAATAATACTTTATTATAGTTCAAACTATAAAGGCAATGTAAAGTAAAAGTTATAAATAACCTGAAGAAAAAAAAGCAGGATATCATTGCCATAGCATTGACAGAAGTAAAAATGACACAATTAAGTGTCCGACTACCAGATTTTAGACTACCAGATTTACTAATATATAAAAAATCAGCAGTGGTGCAGGATACTTGTTAATTGGGGTCACAAATTCATATATGCATGTCTTAATCCATTAAAAAAACAATGGATTTCAAAGGAACTTAATGTAGTAGAACATGAATATATGAATATGTGCCGCCTACCCAAATTAAAGAGTCTGCTATGCCATTTATTCCCTGGGCATCTTGAAGAGCTCTGGCATTGTGGGTAACAGTTAGTATTTCATTTTGCAAGGAACTTCTTATTATTTTTTTCCAAAACATTATTTGAACTTTAGAGAAATTGTGTACAAACTATAAAAAGTTTATATTAGGAATATATTTCGAGAGCAACACCCTCCTTTAAAGTATGTATCCATGTTCAGGAGTGAATGACATGACCAGACATTTTTGGCTAATGTCTTTACAACTGATAAGAACAGTTAATGAGTCATTTCTACTGGTGTCTTTAATACTTATATGGACAGTAATGAGTCATTTTCATTGCTATGACATTCATGTCTTGCTTTTGCTATAGTTTATACTTTACATTGCTTTGAAACTGATTCTCCCAGCTACATAAATGATTTTACCACAAAATCACAATACAAAATGTTGTGGTTATCTCTGATCCCAAGAAAATCAAATATGAATTAAAAATGAGATTTACTACATTTAAATGTAAGCAAAAAAAGAACATTGTCACTACAATTAAGGGGTAAATCCCCAACCGTAAATAGAAAGAAATGTTGAATCATGTAACCAACCAAGCGTCATAAGGCAGAATTACAAAAATCCTTAAATAATAATGAATTCTGAAACTATACGTACAAATCATACGTACTTAACATTCCCTACATCTCCATCATGGTGCACACAATTTAACAATGATTTGGATTTGTAAACAACGTAGGTCTAGTGAGCAAAACAAGCTGTTTTCGTCGCTGTCAATGAATAAAAGCGTTATATATATGAGAAATGTCCTAAAATATTTCAAAGATAACTGTTATGTCTAACTTAGGAGAAATTTTCCACATAATGTCAAAATTTTAGCAATGTCTTCGAGGTTTTCATAAAAAGCGTTATACTAACATATAAATATTTACAATAACTACCTTGAAATTTTTCAATGACTTCATTATCCACTCCATTCTTTCTCAATAATGTGGACAATTTAGAGGTGGTTAAATCATTAAATGAAGGCATTGCCAGACTTTAGGTGAAAATGTTACGACTAGACTACAAAAACGACCAGCAAATAAGTGAAATAACTTAAAAAAATTTACTATATTTTCCATTACGGCGATTGCGCGTGCGCGTCTGGCTCGCACAGTGATTCACGTGCAAAGCATGTGTTGAGCTCGTTACACATGAAGTTACTCAAGTGAGTTTTAGAAAAATGGCTTTTAGTTACTCAATGTGCCTATCGAGCTTTTCAACGCTGGCATTGTTACGAAATCATTTAAAACGGTACCACGAATTTGAGGATAACTTTCACGTTATTTGTCAGTCACCACGTTTTGCAAGTATTTATTACACCTTCGAAGGCTACAAAGCTTCGTTTGCGCAGAAAGCATGCAAATATATTGAAAATTTCATTGATGAGAATTCTTTCCAAAATGGTAATCATGAAATAAATATGAGCAAAGACAAGGAAGATCGCGATAGTGAGCCAGGAAAAGTTAATGGCATTACTCAAGACGATGATTATGGTGGTGCAAACATCGATATATGCCACAAAGAGGAGAATATCAGGATGATGAACGCCAGGTTTATGTTAAAAACTAAAGAAATGCATAAACTATCTCAAAAAGCAGTAGATACTATCGTCAGAAATACTACTTCCTCCGTCCAAAATTCCCTTGAATTAGTGAAACGTCGGCTGTTATCATTGCTTGAAAATGACGACATGCCAGACGTCTGCCAATTTCTGGAAAATGTATTCATGGAGGAAAATGTCGTGATCAATCCTTTCCTGAGAATGGAAAGCAAATGGCAACAAGATAACTTTTTTAGAGATGTTATGGGAGTGGTTGTAAGTTTTCAGTAAATTAGAACTATAGATAGAAATTCATACTTTGTTTATAAAAGCATTTATATGCCATGTCAAAATTTTTTAAAGTTATTGTAATTGTCATTTTAAATCTGTGTTTTTCCTGAAGGAACCAAAACAAAGTGTTTTGGGAATCACCCATGTTCAGAAAAGAATTGGTGTTGGAAGAAGAAAAGTCCTAAAATAAGATGAAGTCATTGAAATTCCTCTTCTTAAGAGCCTAGAGCAAATGCTGCAAGATCCAGCCATATTAGATCAGGTTACTTAAACATAAATAAACTAGTGACATATACAGCATGCTGTTCTAGATGTAGCAGCTGACTGGCTTTTCTGCCCAAAGTTATGTTTGTTCACAAAATTTTTTCACCATTTGGGTACTCAAATGCTTCAGTTTTTTAACAAACTTATTTCAAGAATATAAATGATATATATACTTATTTAGGTCTTGTTGCCATTACTTGTTGCCATTACTTGTTGCCACAAGAAACAATGTTGTTATACCTGTTTTAAGCATGCAACTAAGGGAAAATCAGTATGATTACCTCCAACAACAAGTTAACCCTCTTGAAGATGATGGGAATAATGGCATTGAACATTACTTGAAGACAGTTGATATTGTTGAGAGGTTTTTAGAGGCAAGGATTAATGTTGACGAAGTTTAAGAAATGAAACAAATATATTTTAATAAAATAATGCAAGCCAAAAATAAGCTCATAGATGAAAAATTTAACATTTTTTTAAAAACTGTCAGTTCTCAAACAAAACAAAACTATTAAACAAAACTATTTGATATTGTGAAAAATAATAAAAAACAACTTTACACAATCTCAAATGACCATGATGTGCTTTCTCTCATTATGCTTGTAAACTCTTCTGCCAGTTGTGCAAAGCATTCATAGGTTGTTGGTAGCTCTAGGGTTTGCCCACATGTGTGGGCAATAGGCAGTCGTGAAAAGCCATGAAGGGTTGTAAATGTAATTTCAATTGAATCACATGTCAATACATCACTACCAGTTAAAAAATGCAGAAATCTTTCAAAAGCCTGCTTTTCCAATGATTTCACATATCTTTTTAGGAAATCCAAGCTCTGCCGTTCAGCATCAGTACTCACACTAGCAATAAAAAGCTTGTTAACCTTTTTGGCTGTTGAGTGTTTTTCTTCATAGAACTGTTCAACTTGCTGTGGTGTTGCAAAGATGGAGTTTGCATCATTCTGAAGAGTTTTTAAAATTGGCGGCCAACAATTTGTGATGTATCTGGTCTTTTGAATGAGTTCCTGGTGTGCAAGTTCAAGTACTATGGAGGCAATGTTCTCCTTAGTGGGGGCTTTATAGCACTTATTGGATGACAAAAAGTCCAATAGGTCTTCATCGTTAGGATCTAATTCACAACTCTGCACTTTATCTAGAATCTCTCCATTGTCTGCTGGCAGGTAACAATATGCTTGCACTAGAGATTCTTTGCCCAGACTTTCTTCACCAAACAAGCAGAAAAGAATGAAGAATTGTGACAGCTGCACAGGAAAATATTTTGCTTTTTCATATCCAAACACTAAAACTCTGGCAATTGCTTGCCATTCTGGTTTTTTAAGATCGTGTCGAATGTGTGACGTTTTCTCAGTTCCACCTGCACTAAGTGATATAAAGAATTCATGTCAAAAATTTGTCAGAACATCACGCAGCACACCTGCACCTTCTCCTTTTTTTGGGTAGCCATTTGCATTTATAACTGTGATGTTCAACCTGTGCTTAAGAATTTCTGCATCTTTAAAAACATCGATAATATCATGGTGAATCATTAAGCGGTGCAATTCTTTCAATTTGGGATAATTTTGGAACATGAAATTGTCATCTTCAACAAGGTGAATTTCTTGCACCACTAGATGAAAATTGAGTTCATAACACATAAGGATTTGTTTGTAAATGATGATCGTCCAGGTTGGTATAGTCTTGAGAAGGACTGTTTGTGTTGTTGTTGACTGACGTTTCGACAACCTTAGCGGTAGTCAATTGACTCTGAAGATGACTACCGCTAAGGTTGTCGAAACGTCAGTCAACAACAACAAAAACAGTCTTCTCAGGACTTTATTAACCTGGACGATCATCATTTACAAACATGTAACGATACTCCCGGGTTCAAACCATTTACTTTACATAAGGATTTACTATTTAATTTAAAAATATTTACTTTCTGAAGATTGAAATTATATTTATGATGGGTAAAAATACCCCAAATATAAGTAAAAAAGGTGGACAAAAAGTAGGCCCTTTATAAAACTTGCATGTTTAGTTTGAAACATAAATATTGAAGCGAGAGACAAAAATCCTGTCATACATTTGTTACTAAACACGTAGGCTAGATTTTGTTGTGCACAAACTGTAATTTCAGCCGCCAATTAATATTTTCATGTTTAAGATTAAAGTTTGTCTTGTAAATTGATAATCTTCAGGGCATGAAGAAAAAAGTAGTCCCCCAAACAAAATAATCGTTATATGTTTTTAGCTCATTATTCTTTGTCCATTAAAAAAATTGTAGTGATTCATCAATAAAAATAGTAGCAGCATAATATTTAGTGCAACTAACCTGATGCATCCTGTACACCAACGGCATGAAGATCACAGGTTGACTGTAAAGAAGCTTGTGCTGTCTCTGGAGGCAATGAAAATGAAGATTGTTCTGTAAAAAATTGTCACAATTCAGCAATAAGATAAAGCATAGTGGCTATATAATGTTTAATGTAACTAACCTGATGTATTCTGTACACAAACTGCATGAAAATCAGTGGTTGATTGTAAAGAAGCTTGTGCTGTCTCTGCAGGCAATGAAAATGGAGATTGTGCTGTATCTTGTGACAAAGCTAATGGCTCTTGATTGGCATCGGTAGAGCTTATTGACATTTGTACATCACCAAACATATCAGGTAAATCTTTATTAAATTAAATTAAATTAAATTAAGAGAAACTTCACAAACTATTCCTGTCATGTGTATTTAATTAAATTTCTCCATTAAAGAGAATGACCTACCATCATGACTTTTTCTTGTGCACACATTTTCCTACATTGACAGCATAAATAATTTATATATGATGAGTATAATAACATCAATTATTTCATTTTTCCAATCAAGAGCATGAAAATGGTGCATCAACATACACCTGTGCAAGTAAAACAGCTGATGCAGCTGTTAAACCATGATTAAACTGAACAAGTTCCATTGATAAGAGGACAACAGAAACTCATACCTGATGCTCAATTATGATCTGTTTGTTTGGTCGCACATACACTGGTTTACTCTAAAAGAGCCATTGCAAAATTGCTCCACCAATGCCAATCTGACCATAAGCCAAAGATGGCACAACAAGAGATGTTGTGCATCGATATTAATATTTCAATATCCACACCAGCTGGAATTTTGTCAGCAAAAGCTTCCATTATCGCAATTTCCCACGTGTGCAGCTTTCATTGCCTTGGTGAATCTGCAGTCTGAGATCATGTGACCCCGTTCCATAAGAGCAAGGCGTGCTCCTTGACGAGGAACGACAGAAGCATTCGGTCCTCCCAGCAAAATAAGGTCGCGTAAAAATCGTCTATTATCTACAGCACCAGTCCTTCTTTTAGATTCCCAAATCTATCATCGATTAGAAGCAGACGGGCGCTGTGTATTAAAATTTCGCCTTGTGACAAAACTCCTCCTCGGCACATTTTGTTCGGTAGTGTTCGTGGTTGGTTACAGGGGCGGATCTAGGATTTTTCAATCATCAGTCATAAAACGTCGGAGGCGCTCCGCACCTGGGGATCTGAGGCATTCTCCCCCGAGAAATTTTGAATTTCAGAGCCATGAAAATGCCGTTATTAGCGTTTTAGAGCAATACAAAATGTATTTTGTGGGCATCGTTTTGCGTAAAAACAACACATTTTGCTTATGTTTTGTTAAAAAAAAAAATGAAGTGAACAATACTTGAATGTTTTGCCAAATATTTAGGCTCATTATCATGCCAAATATATGGCTCATTAGCATGTCTAGGAACGTAAAATTTATTTTACAATAATGCTATTCCAAAACAGATATAGTCTTTAAAAATTTCTACCAAGTTGTCAGGCATTAGACCCCCCTAGAGACCCCCATTCAAACCTCTATGTAATGAGTTAAGTTAGAAATTTGGTACTACAAGTGACAGTTCATAGATATAGAAAAGCTCAGACTTCAAACCATGCAAGTTTTTGTAACCCTTAACCCATCTTCACATACAGTGCCAGCAAATTCACCTTTTGAGAAAAAACTCAAAATTTTTTTCTGCCAAAGATTAAGCAAATATTATCAGAGTGAAAATTTGCAATTAAGGACAGCTTAATGCCATAAATGTTTATTATGGGATAAAAATACTACTAGCTACTAACGTATAGCAGATTTTTTAAAGGAGGGAACATTTCAACAACTTCCACTATTCTTCTGACGTCTTCCAAGACAAGTGATCTCTTTGAAGCATAGCAAGCAGCCATCAACTCCTGAATTTTTTCATGATCCTTTTTAGCTGACTGCCACTTCTTTTTATTTTTGATACCACTGCTGTAAGATCTTCACTTTCGCTCGGCTCGGGAACGTTCGTCCAACAGTGACTGTTCTTTTCTTTGTTGTTTTGCCTTTAGTTTACGAGACATTGGTAACAGGCGAGTTAGATCTCTTTCTCTGCAATTTTTTTAATCGGTTATAGATTTTCATCTCAAGAGATCCCTATAAAAGAAAGCTTTCATTTAAAAGTAGTAAAGACAAGTAAATTTATTTTTTATCATTTACAAAATAGATACGCAAGCAGCCCATTACAACAAAAGCGCATATAACAAGGTGATAATGTAAATTTGTATCACATAGTTTGGATTAGGGGGTGGGATAGGAAGATGTGTCCACTTCTCTTCAAAATACTAAAGCCTAGTTAACATATATTTGTATATAATTGTTGTAATTCTATCGGCGTTGAAGGTTCATATCAATTATAAGTGTATGAGAACGCGCGTAGTAATTGTTGTAAGTAATTTAATCGCAAAAAATGTGGAGTTCAGTCAAATCAAAAGAAATTGTGATTAGAGATGAATGGAGGATGACACTATAATTGGTAAAATCTACGAACGTAATAAATATGTAACAGAATTTAACAAAAGTGTGACATCCTTTGGCAAGAAATACGTACTCACAGAAATCACATCCACTCTAGACAAGTAGTAACCTAAACAACACCCATGCTATTCCCAAACACACACCCCTGCTGAAAAATCGTGGATACACATCCCTGATTTACATTTTTGTGTTAGTTAGTTAGTCGCCCAGTTATTCATTTTAGCAGGCATGATTATAAGAAATTGAAGTGTGACGTCATTAAATGTATTTGTCATGACTGTTAGCAAAAAGAACGGGTGGTTTCTTTAAAAGAGATTTATCGAGGCAAGTTAAAACTTTGTAACTGCCCAAAATGTTGTCTGAAGTACAAAGTTTTAACTTGTCTGGCAAAATCGCTTTTGAGAAATCATACATTCTTATTTTTGCTAACAGTAAAATACAATTAATGACATCACACATGTCAGCTTTAAAAAATTCCTATTGCTTACAAGGAGCTAACATTGATGTGATCAACATTCATTATTATTTGACACATACGTATAATGAAACAAAACAAAACAATAATCGGCTTCTTCAGAAGAACCATTAATTTTTGATAAATAAAAAACAGTAATAGCAAACTACCGAAAGCCGTGCAAGCACTGAATGCAAGTCGTAGAACGATATAAGAACGATGCTTGTTTATGTCACAACCTTACAGAGACATGTAAACATCCGGGGTGTAAATGAAAACTGTACATCTCAGTTTTTACCTCTTTGCTAGTGAGATGTTTGTCATTACGTAGTAAATAAGCACTTTGATCAACGGCTAGTAAACCAACATTAGAATGAGGACTACTTTGAGTTTCTATTTGGTATGATTCGCCTGGATATTTCTGAGGACGTGCATCACCGAGGAAAGACACCTATAAAATCATTTTGATTCAGAAGATCAAGTAATTGATCCAATCCATGGGCATCATAATTCTGACCCAACGTGATTACCCTCACTAACCTGATTTGGTAGTTGGCTCTTCGACCTCTATGACAGCGCTATCAGCGACTAGTTCGTTGTTGACTCGGTAAAAAGCAATAAATCTTGCTTGTGGTGACATGTCTGCTGTAACTCTTATCGTGATTGTTGTGAGTACTCCAATCTGATGATCAATCGAGCCTTGTGTGACTATATGACCGTTTGCAACAACCTGTAAAAGAAATACTTTGATATAACAATACCGAGCGATGAAAAATGTTTTACAAGTTCTAACTCCTTGATTAAAAAATAATGCCATTATTGTCTCTCACTAGATATGTCAAAGGGCTTGGAGCACTGCTTGAAACAACGAACGCCACGGCATCGACAGATTGCCCAACCTGTTAAAACACGACAATCTTTGGAAAAACAGAAGCTACAGAGGAGATTTGCAAGTTAACTTTGGTAAAGAAATGAAAATAAACAAACCTTTCCTTTTTTAACAAGTCGAACAAACAAATAGTTATGTGCATTGGATCTGTGCATTTTTGGCACGAAACGCCCTTCAGAAACAATTTCATTTTCCATATAACTGATCTTCGCACGAACCTAAAATATACATAAAAACAATCGTTGATTGTTTGTTAAAAAACTTATTAATTTCATCACTATTTGTATGCACATGCAAAGGTGTTCATGGCCGCAAAAACCAATTAAGCATAAATACAGTGTTTATACAACAAAAAATTTATACCCTAATGTTAAGATGAACGATAGTAAATGTTCTTGGGACATCAATAACAAATCTTCCATGACCAAGCTCGGTGCTCCTATCCGAATTCACATTCCCATTTGCTGCACTCTCTGAAACAGCAACTCCTTGGTCCGTTTGAGCTTCTATCTCAATAGGAATGTTGTCAGCTGGTTCACCATTCCTGTGCCTAACATCAACCTTAAACGATAAACAAAAACTGCATGATTTATGTGTATTAAACCAAAGAAAATCTATCAACGGGTTAATTCAAACTGGTCGGGGAATCAAGGAACTTTTGAAGTGGGGTCTCATCTATCCGTAGTTAGTATTCAAACATTACGCGTAAGAGCAAAATTGATTGCAAATTATGTCACTTCGTTCAACTAACAACTTCGTTGGTAGTCTTCAAATCTCACATGAACGCATTGCTGAGTAAAGTATTACTTTTCAAGGTTTAGCTAGTTTTGACGTTGGAAATGTCAAAGTTATTACTTGACCAAGTCACTCGATCCAGTCTTCATGATCCTAAAACGGACAAACTAACGCAAAGCAATTGACCTACCTTGACTTCGAAAGGGACACCGGGTTTAAAAAAGTTTGGTGATCTTTTGAAACTGACGGTAAGTGGAGAGTTAGTGAAGAAAATACTGTTGTGGTAAGCGGTCTCTTCATGACCCGTCGCTTTTTCTATGACCTTTGCCTCGATAAACAAACGTTTGCCTTCTGGAAACCAAGCAATCTTAGGATGACTCTTAACTAGGTCTGTAGGTACACTCACGTCAGCTTCACCATTCGCCAGCTAAGAAACGAGAATAAAAAACATAGTTGATGACAATGTCGTGATTTAAATACCAGCAATTACAATTCAAGCAACATCATTGTAAAAAAGCAATCAAGAATTTGTGATATAATGAAAAGTTTGCAGTGTGAAAAGATGTACTGAAACGTTCAGCATTTCCACCCGCATCAAGAACACCAAGTATGACTTGAAGTGAACCGATTACATTTTCACCATAAGTGTACCTGAAAAAGAAAAACATAGCGAATAATCATACGGTGTGAGACATGATGTCTTGGGCTTTCATTTCATTACTTTGAAGCTATTTTTAGAGCAATAGACGCATCACTATCCAAGATGTAAGATGGTCCTTTGTTTTTTATCGAGAAGGTCGGCAGAACTAAATAAACAGTGCAAATAAATGTTAATGAAATTTCCAATAAATCAAGATTGACAAAGAATACATATGGACATATGTGGACAAAGATAGGAGGAAATCTTACCGTACTCTTTTACTTCAAATTGTATGGAAGCATTTTGAACTTTCTATCAAAAACATAAAAAAAACAAAGTTACAAACCTTTCCGTGAAAGTTTAAACAGCGAATGGTGAGTGTTACATGACGTACTGAATGACCGTATAAAGCGGTGATAGTCCATAAACCAGTCAATGCATTTTTTGACAAATCCAGGCGACGAGAGAAAAAACCTTCCAAGGAAGTGAGTTAAAAAGAAAATTGCCAATAGATGAGATTAAATAATCATTTAGCAAAATATATTGAGCATACCATCTTTTGTGTTAAGATTTCTCCAACGATAAACACGAATTCCTTGCGGATTCTAAGTCACCATAAGTACATACATTCATCAAATCAGTAAAAAATTATACATTGCACATCATTTACATAATCTTACCGATACTTCAATTGTAACCTAAAGAGAAAAAGGAACAAACAGAAAAATATAAACAATAACGTATTACGAGTTTTTTTATCGATTCAAAGACTTACATTATCCGCGGATGATTTTAAATTGACACTCAAAGGAATTACTCGTAGATAAACTAAAATAAAAGCCATTTATAAAATATGCACAATAAAAACGCGTGTGCTGATTGATCTATAGCTGTGTTTGCATTAGCCAGTACAGATCTGAGCTCAATCAATTGAATCAATCATTAATCTAAGCAGGCGCAACCTTCGACCTTCGGGTTCTTTCAAAAGGTCTCCTCGATTTGCATAAGTCTGTGCAAACACAGTAAACATCTTTTATTTTTTAATTGAAATTACTTAGAATCCGTTATTGTTATTAGTTTGTATCGATCAAGTTTTTGTGTGTTTTAAGCTATTACAACATACCAACTTGTCCTGGATTATAGATCGGTTTATCAGTTTGAATGAAAACCATGGCATTTCTATAACTGACAAGTATTTTGATTTCGTTGTTGAATTGAAATCCTGGGGTATTAGAGCTAGCTTTGAGGTAAACGTATTGCTTGTCAGATGATTTCTGATCATTAAGATCTTTGGCTGTCACCTGACATAGAAAAATACGCTCATTATACATAAAATGAAAACTAGGCCCATGAAAGACTAACATCATTAAAACAACGAGAAACATACTTTAACTTTCATAAGTGCAGGGCGTTCTGTAAAAAATAGAAAAAAATTGTGATCATAATTCAAAGCTAGTTTTAATCAAAATCGTTGGAAATAAAAATAAAAACCTTTTCTAACTTTTTGTGACACAACCGAAAAAGTTCTTCTTCGTAGTGGAAAATCCTGCAGGGAGAGCTGAATGTCCACTTCTCCGTTTACATCAAAAACGGATATAGAAACAGTCTCTTCTACACCCACTCTCAGAAGATTTGGAGAAGCAATGAAATACTTTGCCCTGTACGTGTAAAAATAGTCAACAACAATTTTCAAATCACGTATATGCAATTTAATTTTAATGGATCAAGTCCTAAACATCGACGAATTAGTTTGGTTTAATACACACAGTAAATAGCGAGACCATTTGAACAAGTAAAAAATCTGTCAATATGCCTAAATGATCATGCAATACGAAAACAAGTACAAATATGTCACACAAAATTCAAATACACATGAGCGCGACAACATCTTCCTGACAAAACTTTAACTATAACTAACCCACTGCATAACTGGAGAGCAATAACAATGAAGCCACCTATGGCCGCTTAAACATCTTCTGCTCTACACTTTGCGTTTTTTCTTTTTTATGAAAACATTCTTTTATATGACATTCCTTTCACGAGAAAACACCGCACTGCATAAAACATTCTTTCAGAAAACTACTACGCCATTTAATGGACGAAAAACTAATACACAAACCTTCTGTCCTTTCAAGATAGATAAACTAACTCCTCCAGTATTTCCTGGTAAACCTGGGGGACCATCTTTACCCTATAAAGTCATCCCGATTAAAAATACGAACAATATAGTCCTGATATGATTTATTGAAATTTTACCGGCAATTCCTTTGGTCCAGGAGTGTCGCTATTATCCCCCTTTTCTCCAGGAGTACCCTAAAAATTGTAACAATACATGTTAGTAGAAAAAGATGGTTTTCCAGCATGACTAAGTTCCTGATCACCCTTGAAAACTTTTATGTCTATTAAGCATTTACTAGTAAAAAGTACAAAATATAACATACTATATCCCCTGGTGAACCTTTTTCACCTTTTTCACCATTGTTTCCTTGTTCACCCTGACCAACATGAGCAATATATAACTCAGTAAAAACTGTGATATAAAAGCACAAACAACACAAAAACAAAAATTTGTTCTTGTGAGTACTTACCGGAATACCAACTGTCCCATTTGCACCCTGAGGTCCTTGAGATCCCGGATTACCCTAAGATAAAAAAGGTTAGTGTTATATTTCTGAGAAGAGCTATGAATCAAATTCAGCGATCATAAAAGGCCTTACCTCTGTTCCAATTACACCACCAAAACCTTTCTCTCCTTTATTACCCGGCTCGCCCTACAAGAACTATTCTTTAAAACAACAAATATATAAATAGTATCAATTCACTATGAACGAAAATCTTACAGGATCTCCAGTGCTTCCCCGTTCTCCTTTCTGTCCCAGTTCACCTTGATCACCCTGAAAATAAAACATGTAAAAGATATAAAATGATTTCGTGAAACAAAGAGATCAGTCCAAGCAAAGTGAGCTACCCTCTCCCCAGGCTCTCCACGCGAACCTCTTCTTCCTTTTTCTCCAGGATCACCCTGCAAAAATCAACTGTCACCTCAGTATGTCATCCAAAAAAGAAAATTGAAACACATATCTTAATGTTCATCTATGGAATGTAAATATGTAAATATCTGTCAATGAGCAATACATATAGAATAAAACCTGTTGTCCGGGGATTCCACGGATTCCAACAGGACCACTGTCTCCTTTTGTCCCCTATATCATGAATGAACAACACAATAAGTAAAAGGAGACAAGTATAAGAGTAAATATTAATAATTGCGTTACCTTTGTACCCTTAGAGCCAAGTTCACCTTTCAAAGATACAGGAGCTCCAGCACCCTTGATTTAATTGTCTACTTTTTCTCATTACTTTGTCAGATAAGATGAAGGAAATCATTGGTGTATACATACCGGTTCGCCGATTGGTCCTTTTGGACCCTTAGTTCCAGGAGAACCTTTAACTCCCTAGAATGTTTATTGGACAGTTAATGGGCAAAATATTGATGCAATTAGAGGATCCAGTGTGCGTAGACATAAATTACAATAAACGACAACAGATACATTTCACGTAAACGACAACTTTTTTTAAATTTTTTATTGCAGACATGTTTCGGCAAACTTATGCCATCTTCAGTGCGGTATAATGAATGAATATTCGAATGGAGTTAATATTTAAAGAAATATGATACAAGACATGTGTATAGACAAAAGGGATGGAAGCGGAAGTTATTTACAATTATGTAGTGATTAGAGGTGTTAAGTATTTACATGTTAAAGATGGTATTGACATGCTGAATTTGTTTGTTAAGATTAGGCTTGAGTTTTTTGATGTACAGTGCTTCTTTTAGTTTTAATATAGTCGAGCTATAAAATATTTGTTCAAACTAAGAGTAATGAATTCTAACACTCCCTAGATCTGCTCCTGATTTATAATACACAGGCTGGGAGTCCATAAATAAAAATTTTTCCCGAAGACTCAAAAAAAGCGAAAGAACGAAAAGAAGAAATATTTTTTCTACAACTTACTTGCGCGCCCGGTTCTCCGCGGCTTCCAAACATGTCTTGTGGACCACGATCTCCCTAAAATCAAAAATTATAAAAAATAATTTTGTAATGAAAAATACAAATTGAAATCTTTCCAACGAGAGATAAGATGTACAAAAAGTGATAACCTTTTCTCCTGGTAATCCAGTTGGCCAAGGAGGTCCAGATGGTCCTGGAGGTCCCTGTTAGACGCCAAATATATACAAATGGAAGGAATGTATAAATTGTATAAAAGTGATTTCTGGATATTTCATATACATATCAACGTACCATTGCTCCTGTAAATCCCGGATTTCCCTTTTTCCCAGGCAATCCTTCATCACCCTGCAGATAAATCCAAACATGCAAAATAACGTCTCATTTCAATCTATTGATAAACCAAACAAACCGGATTTCCCGGTTCACCGGCTCTTCCAGGAACTCCATTTAGACCAGCGTCACCCTAGTTAAACAACAGATGATTTTATACTTGATTTTTGATAACCTGTAAATGAAGTAAATGTCAATAAAATACATTCTCTCTTTTTTCGCCAAGTTCCCCTCTATCACCAGGTGATCCAGGTAGACCCTTGTAAAGAAAACAAGAACGATTGTAAGAGATCAAGCGACGCAACTAATCGTGACGATGCATCGTTCTTCTAAGCTAACATTGTCTCCTGGAATCCCATTGTTTCCGTGATATCCCTTCGGCCCCATTTCACCCTAAATAGCAGCAGGATTATATCAGAAACTCTCCTTAAGTCAATTTATATGTAAAATATGAAATAAAATATACCTATATATCATCTATGATCCCACATGCTCTGTAAAAGGCGAAGCATCTGTCCACATACCTGTACACCTTTTTGTCCCGATGGTCCAGGAAATCCCTTCACTCCAGTTTCTCCCTGAATGCCAGGCGATCCAGGTAAACCATTTGTACCATCATCTTCTTTAATACCCTGAATACACACAATAATTTTGTATAATACTTCATGTTTTCCTAAACGTGATAGTGGCAGGAATAATTGAAGTATCTCAAATGCCCACAGCTAAAATATTCACATAAATCTTTTCTGTACCTCATTCTACTGTACTACTTCCTATGTGGTGCATTTTTCTAAGTATTTGTTTCAAATAACGAGTAAATAATAACACATAATAATAACTTGTAGAAAGTGTACTTTTGGAGATTAGGTTTGAGAGAAACATTACTATAAAAAGTCTTTGAATAGGGTCGTTGAATTCATTTTTTTTGCCTTACTGAAAAACAAAACTTTTCCGTCAAACCCATAAAAAGATCATCAACTGCGAGATTGCAAAAGGAATAATTGCTTTAGTGTAAATATTTCCGCACTAAACTTGGATGACGTACGACTCAGTTGTGACAATTCGTTAACTTCTTGCGAGGACTGGAAACTAGATTCAAGCTACACATAACAATAAAGCAAAAGAAGTTAGTGAAGTCAAAATTACGAATGTGCTGAAGTTGCTGTTATCAAACGAAATATATCAAATCAAAAAAGACAAAAATATGTACCGAGGAATTGAAATGTCATGAATTGAAATGACGGTGAAAAGTCATCGTGAAAATATACCTGAGTTTCAGAATGCACATCCTGTATCTTATCATTAAATTTCACTAAAAATTCACTAAAATTCAGCCCAAACTGCCAAGTTCAGTTTGGGCTGAATTTTAGTGAATTCTGGAGGACTTCTTTCATCACTTGCATATCTTAAAACGATTAGTGGATGCACATAACATTAAAAATAATGACAATAATGTTTGAAGGTGAAAAATCTCTAGCGTAAAATTACTTGTTTGGTATTTGATCAGGTGCCTTTACACCATCTAGTAAATGGAGAGCCTCGTTGATTTTCGTTACTAATTCATAACGCCTCTGACCATGTACCTTTTTTAAAAAAGCAAAATACCTTCGTGGTGATAATCATTTCACATAATCTCCAATTGTTCTCACCTTCAGATAAAACGTTTCATCGGAACTTGAAGATGAATCAGCCGCATATTCTTGGCTCCACTTCCCTCTCTTCACAACAAATCCATCGCTCACATAAGGATTTACTGGAAAATAATGTCGATTAAAAATCACGTGCTTTTTCATGAATACAAAATTTTCAAAAAACATACATATCTCATATCATAGCACATAGGAAGGAACTTTCTATGAATTCTTTCATACGTAAAACTTACGTCGTTTGCGAGGTTGTTGTCCTTGCGTGATAGAGAACTGGAAAGGTTTGGGTGAGCTGGAGTCTTTAACAGTTGACATGAGTACACTCTGTCGAGGGGGGTATAATGTTGTTGTGGATGATGTGACGTCTGTCGTTGAACTGGGTTCGTTGTCCTGGAAGAGATTGCAATGAAAAGGATCCCAGGTCCTTTTCATTGCTATCCCTTCCAGGTGAAGCACATCTACGTAGCTTAACCACAGCTATACCTTCAACCCTAGAACTGACAGAGGAGAAAGTATAAGCCTTTGACATACATGTATGTCACATACAATACATGTATGTACTATCTCATTCCTTATAATCCATCAAATCCATACTATACAATAAAAGTAATTAAATATCGTACCCACATTCCAGTCGAAAGGATAAATGTGTTGGTCGTCTGTTCATTCCTCCAACACAAGAGTTAAAGCATGTAAATCTAAACAATTCCTTGCGATATCCGCTATCTGCAAAATAATTTACAGCAAAATTACTAAATACAAATAATTACTAAATAATTTACAGCAAAATTACATACCTGTGTATGTAAAGAAATTAAAGTGCTAAAATAAAATACAAGAGCAGTACATATATTATCTGGTTTCACAGCATTCAGCGGTATGAATATAGACAACCTTTTTGTCTTTGGACAACTTTCGTATCTTGTTTGTGGATTATCACATCTCATTACATGCTCAGGATACTCTTTTAAAACAAATAAAGTCAATTCATATTAAAAGTCGTTTCATTCTCAAGTTTTAAAAAGTTAGATGAGTCTTACTTTCTGAGCACGTATTTTTATGATTTGGACAACGGACAACAATTTCTCCATAATGCTCTGGTTTTTTGTACATAAGAATACCACGAATTCCGCTAGCAGAGGGTGGATTGCCTAGATAAAATATTCAACATTACATTCGTCACAAATATGAGAGCAAAATACAGAAATCGATTCGATTCTTTTACCTTTTATTTTGAACATTATTGGAATGACACATTGCATCTTAACAAATAACTTTTTGCGTTCTTCGACATATACACATGGTGTTGCTTTAGTTATTGGACAAACTGTGGGCTCAAACTCAATACCAAAATGGTACATTCCATTATATAACAATTTGGTATTGAGTTTGAGCCCACAGTATAAATTGGACCAGCTCTATTTCTTTATTTACAACATGACCTTCCCCCTAGAAAAATAACGAACAATTGTTATAAGGCTCTGACAAACAATGTGTGAGGCAATATTTGTCATTTGTTTTTTCTGTTATGCGCGAAGAAAAAAGACAATAATGTAAGTTTTAAAGCTTAACTACTCACTACAAATTTATTGTTTCCTAACTGTTCAAATTTGTATAAAAAGGTACTCTAAACAACATACCATTACATATGTATCATACTGAAGTGGAGAGTACTCTAAACAACCTACCATTACATATGTATCACACTGAAGTGGAGGATACTCTAAACAATCTACCATTACATATGTATCATACTGGAGTGGATGATACTCTAAACACCCTACCATTACATATGTATCATACTGAAGTGGAAGGTACTCTAAACAACCTACCATTACATATGTATCATACTGAAGTGGAGGAAACTCTAAACAATCTACCATTACATATGTATCATACTGAAGTGGAAGGTACTCTAAACAACCTACCATTACATATGTATCATACTGAAGTGGAAGGTACTCTAAACAACCTAGCATTACATATGTATCATACTGAAGTGGAGGGTACTCTAAACAACCTACTATTACATATGTATCATACTGAAGTCGAAGGTACTCTAAACAACCTACCTTTACATATGTATCATACTGAAGTGGAGGGTACTCTAAACAACCTACCATTACATATATATCATACTGAAGTGGAAGGTACTCTAAACAACCTACCATTACATATATATCATACTGAAGTGGAAGGTACTCTAAACAACCTACCATTACATATATATCATACTGAAGTGGAAGGTACTCTAAACAACCTACCATTACATATGTATCATACTGAAGTAGAGGGCACTCTAAAAAACCTATCATTACATATGTATCATACTGAAGTGGAAGGTACTCTAAACAACCTACCATTATATATGTATCATACTGAAGTAGAGGGCACTCTAAAAAACCTACCATTACATATGTATCATACTGAAGTAGAGGGCACTCTAAAAAACCTACCATTACATATGTATCATACTGAAGTGGAGGGTACTTTAAACAACCTACCATTACATATGTATCATACTGAAGTGGAGGATACTCTAAACAACCTACCATTACATATGTATCATACTGAAGTGGAAGGTACTCTAAACAACCTACCATTACATATGTATCATACTGAAGTGGAGGTACTCTAAACAACCTACCATTACATATGTATCATACTGAAGTGGAGGGTACTCTAAACAACCTACCATTACATATGTATCATACTGAAGTGGAGGGTACTCTAAACAACCTACCATTACATATGTATCATACTGAAGTGGAGGATACTCTAAACAACCTACCATTACATATGTATCATACTGAAGTGGAAGGTACTCTAAACAACCTACCATTACATATGTATCATACTAAAGTGGAAGGTACTTTAAACAACCTACCATTACATATGTATCATACTAAAGTGGAAGGTACTTTAAACAACCTACCATTACATATGTATCATACTAAAGTGGAAGGTACTTTAAACAACCTACCATTACATATGTATCATACTGAAGTGGAGGATACTCTAAACAACCTACAATTACATATGTATCATACTGAAGTGGAGCGTACTTTAAAAAAAACAAAGTATACTTTCACTGGTCGTACGAAGTATGTATTAAGTGATTTAGATGAATTGTGTAAAAATAAATTCTGAAACTATACATACCGTATTTAATTAGAAAATACTGAGCATTCCCTACATCTCCATCATTGTTGTATAAAGATTTCGAGACTATTTAGTAACTGCTTCTGCTTCTGGTGAAAATTGTACAATAAAATTTGTTGAGGATTTGTTTGGTTGGTAAAAGAAAAGGGGGTTTTCTTCCGGTATAGTGTAGGAGCCTTTCTCCTAGGGGGTAGAAGTAACATATCTAACGTCACCGGAAACGTAAATTATTTAATTTATTCCATAGAATCGACTAGAACGCTGCACCTGAGATATCATGAATTTGGTTGTGTCTTGTAATCTTTTACTTGCTTTTCACGCCCAAGATCAAATTATTTGTTTATTCGGATCAACAATTTACAAAATGACAAAACTTCATTGACCACGTTTCAAAGTTGGAACGCTGACAATTTCAGAGAAGCTCTGTTTATTGATTTTCTTAACTTCCTAAATGACTTTCCTTTATGATTATTTCAGTTAGTTTGCATGTAAGTCAGGATGTTCAATAATTGAAATAAATAATAGTAAACTGTGAAAGGTTTATTGGCATAAAGCTTCCAAGTCAAAACTTCTTTGTGTTTACTTCAGTCATAGCTAAAATAATAATTTGCATTTCATAATCTATTGGGTATGAAAAGAAATCAATATCTTACAATAGAAACAGCAGGTGATTAAACTGAAGCATTTATTGAACATTCCAATTTCTTTATTATCAAGAAAAACAAAGACATTATGTAGATGGTTGCGTCTTCTTTAATCTTTCAAAATTTATTAGGATGTGTTGATTATAAAGTTTACCTATCATAGTGTCATTGTTTGTTCTTATGCCTAGAATTTTGTTATATTTGTCATAAAAAACCTGTATATCATTTTCGTGTTGGAATTAACACTTTATATGTTTATATTGATACATCTGTTAATTTTCGTGGGATTTTCCCAATAACACATTGCATAATTTATCATTTCAAAATACTGACCTTTCTTGCATTATCACCAACAATTAATTTCATTAGTCTTTTCATATATTATTGGTACGGCAGGGCTAAAAAATCAACAAGATGTATCAAAATTATGACACGTCACAGAATTTCAGTTATGCATATCATTATGTGCAATAATTTTAACTTTATCTAACATGGCTTTTATCATGAAGAATTTTTCTCCTCTTTTATACAGTCATCTATCTATTCATCTTATTCCTAACACAGATGATGGCATAAAAACCTTTTCCTAACTATGTCTTTAAAAATTGCGCCTACTTGGAGTACAAGGCTCACTTCTTCACGTGATAGTACACGTGATTTGTTTCTCGTCTATAATTGTTAATTTTGTTGTAAGATGGATTATTTAAAATATTTGTTTGCGTCAAAAGTTCACAAAATGACAAAACTTTGCATGATGAACTGTTAAGTCTAAACGCCAACAGTTTTGAAGTATCTCTGATTACTGAGATGTGAAAAAATTAACGAAAATTATATACTTCGAGATTAATTACACTGAAATTCCCTATTTAAATAAAGACTTCCCTAAAATCTTGAGCCTCCCAACTTTTACTTGCTTCTCACGCCCCTAATCAAATTATTTGTTCATCAGAATCAAAAGTTTACAAAATGACAAAACTTCATTGACCACAATTCAAAGTTGGAACGGTGACAATTTCAAAAAAGCTCTTTTTATCGATTTTCTTAACTTCATGAATTATAAATCTCGAATTTTTTTAGCTATCTTACTTGTAAAAGGCTGGCTGCCCCTTCTTCCTTTATGATTATTTAAGTTAGTTTGCATGTAAATCAGGATGTTCAATAATTGAAATAAATAATAGTAAACTGTGAAAGGTTTATTGACATAAAGCTTCCAAGTCAATACTTTTTTGTGTTTACTTCAGACATAGCTAAAATAAAAAATTTGCATTTCATATTCAATTGGGTATGAACAGAATTCAACATTTTACAATAAAAACAGCAGGTGATTAAAATCAAGCATTTATTGAACATTCCATTTTCTTTATTATCAAACAGAAGCAAAGGCATCACGTAGTCGGTTGTGTCGTCTTTAATGTTTCTGAATTCGTGAAGGTATGTTGATTTTAAATTCCATCTGTAATTGTATGTTTTTATGTAATCTGTCACAAATGACTTATATAAATAATTTCAGTACTCTACGCATGTGTTATATGGACAACGCTTGTCAATTTTGATGAAATTTTTAAAAAAACGGTAATTTATTTTGGATATTTTACCATTGGAAAAAAAGGACCTTTCTCATTTTAACATAAACTACACATTCCAAAAGTTTGTTTAAACATTATTTGTATGTAGAAGCTACAAAATGACAAGATGAGTCAAAATAATGACACGTCAAACAATGTTAGATATGCATGTCATTATGTGCAGTAATTTTACTTTTTTCTAACATGGCTTTTATCAAGACGTGTACAACATTTTCATATTTTCATTAATTTGTTACGTCTTCTACAATTTACAAATCTTCTCTTAAACATATTCTGAATTGTCAACCAAAAACAGTCAACAAGATCTTAATGATCTTTGGTCAATTTAGATGGTATGTCAACGTACAACCATTAATATTATAGTGAATATAGATCCAGAATATTTACATCAAAAGAAAGTATGAAGTTTATTATCTAGATCTTTATATTTCGCAAATTTCGCGTCAGATATCTATGGAACAATTAGTTGCTACAAATTTGCATGATCACTATTTTTGTGTTCTTTCTGTGTTTTTGTTGAAAGGCATTTTTGATATGAATAACATTTGTTGATTTTGATGGGGTTATTTTAAAAATTTTTAAGCAATCACAAATAAATTTTAGATTATTTAACGTTAAAACACTGAACTTTCCAGCATCATCGCTAGCAATACGATGTAATTAATCAAATATTCCGATTCAGTAGACGTCTTTTTAGATTTTTATTAAATCCCTTTGCAAACGACCCCATGGAGTTAAGCTCGAATGCCCGACTGTCACTCATACTTCAGGGGGTCCTTTGCCTCCTCTCCAATAAGCCTATGCCACACTCAATATTTTTGTAAGAAACAGACACCTGGTACTGTTTTGTTGACGTAAATGTAAGACAATTTTTTTGAGCTTTTTTGTCATTTTCTAGATTTTCCAAAACATTTCAAGTGTTAGGCATGTTTTCAGAAACTTTAAATGCATGCAAAGAAACACAATAACGAAATTGTACATGTTATGGCATTTACATGAAATTTGCATGTCGATTACATACAGAATACTTTAAAATGGTAATAACAGAATTTACCACAATATTTTACAGTGTGTAATTAACTTCTTTTTTAAATGTTCGCTCTGACACAGTCTCAATCTCCATTCTACACAACTAGAATGGATTTCTTAGGTTTTTTTCTATAAAACCTGACTTACATGACATGTCCTATATTTTACACGATTTTCTTATTGAAAAGGAAGAATACTTGAAAAGTTTCTAATGGTTGTCTTTACAATTACTTCTAGAAGGCAATCAGATCATTTATAAGAAATAGGAATTCTTTTTAAATGCAAAGGCTATAGCCGTTTACAGAACACTCTACATCATATTTATTTCTATTGTACAGCTGACTAAGTAGTCATTTTATTTAAGTAGACTGCCTGCACAAACTTTGTACGGCAGTTAGACAAATTGTTAAACACTTTTCTAAGTGATAATATAACACAGTACCTCAATTTTTATTGCAACATGCAGTGGCGTCGCTAAAAGGGGGCCCAGGAAGGGGGCACACCCCCTAAAAATTGGCTGTGCCATTCATGTGCCCCCCATTTGAATTTTAGATAAGATTCTTCATATGCATCATTCGAAATTGTAAAAGAGGCACATAGCATTAATGTAGCTCTTACGGAATTCGCACAACTTTACTGTAAAGGGAAGCATTCTATTAGCTGTGTAGAATGATTGAAGTCTCTAGTGGGCAAGGAAGAACAAGTAATAGTGTGATGGATGTCATGAACGACATTACACCATATCATAGAACTTGTATGAGATCGTGGACAAGTATACTCGTAGACTCGAACTTGTACACACAATAATACAAATATAGCAATGACTAAGAGTAAGGCTCATGAAAATACTGCAATTCTGAGAGCATTATAAAATAAAACGTTTCATTAAAATCAATATTCTACGTAACGTTATAACACGAAGAATGTACAAATCCGCCAAGGTTTAACTGAGAGAATAAATAATTGAAACTATTCATGTTGTGATAAATATTTCAAAAATTTCCCAGTGGAGAAGCAATTTTTAGGGCCATTTCGCTAACGACTGACGTGGTACAAATTTTGTGCCTCCCCCCACCTCGCAAAATCCTGGCGACGCGACCACCAAAATGTAGTCAAATGCCTAAATGCAGGAAAACGAAAATGTCCAATTGCGTTGTTTTCAGCTGCCATCCTCGATATTCATTTACACGTACAAGTAAAACTGTAACATTACGTAGCTATGTTTGATCTTTAACAATTTTAGTTGTTTATAAAGTCTAATTAAACAAAAAATTTATGTTGATATTAATATTTGTATGACCATTAGATGGAGTCAAGAGAAGAAAAGAATTACAACTACTTGCAGAAAATACTTACAGATGTTAGAAAGAAACTTGTTGATGTTTTTATCAATGAGTGGAAGACTCATTACGAAGGAACCCTTGGAGTATGGGATAATTCAAAGCTTAGTGGTCAGATATTGTTCAATGATGAAATTTCAAAAAGGAAACCTCCTGGACAACATATTCTGTCAAAATTTAAAAATGGTGACACTAGTAAGTGGGATTGTACGACGCTATTCGCAGCGATATTGTTTTCAAACTTAATTGGAACAAAAATTGATCCAAAAGTTAGAGATGCTGTGAATGAACTTCGTGAAGTAAGAAACAAAACCGCTCATAATGATGATGGTAAATTATCAGATGCTGAATTTCACAAAATGGTTTGTGATATTGAAAAGTCGTTTAAAGACTTGAAATTTTTACTCCCTAAAATTTCCATTTCACTCACTGAAATTAGTGAAATAAAAAGTCAACGAAACAAATCTATTTCTTTTCAAGTACTTCCTTTCAAACCAAATCACGACAACGTTAAACGTACAGAATTACTTAATCAAATCACAGCAGATCTCAACAAATTGCGCAAAACTAACAAAAATGAACTAACATATTACTATATTTCTGGTAATCCTGGCAGTGGTAAATCTCAATTAGCTAGACAAATTTGCGAAGAAATGTATAACTCGTTTGACTGGGAAAAGAATACGACATTTGTGATGACACTCGAAGGAAAAGATATCTACACTCTTTTGAACACTTATGCTGACCTTTGTTAACGATTAAGCAATGATAAAACTGTCATTGAAAATATTTTAAAAGAAAAAAAAAGGAGAGAAGACAAAATCAAAGATTTTCAATTATTGCTGACACAGCAACTGAAATCTTGGCAAACATGGTGGATTGTTGTAGATAACGTGGTTCAACTAGATAAAATTTATCCTTTATTACCTCAAGTTGGTGATAATAGCTGGAAAAATGGACAAATTGTAGTAACTGTCCAAAATACAGATGCAATACCACCAGACGGAAATCTAAATAAACACATTTCAGTTAGTCATGGTATGAACAATGAAGAATGTCGACAACTTCTATCTGTCTTTTCTGGTATTCAAAATACAGAAGAAAAACTTTTAAAGTATTTACTAGAAAAATTAGATCGTCAGCCGTTGGTCCTGGCAAATGCTGCTTACTACGTAGGGGATGTAAATCGTGCAAATCCGACATTGACGTGGGAGCAATTTTTTGATAAGTTGAATGAAGGAGAGCGACAGAACATGGATGGCAATTTTCAAAAAATAAACTCAGCTTACTTAGGAATGATAACTGTTATGTTAGCAGTACAAAAAAATGCTGAAGAATCCATCTTGTTGGAACATGTTTTTAAACTTTTCTCAATAATATCTTTCGATCCCTTACCACAAGATGTTATAATATCATTTATTAAAAGCATTGATCCACAAATATCTGCAGAAGATGTCTGTCTTCAATTAAAGCATTGTTCTTTATTCCTTCGAACGGAAAACAACGACATCCGCCTGCACAGCGTTGTACACGAAGCCATCATAAATTATTCATCGCAGACCTTTGGCTGTAAACAAAACGAAAATAATTTTAAAAAGTCTGCAGCTGATCTTGCCTGTCATGTTGCTTGGGCACTAAATAATTTTAAAGACAGAGAAGATGAAATCAAAATAATTCCACATCTAATTAAATTCATAAAAAATTCATCATTTCAACATTTCCTAAATAAGTTGATCGATGTAAAATCATCAAAACAAAAACTTGATGAAAGAAATTGGAAACTTGCCAAATATTTTGTAGATGTTTTGGAAAGATTTTGCAACTATAAACTTGCAACTAAAGTACTTTATGAAATAACAGAAATTCAAACTAAAGTGTTAGGTGTTGATCATATTGATGTTTCATATTCGTACAACGAGCTGGGTTTATTGTATTGGAAGAATGTTGAATACGAAAATGCTAAAGATTTTTATGAACGAGCGTTAGAAATTCAAACAAAAGCATTTGGAACTGACCATGTTAATATTGCGACAACGTACAGCAATCTGGGTTTGGTTTACAAAGATATGGCAGAGTACGAAAAAGCAAAAGATTTTTATGAACGAGCAATGAAAATTCAAACGAAAGCATTTGGACCTGACCATGTTAATATTGCGACAACGTACAACAATCTGGGTTTCGTTTACAAAGATACGGGAGAGTACGAAAAAGCAAAAGATTTTTATGAACGAGTGATTAAAATTGAAACAAAAGCATTTGGACCTGACCATGTTAATATTGCGACAACGTACAACAATCTGGGTTTCGTTTACAAAGATATGGGAGAGTATGAAAAAGCAAAAGATTTTTATGAACGAGTGATGAAAATTGAAACAAAAGCATTTGGACCTGACCATGTTAATATTGCGACAACGTACAACAATCTGGGTTTCGTTTACAAAGATATGGGAGAGTACGAAAAAGCGAAAGATTTTTATGAACGAGCAATGAAAATTCAAACGAAAGCATTTGGACCTGACCATGTTAATATTGCGACAACGTACAGCAATCTGGGTTTAATTTACAAAGACATGGGAGAGTACGAAAAAGCAAAAGATTTTTATGAACAAGCGATAGAAATTCAAACAAAAGCATTTGGACCTGACCATGTTAATATTGCGACAACGTACAACAATCTGGGTTTCGTTTACAAAGATATGGGAGAGTACGAAAAAGCAAAAGATTTTTATGAACGAGCGATGAAAATTCAAACGAAAGCATTTGGACCTGACCATGTTAATATTGCGACAACGTACAGCAATCTGGGTTTAATTTACAAAGACATGGGAGAGTACGAAAAAGCAAAAGATTTTTATGAACAAGCGTTAGAAATTGAAACAAAAGCATTTGGACTTGACCATGTTAATATTGCGACAACGTACAACAATCTGGGTTTCGTTTACAAAGATATGGGAGAGTACGAAAAAGCAAAAGATTTTTATGAACGAGCAATGAAAATTAAAACAAAAGCATTTGGACCTGACCATGTTAATATTGCGACAACGTACAACAATCTGGGTTTGGTTTACAAAGATACGGAAGAGTACGAAAAAGCAAAAGATTTTTATGAACGAGTGATGAAAATTGAAACAAAAGCATTTGGACCTGACCATGTTAATATTGCGACAACGTACAACAATCTGGGTTTCGTTTACAAAGATATGGGAGAGTACGAAAAAGCAAAAGATTTTTATGAACGAGCGATGAAAACTCAAACGAAAGCATTTGGACCTGACCATGTTAATATTGCGACAACGTACAACAATCTGGGTTTCGTTTACAAAGATATGGGAGAGTACGAAAAAGCAAAAGATTTTTATGAACGAGCAATGAAAATTCAAACGAAAGCATTTGGACCTGACCATGTTAATATTGCGACAACGTACAGCAATCTGGGTTTAATTTACAAAGACATGGGAGAGTACGAAAAAGCAAAAGATTTTTGTGAACAAGCGTTAGAAATTCAAAGAAAAGCATTTGGACTTGACCATGTTAATATTGCGACAACGTACAACAGTCTGGGTTTCGTTTACAAAGATATGGGAGAGTACGAAAAAGCAAAAAACTTTTATGAACGGGCAATGAAAATTCAAACGAAAGCATTTGGACCTGACCATGTTAATATTGCGACAAAATACAGCAATCTGGGTTTGGTTTACAAAGATATGGGAGAGTACGAAAAAGCAAAAGATTTTTATGAAAAAGCGATAGAACTTGAAACAAAAGCATTTGGACCTGACCATGTTAATATTGCGACAACGTACATCAATCTGGGTTTGGTTTACAAAGATATGGGAGAGTACGAAAAAGCAAAAAACTTTTATGAACGAGCAATGAAAATTCAAACGAAAGCATTTGGACCTGACCATGATAATATTGCGACAACGTACAGCAATCTAGGTTTGGTTTACAAAGATATGGGAGAGTACGAAAAAGCAAAAGATTTTTATGAACAAGCGACAGAAATTCAAGCAAAAGTATTTGGACCTGACCATGTTAATATTGCGACAACGTACAACAATCTGGGTTTCGTTTACAAAGATATGGGAGAGTACGAAAAAGCAAAAGATTTTTTTGAACGAGCGATAGAAATTCAAGCAAAAGCATTTGGACCTGACCATGTTAATATTGCGACAACGTACAACAATCTGGGTTTGGTTTACAGAGATATGGGAGAGTACGAAAAAACAAAAGATTTTTATGAACGAGCGAAAGAAATTAAAATAAAAGCATTTGGACCTGAACATGTACTGCAATAATATACAACAATCTTTATTTAGTTATAAACAAAATAGCTATTGAAACTGAAGCATTTGGACTTCTATTTATCTTTTATTTTCTGGAAGCTGAAATACTTCTGTCTGTGAGAAACGTACAAGGAGATAGAAGTAGAAGAAATGAATTTGTAGCTTATTTTCAATGAAGAAGAAAATCAATTTCCCTTTTCATTTTAGGTATGTCTTCTTATACTAAAGCTGATTAGAAACAGTTGTGTTGTAGATTTCTTTTAAGAAAGGTTCAAATAACAACAGTTGTATATTTATAAAAGGTATAAATATATTATTGACAATATTCAAACATTTGTATTTTCAAGTTTTCAACTGTCATTTATTTGCTGGAACAGTTTTTATTAAGAAACTTGTATGGAGCTATCAAAGTATATTTATGAGTTTAGTTTACAAAATCTAGCTATTCAGAAGTTGTGAAGTTCCTTAAAAATGAATGTTGTTGGTTGGGTCATTTTCTTGTATAATGAGAGTAAATACTGATCTTACAGCAACCATGATCATATAAAATCCCTTTTTGAAATGCTGAAAAGCCCACAAGATTTGCTTTGCTATATAAGTATGAATACAGTCTTTTCTATATTTATTTCTATTCATTCATACAATTAACAAAATATACTTTCAATTTATGAGAATTGCAGTTGTTTTAAATGGAGATACAGTTATTATTTGGTTCAATCATACTTGATTTGGGGACTAACACCTTAATTGTCATGACAATGTTTTTTTTTTACTTTTGAGGAAATATTTATTTAATGATTGATTTAATTACCTAATGATTGATTCAATAATACTTTATTATAGTTCAAACTATAAAGGCAATGTAAAGTAAAAGTTATAAATAACCTGAAGAAGAAAAAGCAGGATATCATTGCCATAGCATTGACAGAAGTGAAAATGACACATTTAACTGTCCGACTACCAGATTTATTAATATAAAAAAACCAGCAGTGGTGCAGGATACTTGCTAACTTGGGGTGGGGGGGGGCACAAATTCATATATGCATGTCTTAATCCATTTGAAAACAATGGATTTCGAAGGAACTTAATGTGGCAGAACATGAATATATAAATATGTGCCGCCTACTCAAATTAAAGAGTCTGCTATGCCATTTATTCCCTGGGCTCTGGCATTGTGTGTAACAGTTAGTAATTCATTTTGCAAGGAACTTCTTCTTATTTTTTTCCCAAAACATTATTTGAACATTAGAGAAATTGTGTACAAACTATAAAAAGTTTACATTAGGAATATATTTCTATGGCAACACCCTCCTTTAAGGTATGTATCCATGTTCAGGAGTGAATGACATGACCAGACATTTTTGGCTAATGTCTTTACAACTGATAAGAACAGTAAATGAGTCATTTCTACTGGTGTCTTTACTACTGATATGGACAGTAATGAGTCATTTCCATTGCTATGACATTCATGTTTTGCTTTTGCTATAGTTTATACTTTACATTGCTTTGAAACTGATTCTCCCAGCTACATAAATGATTTTACCACAAAATCACAATACAAAATGTTGTGGTTATCTCTGATCCCAAGAAAATCAAATATAAATTAAAAATGAGATTTACTACATTTAAATGTAAGCAAAAAAAGAACATTGTCACAACAATTAAGGTGTAAATCCCCAACCGTAAATAGAAAGAAATGTTGAATCAAGTAACCATTCAAGCGTCATAAGGCAGAATTATAAAAATCTTTAAATAATAATGAATTCTGAAACTATACATACCGTTTTTAATAAGAAAATACTGAACATTCCCTACATCTCCATCGTTGTTGCATTAAGATTTCGAGACTATTTAGTAACTGCTTCTGCTTCTGCTTCTGCTAGGAGCCTTTCTCCTAGGCGTAATAGATTTCACGTGACCAAAAACATAATTTGTTAAAATTTATTCCACAGAATCGACGAGAACGCCGACTTTATTATGTAGTTCGTTTTGTTTTTTAATCTTTCTGAATTTGTGAAAGTATGTTGATTTTAAAATTTACGTATCGTTGTTATATTGTATTTTAATTTTGTGATTTAATGTTTCATGTCCATTTATCGATTATTTTGTTTTTATGGCCTAAATATTCTACTTCCGCGTTATGTACGTATGTAAATGTTTTATAATGAAAATATTTGTTGATTTTGGTGAGATTTGGAACTAGCTCGAATCAAGTTTGGAAAATTTACTTGTTTACTTTCATATATCTTTATATAATAATAAAAAGAAATAAATTTCAACTATATAATAGAAATGTTGTACATTGATACACATCACGTGCATTTCACGGAAGTAAAATATTAAAGATCACGTGACATTTTTTATATTTTATGTAACATTAACGTAATTTATTATAACACTTTACTCTTACGTTACTATTCACAAACTACATACATTCCAGTAGATTGTTTCAAATATTATTTTTATTAAGAAGCTACAAAATTGACATGAGTCAAAATAATCAGAGAATTTCAGTAATACATTTTATATTATGTAATGTTGTTTCATTTTTTTATGTCATGGCTTTTATGAAGTAGAAAATTTTGCTTATTCAATTTTCATAAATGCATTAGTTGCTGTTTGAAAAATGCACATAGTCACTAGTAAACATGATAAATGCTAATAAGAATTATGTATTTATATATTTACTGGTGATCAAAGCAACATTTGACTGACATTTATCTTTCTCATGAAAGTATGCACTTGTAAATCAATGCAGTTACAACATACTCCAATGTTTTATTACACATGTAATGATTGCCTTGATGTATGTCAAAATATAATATTCATATAGATGTAACAGCAAATGAATTAAGAAATACATTGTTGTGACTGTACTTAATCTTCAAATATTTCAGTTGTGAGTTGTCCATAAATTATTATCAAGTTATTAATGTTTATATTATTTATGTTATAATCTGTAGATGGAGTCAATAGAAGAAATCAATAACCTTTACCTTCAGAAAATTCTGTGGCTTTGCATCTGGGTTACAAATTCAAATCCAAATCTGATTCGTAGATGATATTTAGAACATCTTATGGAAACCCATGATATTGCCAATATGATCAGGCTTGACAAAGGAACTGAAACAGGGGTGATGGCTACTATGCATGCCTTTTTGAGAAGTAACCATGGTGATTGTAATGAGCCAGTTTATACTGTTCTGTATGGGCCTTCAACATCCAATCAGGTATATTTTAATGTTAATAATGCAAAGCAGATCATAATGGGGGGGTGGGGGTGGGGATGTTCACACCCCCCCAAACAAAATCCTGGATCTTTCCTTGTGGTGGTCATTTTTTTTCATTTTATGAATTATGATAATTATGTGTATGTAAGTTTTGACATTTCCACTGGATGAGAATATCAGTCTTTGTATTGCTACTTTATGACATATTTAGTTATGTAGAATTCTAGTTTTATTGTTTAGATTGAGAGGTGGTGGAAGGAACTTCATCATTGATTGGAGAAATATTTTAAAGTAAAACTGGTCCAATTAAAAGATGATGGTAACTATGAGCCTAGTGATGAATTGGACAGGTACATCTGCATATAACTACTATAGTAAATACTATGTTGAAAACATATGTCAAGTTAGGCTGTTTTTATTTAGAATATTGTTGGCATTTATCATGATTCCAATGTTACAGAAAGAGTTGGATACTTTCAAGGATAAAGTGTGGAACTCTCATAGAATACTTGCTCAAAAATATACTTTATTACCGGGATGGAGTGCCTAATCACTTATATGCATTCACTTTGGAATATGGATTAGGAGAATGTGGTAATGTATATCATACCATGTAACTTTTTTTGAATTTTTCGTACAAAATGTGAGCTTAATTTTTTTCTCAGGGTCTACCAGTTAATGATGACCATCTTTGTGAAACAGCTGTAGAGTCTGGAGTGTTGGAAATTGATGATGACTTCCTTGATGCTAAAATAAGTTAAAGCTTTGAAGCAGTTGTTAATGTTGATGAAGTCACTCCTCAAAACTTTATAAAAAAGTTCGTTTATTTAAAACAGCACATTTACAGTAATGGTACAACAGACCTGTCAGTGATACACATTATCTAAGACAGTATCCAACCTGTCTAAACAGGTAGCTAGCTGGCAAGTTTGATCGTACTATCTAAGTTTCATATCATAATATTATTTATTTTTTGAAAAATCAATGTTCTTAGAGTAAATGAAAATTTAAATTTTTACACAGCATGACCAAACTGGCTATGCCTTTTCATGACATGGAACATAGTGTTTTTGCAAAATGTCAACAGAAACTGAAATAACTTAACTTACAAAGATAGCAATGTATAACTTGTATATCTTACACAACTGTTGAGTTCTTGTGAATTCAAGTTTTTTTCAGTCTTGTAATTAGATATTTACTCTGCAGCTCATTCAGTAAATGGTTTAAGTACTAATGGTTTAAGTTCATTGCACTTGTGGTTGTATAAGAAATTGTCATGAGCCATTGTTACCAGGTTTCCAATACTGAACAGCAATTTCTGAGAATTGTCAAACAAATCTGAAGATGCTATTTCTGGGTCAAATAGTTTGTGTCCATTCCCTTGTATATCAACCACCATTAACTTCTTTTCTGACTTTTCAAAAGAATAATGAGTAAGACTCTCTGCTTTTTGTCCCAGGATGTCTAAATCAGGGACACATTTCATTCCTGTATTGTTCAAATATTTTGTAAACTCTCCAGGTATATACTCTTCAATAGTAACATATTTATCTTCATTAGTTTTCCCAAAATAAATCATTTGATATTTCTAAGACTTTCCCATACTGAAGAGTTTTATCATTTTTCACTGTTTCCTTTAGCTGTAGAGCAAAATTCCTAGCCAATAGATGCATTTGAACAACTTTACAAGTGTGCTCTTCAACAGACATTCCACTTTCATTAGTACATGTCGTATTAATCCTATTGTTATTACTACTATAGCTACTACAAAGTTTTATTGAAAATATTATAAATTTTTTTATGAAAACGTATGTCAATTTTACTAACTGAGATTGTGGGAAGCGAATTTGTTTTGGAAAATCTTAATTGAATAACCTCATTTAATTTCATTTGGCAAAGAATTCCAAACTTTTGCTCTTTTATATGCGAAACTTTTTTTTATACTGTTTGTTCGTGGTTAAGGCAGGCAAAGGTTAACAATAGGAAAAGTGAGGGTAAACAAGAGCATAGTAAATAGAAACAGGAGTATCTGTATTAACAAAACCTCTTACTTGACGAAGGGCTGAAATTCCCGAAACAATCCTTTTACAAATCCTTTCATTATTTTGGTGCCACGAAAATGGTGATCAATGCTTACACCGAGAGACTTAGATTCATAAACTTGTTTTATTGCTCTGTTTTCTACTTTAATATTCGGTTTCCGATTTGAAATATTTTATAGCATTTTTTTGTACCTATCAGTATAAACTCTGTTTGTTTGCAATCAACCCTTTCCTTAGGCATTCTAAGTCAGAATTCATAGCATCTTCAACTTCCTTTTGTGAGTTCCACGCTGCAGTCAAATTTGTATTATCAGCAAATAATCTTGGTTTAGTCTCTTTCAGACAAAGTGGAAGATCATTTATGTATAACAAAAAGAGTAGTGGACCAAGAATAGAGACTTATTCTGCTATACTTCTGGACTTTACCAGATACATCAGCAGAGAGTCGTTGTACCACTATTTCATTATTGTTAACCTTATATGAAACTCTAGGATTAACCTTTTTAGCTCGTTTTGCTTTAACTTTCTGCGCAAGTTTTCTCCATGCGTTGTCCGCCATAACTATATCAGTACAAAAAGACCACGGTCCGATATTTCTTCGTAAAGACTTCGCGCTCGGTTATTAAGGCCTTATTATTTTTCTGTATCTCAGGCTTAATTTTCCAACGAGATGCATAAATATGCAGTGGTTTAGCTCCGTAGTAAATATCTTTGAACAAATTCATGCAATAAAAAATTCGTTGCTTAATGATAGGATGTCAGATACAAAGTTAAACCAAGGCAAACTTTTACAGTTTTACCACAGAATTAAAAAACTTCACGATTTTTTTATGAACAGGAAGAATTCGACATATTCCTATTTCATTCGTTTTAAACAAACAATCACTATAAAGACAGCAAACTAATAAATAATACAACATAGATGATTCTGACCGTAATGGAGGGTGATCCTGAACAGAATAGTGGAAATGGCAATCCATTATGATCCATTATGATCCATTGGAACTTGAAAACCCTTCACATTTGTTCTATAAGAAATAAATGTTTATAAATGTGTTATTTTTGTGAGATTAAAAAATCAAAAATTAAACAGTTATGGATTCCACGTCAAGCCTGTGAAATTATTAAAAGAAAACTCCTCACATGCTACACATGTAACAAAGGTCAAGAAACACAAAGTGTAATCTTGTTCCATTTTAGTATCTCTTCCTCTACTAACATGTCTCTTAGAGAACTCAACACCATTTACAGTTAAGAAATAAAGATTCCACAGGTGCACTCTACATTGAAATGACGTCTGGTAAAGTAAAAGAGTGTAAGGCCTTTTGCCATGCATCTGGAAATTGTGGAAAATTTGAGCCTATCAAAGATTTTCTAGTCCCAGACCTCTCCCTAGAACGCTGGGTAATTAGTCTCCAACAGTGAAATGACCTATTTCTCAGCTGCAGAGAAATTAAAGCGTCTCGGAAGCACCGCCATTTAGACAAACTTTGAGTTGACTTGGCTCTTGGCTATAACTGGATCTTCATTTACCAAATTGTCCAATAACAAGGACATTTTTCGGAAAGACTAAATTTGCTAACCAAGAATAAACTACTACACCATTACATATGTATCATACTGAAGTGGAGGATACTCTAAACAACCTACCATTACATATATATCATACTGAAGTGGAGGGTACTCTAAACAACCTACCATTACATATGTATCATACTGAAGTGGAGGGTACTCTAAATAACCTACCATTACATATGTATCATACTGAAGTGGAGGGTACTCTAAGCAATCTGTCATTACATATGTATCATACTGAAGTGGAGGGTACTCTAAACAACCTACCATTACATATGTATCATACTGAAGTGGAGGGTACTCTAAATAACCTACCATTACATAGGTATCATACTGAAGTGGAGGGTACTCTAAACAACCTACTATTACATATGTATCATACTGAAGTGGAGGTACTCTAAACAACCTACCATTACATATGTATCATACTGAAGTGGAGGGTACTATAAACAACCTACCATTACATATGTATCATACTGAAGTGGAGGGTACTCTAAACAGCCTACCATTACATATGTATCATACTGAAGTGGAGGGTACTCTAAACAACCTACCATTACATATGTATCATACTGAAATGGAGGGTACTCTAAACAACCTACCATTATATATGCATCATACTGAAGTGGAGGATACTCTAAACAACTTACCATTACATATGTATCATACTGAAGTGGAGGGTGCTCTAAACAACCTACCACTACATATGTATCATACTGAAGTGGAGGGTACTCTAAGCAACCTACCATTACATATGTATCATACTGAAGTGGAGGGTACTCTAAACAACCTACCATTACATATGTATCATACTGAAGTGGAAGGTACTCTAAACAACCTACCATTACATATGTATCATACTGAAGTGGAAGATACTCTAAACAACCTACCATTACATATGTATCATACTGAAGTGGAGGGTACTCTAAACAACCTACCATTACATATGTATCATACTGAAGTGAAAGGCACTCTAAACAACCTACCATTACATATGTATCATACTGAAGTGGAGGATCCTCTAAACAACCTAACATTACATATGAATCATACTGAAGTGGAGTATACTCTAAACAACGTACCATTACATATGTATCATACTGAAGTGGAGGATACTCTAAATAACCTACCATTACATATGTATCATACTGAAGTGGAAGATGGTGTAATATTTCGTCTTGATCCAAAGACATCATCAGACTAATAGTTTACAATGCAGGCTGCGAAACATTTATATAATTATTTACAAGCGGAAGTGACAGTTACGTAATTAGAGAACTACAAGACTCAAGGGAGTATACTTACATACAAAGTAGAGATACAGGCTTGGAGACCACTATTAAGTTGCGGCATATTGCGTTTTATCAAAAGCGCTTCTAAGATGAGAAGTTCATTAGGATTATTATTATTACAGCGATATAAGATTTTGGTGTTGACTGACGTTTCGACAACCTGCTAACGACTACATACGTTTTGCACGCAACGTCAACCTGACGTTTACTCCTCATTTGACTCTGAAGATGACACCGCGAAGGTTGTCGAAACATCTGTCAACAACAACAAAAACAGTCCTTCTCAGGATTATACCAACCTGATCGATCTACATTTACAAACATTTAACGATACTCTCATGTTCAAACCATTTACTTTATTACGATCATTCGGACGACAGAGCGAACAACTTGCTAACGACTACATACGTTTTGCAAGCAACGTCAACCTGACGTTTACTCTTCATAAGATTTTGGTGTTACTTGGAATCAAATTACAAGGATTAAATGGCAAGCGTGTGAGTATGACCACAAGCAGGACATTTAAATTCATATAAAACATTGGCTTTAGAGAGTTCACAAATTTTGTCCTTTTTGAGACAGAAAATTGATGTCTTTTTTCTTTGATATATAACTATAGGTTTGATGGGAATTTTTAAGCTACGGCGAATTTTACGAAGAAGATTGAAAACCAAACGTTCATCCTGTTTGCCTAGATATGGTATTCTAATGAAAATTTTACTTAGGTCATTCTCAGTATTTTGTTTAGAGGGGTTATTTTTAGCTATGATTTTGGTTTTGATTTTATGAATCAAGAATTTCCGGACTGTAAGAGGGAAACCATTCCATGACATAAAAGACTTGAGTGTTTGAATTTGTTTTTTGAATAATGTTTGGTTAGAACAATTCTTAAATGCGCGAAAAAATAGGGAATTGATCGAAGTAGTTTTGCGGTTGGGGTCTCCTCTTGGGGGTCTCGTGGGGTCTTATGGTCTCGAGGGTCTCATGGGGTCTTCTCTTGGGGGTCTCATGAGGTCTTCCCTCGGTCCCGTCTTAGCTAATATAATTCTCACTGAGTTTGAAAATATCATTGTCACTGATTTGAACAACTCAGGTGTACTTACGTTTTACCGACGTTATGTTGATGACACTCTTGTTCTTATGCGACATTCAGACATTCCTCATGTTCTTGCCAAATTTAATAATTTTGATAAAAATCTTAAATTTACTTTTGATGACTTTTCTGACTCACTCGGCACTTTCTAGACCTCAAAATAACCAATAATGATATTGATATATTCCGTGAAACAACTCATACTGGCCAGTATACACATTTTTCAAGTTTCGAACCTTTCAACCGCAAAACTACTTGGATCAATTCTCTATTTTTTCGCGCATTAAAGAATTGTTCTAACCAAACATTATTTAAAAAACAAATTCAAACACTCAAGTCTTTTATGTCATGGAATGGTTTCCCTCTTACAGTCAAACCAATCTCACACACATGCCATTTAATCCTTGTAATTCGATTCCAAGCAACACCAAAATCTTATATCGCTGCAATAATAATAATCCTAATCAACTTCTCCTCCTAGAAGCGCTTTTGATAAAACGCAATATGCCACAACTTAATAGTGGTCTCAAAGCCTGTAAGAAATTATCTCTATTTTAAATGTAAGTACACTCCCTTGAGTTTGTAGTTCTCTAATTATGTAACTGTCACTTACGCTTGTAAATAATTATATAAAAGTTTTGCAGCCTGCATTGTAAACTATTTGGCTAATGATGTCTTTGGAATAAAGACGAAATATTACACCATCTTTTGTTTTAAAACTCTTGTATTGTCTTGAATATCAAGAAAACGAGATGTACGTTTTCGGAATTTGATTTATTATGTTTTACATACATAGCATACTGAAGTGGAGGGTACTCTAAACAACCTACCATTACATATGTATCATA